CAGCCTTAGATAACTCACCGCAACTCCGTTTCAGGAATAGCCAATGAAGAGAGCAAACATCTCGGGGACAAGCCTTGCATGGATGCAAGTTTCGGGTTGGGAAGGAGTTGGTAGCATTTCGTTCGTATACATAACTCCCAAAAGTTCTGTGCCGTAGCTTGGATGTGTATTGTTACTTAGTAACTCACTCATGTGGCGTACTATTCAAATTAAGATATGCAACTTCTGAGCTTTCGTCACTACTGGGAAGTATCATCTCCAATAGGCAACCCTTGATGGACGTGATAGTCCTAAACGGAAAGACTAATGAGATACTGTCTCATCGAAGTCCGGCGTGATGAAGCACTGCTCCGTCATTCTTATGGATGGGGTTCGTCCCACGAGTTACTTGGGGGGTAGAAAGAGGGAGCTTCTGTGAGTCAAGGAAGCCTTGTAAGCTTTGTCAGACTGCGGATGGTGTATTACACCGCAATAGCGCATATTCCAAGGACTATGGACGCGGGGGTCGCGAGCTAATAATAAAACCGTATGTTTCTGGTGTGCTTAGCGAAGACAAAATGGCGCTCGAAACTTGAAAGTAAATGATGAGACATCCCGCATCAGCGGGCGGTGTGTATGCAAGCCGGCGCTAGGCAACGGCCCGCTGTGATTTGTGTGATTCGAGAAACTGTCTACTTACACTAGTTAAGCCTTCAGGTTTTCAGGTTTAGTTTGATAGCCTAACGTTAGAAAGTTTGAACGGTAACAAACAGGATAATTTGGTAGAAATGGTGGCCCGTCTGGGCGCTGCAATGACCCCTATTTAGTAGATGAGATGAAATTTTTTTCTCGCAGAAATATTGTCGGGTTTAGCTTAGGTAGGGCTCGGGTTGGAGAAAAAAGTTAGTAGCCGAGCTTACTGTTCGTTTCTGCGATTCCTTATGCTTTCATCCGAATTCCTCAACCGTGTGCCATCGAGTCTCAGCGGCGGCTTGGGAGGCTTCGTTCTTTTAATCTCGTAACAAAATTTGATTAATCTTGCTCAATGTGACAGCAGAGACTGTAAATTGATACGGCTATGGCCACTTCAATATACTAAATGAGGTTATCCGTGGGGAGGAATGCGAGAATGCTGATCAATGATCGACGCCCAGGCTGGGTTAGGTAGGTAACGTTAACTGGACTTGAGGGGGGACGGAGAGGGACAAGACTTGATTGAGAAGAGATTCCATCAATAGGGCGGACGGGACGGCGGGAGACAGAAAGGGGGAGAGTGGAGTGGAAAATGGCAGTTGTGTAGTTGTGCAGTTGTGCTTGGGTTTCGACCAGCGCGGGAAAAAGCTGGGGGATATCCACCTTAAAAATCCACTTTTACTAGACCCATCCCTTACCATTGATAGGCCCTTGTCTCCCACATGGCTTAGGTTAGGTACATGACTGCCCCCTCCCCCCAAAAATTTAGAGCGGAAGGAGACAGTAACGTTAAAGTGCCAGGTAAAATTTAATAAAGTGCCAACCCATCCACTTTCCACGTGACATAAGCCATACAAAGCCACAACGCCGTAATGAAATAATGAAATAAAAAATATTTATTAGATTTTAGTTATATAATGAATAACTTTACGAATAAATATAAAAAAAATATATAAAAATATCTATTAATTAAAGTAAAAGATTACGTAATTTATTACCAGATTTAAATAAAAATAAAATAGAAATTTAATACGTTATTTAATATTTTATATAAAATATAAAATAAATATAAATTTACGAAATAAATTATAAACATTTCATTTGTTTTTTATGAAACTTATATATTTTTAATTTAAATGAAAATAATTTTTATAAAATTTTAAATATTATATACATAAAGTTATTTAAAAAATAATATTATTATATTAAAAAATAAAAAGATCATTTTTAGCCGCATTGGAATCAATTTTAGTCGTAGTCACGTGCAACCTGAATTTTAATTTTTATCATTTTTTAATTTAAATAATGGTATATTTTGTAAAATATTTGGATGGGATTTCATAGAGTTATTAATAATAATATATAAAAAGTGGTAAAAAATTACCCTGTACTGGTCAAGTGAACGGGCCATTTTCATTATGGCGTTGTGGCTTTGTATGGCTTATGTCACGTGGAAAGTGGATGGGTTGGCACTTTATTAAATTTTACCTGGCACTTTAACGTTACTGGGAAGGAGAGGGAAAGAAATTAAGAGATTGGAAAGCGTCGCAAGCTGCTTGGCTGCTTGGCTTATGGCAGCCCCCTTCTTTTGAAGCTTCCATTCCACCGCCTGAATTCTTCTACCCCACAAGGACTCCACCTATCCACTCGATTTAAGCCCGGGCAGCCCGGGGAAGACGGAATGATCCAATCATTTCCAGTCTTAAGACATACGCTCCCCAAATAAATTCTTACGAGCCTTTCATCAATGTGAGGCGCGATGCAAATTTCCCAGCAACCCCCAAACCTCGGTCTATCTGGGTGCCGGATTGGTTAGTGAGGTATCATTTCGCACAAATATACGTCGTACACATAACTAGTTGTCACATAACCTGTATGTACGGCTACGAAGGATATCTTTTCAGAGTCCCTAAGCTCCTAAGCTGGGAATTTGGGATTTTATTTGTCCTACCACACGATTGCACAAAGTACCCCGACGAATACAAGGACTTATTTCCATATTACTCATTCTTATAAGTTTTTACTCGCCTGGCAAATTCCACATCGACCTTTGATTTTATGCTTGCTTGGATTTGTTTGATACTTGTCTCGACCCCGCGTATTCCTGACGTCTTCTTAACATGGCACTGAAGCACACGACACCTCGAGAGTGTCCGGAAACGTGACTTGAAGCGCCTGCGGGTTATTTGCCTATTACGGGGCTTCTGTTGAAGTACTCGAAAGAGACTTAAAGAGTAAAAGCTGGGCACTCGGGGGATGAATTAATTGTCACTCCTTCTGTACACGTGTACAGACGGACAGCTGGCGGCACTTATTCTTATTCCTTCTTTTTGTTTCAGCCCTGAACAGCTTATTAAAATTATATCCTAGGTTGCTTAGGTTGCCTAGGGATGCCATATTCCGAAGCTTCGGTGTGTAGCGCCCAAAGCGGTGTTAGCACGTAACGCCCCCCAGATCCGTCATCCGCAAAGGTCCTAAACCTTTTATTAGATAGACTCCGTGAAATCTCGCTCCGAATCGATCCTGATGGATCACATAGCTAGGTACCTACATTTGGTAGCCAAGCGTCAGCCAACCGTTGACTTGGGCTCGCTTCGATGCGCTACGTGTATGGGTTTTACTCTTGCGATACTTCTGGGGAAGTGCTTACATTAATCAAAAATACCGTAGGAGGAGTCTTACTATGACTCGTTGCCACGTAAGGCAGAGAGTACAAGTGCAAAAATATATACGATCTTACCTGTAGGCTTTGAGAATTCTTAGGAAACGTAAGGCTTAGGCTACGATGCCACTACGATGCCACCACGATACTACCCATCTCATCATTCCTACCGAGGTTGCCTAGCTTTCTTAGCTTGGATCGATGGCGTGCCAACTCATTCTGTTATGTACATAGTAGCTACAATAGCTACAAAATAGTAACAGTAATAAATGCCTATGTAAGAGAGGCGCCGAAAACATATGATGGCTTGTTGTGGGTTTAGGTACCTCTACAAGTTTCTACATGTCTTCTCGGGGATCTAGATACCCCTGTCTCTATTCCCCATACTTTTCTGTCGTACCCGGTACGTACACTGCCAAAATAGGTAAGTCCCTTCGTGCATAGTGTCGTCTTGTCCCAAGACATCTCAATGCAATGTATCAACGAATGTCGAACGGTGCTTGGGTGACGGGTCCCCGGAATGATTAAATCTGGGGTTAGAATATGACCACAACTTGTTTGTGGATGTGTGCGTATGTGTACATGTATTAATGGTATGTGCGTTATGTACCCTTTTCCCTTTTTTTTTTTCCCCAGGTCTTAATTTATTAGATTATCATAACCCATATGGATTGCCGGGGAAATAAATCATTAATGTACGCTTCTCCTTTCGTCTCGTCTCAGGTTCAAAGTTTCCTGTGGCTTAATAAATACCTGCCACTTACCTGCAACTATCTGCAACTACTTGCGACCCTTTTTAAATGTTTCCAACGACCATAACGTAGTCTCCCACATCCAATATATTTCACGTCAACGTTGAATTACAATTACAACTTTACCTTAAATATTATACGCCGAGTGCGACATCTAATCTGTCCATACTATCCTATACTATCCCCTACTATCTCCATACGCATCCGCATCTGCATCTTCAACCTGCCGACCTCGTCCACTTGCCTAACCGAGGAGTTCACATCCACCGGCCGCCAATTTAGCTTCGGGATCTGACGTCTTGGGACGATATTGAACCAACAGTGTCAACTTTGTTATCAGCCGTCCATTCATCCCCCTCGGCATCAGCTTTGCTAAGACTCCTACCTCCTATTTCTCGCGTGGGGTGACCGCCGCAATCAGGAAGCAATCAGGAACAAGTCTTATTATTGGTGTGTGAGAGAGTGTGTGTAGTGTGTGACTTACACACGCATAATCCACCGCTCTTTCCGTTGCCTCCTGTTGATTACTCTTAATCATAAACCTTCTATCTTCGCTCCTTCTCTACTTTTATATCTACATACCTCTATATCTATTCAACTTGTCCTACCTACCTCCCAACTCGGTTACTTTCGACTTGCATCTTCTCCGCTAAACTTTACCTCCCAACAACTTTTCTATTTGACGCCACTCTGCCACACTTCCCACCGTCCCTATCAAAAATTCTCAACATACAACGAGCTCGTTCAAGTACCTACTCCGAAAACATAAACTATTTGCTCTTGGAGTAGAACATTCAGAACCTTGTCATCTTCCTTTCTAAGTTTGAACATTAGAATGTGAGTCATCACATAGCTGTAGCGACCCGCGTAACTCGACAGAGATACTTACTATTGCCTTAGAATAATCTTTCAAGATGCCTGGCCAGATCGCCGCACCCATCCCGGTTACGCCACCGCGTAAGAATATCCGTCTCAACTCTTCCACAGACTTGTTCGCTAGCCTAAATGCCACTCTTTCTTCAACGGAGAGTAAGCGAGTTACCCCTATTCGCTCTATCCAAGAACGAGACTGGGATGTACCGGCTCCCCCGCCGCCTAGCCCGGTCAGCTTCCATCCAGATCACTGGCAGCGCACTCTACGTCATTGATTGATAACTTGAGTGTGGTCATTGCCACACCACGTACATGAGAGATGCTCACCATCGCCATGTATTGTCTTTATGCGTCTGTATGGGTAGCGGGGTTCCTGGTTTGTCATTTGGGAGTTTACGGATGTGAAATAGTAAGGGCATAAGGGACGCAAGATAATCGGTCTACACAAAAATCAAGGCATGGCGTGTGCTTTCGAAAGGGAGGGAAAAGGATGGCTGGATTCATGGCTTCGCTCCGTGGTTGAGACGGCCTCGACATTTTAGTCTGGGATCGGTTTAACACTTTCGTTCACTGGCGCCATATCACCACTTCCGATCTTGGTTTGGTTTGGCCTTCCCCTGATAAGGGAGAGTACCAAGTCGGTACGATAATTGAATCACTTTGGTACAATTCAAGTAATGGCCTCCGACTATGAGTCAGGAGTTAATGAGATTGTAGCTAGGGAAAACAATCCAAGTAATCGGAAGTCTAGTTTCCGTAACTAATTCGAGATGTTGTTAATATAACGAAAGAATAATGTGACTGGGTTACGCAACTTTGAACGAGGTCAATACAGACTGCCGAATTTTTAACCCTAAAAGGTTAACAAGGGTAGAAATCGTGTGCTTAGAGAACAATATGCACAGACATTCTCTAAAAATAAACAAACAAGAAGTAAAGCACAGTAAATGTAAAGTACTGTAAATTCAATTTTCCCTCGGCTATGAAATTTCGAGGATTGGATGTGGTGTTCTCTTCAAAGTCTTGGCGTCATAATCATTTTTCCTAATCGGGCTAATTTAGCTCCACTCATTAACGCGGCCCGTACATAGGTGTTTTTGCGCGACGCGTCTTAACTAAGTATATTTTCGCGTCTTTTGATTGCATGTGGGTCGCGATTTGGCGTGTTTGGTCTCCTGTCTCATAATATCTATCCTTGCCTGCGATTGATAGCTGTATAATGCTTTCCTTTCTTCAAACTTTTCGTCATTGCGATTTGAAAATCAACCTTTCCGTGTTCTATACTATTTTTACTTTCTGAAGCCGTAGAAAGAACTAATTGTTCATCGTTTATCTACAATTATACCTTCCGAAAGAAAGTAAACAATTATATATTTTACCATGGCCGGTCCTGCTGTCAAACAGCAACGCCGGAAGGCATCTACAAAGCCAAAGGTCGCTACTCCCAAGCACAGCGCACCATTGAGCATTAGCACCTTCGCCCGTGTTTCAAAGTCGGTAAATAGCGTTGATATTAAGAACGAGGTCACTCCCGTTTCTACGCCAAAGAAGGATGTCACCATCGAGCCGCTCACGCCCGCTTCCCGAAAGAGAAAAGTAGTCGCAAGTATTGAGGACGACTCCTCAGCAGATGAAACATCGAGAAAGTCTTCAGCTCCTGCCATCAAGATACAAAAGACTACATCCCAACCTGCGAAACGTGGCCGTCGTCATCTCCCGAAAAGGATTTGCACTAAACTACACAACCCGAACCTACGCCCTTTAAGCCTATACTCTCTAAACCTATACCTAAACCTGTACTGAAAAAACGCGCAAGGAGCCCTAGCGTTTCTGATTCAGACGAGTCTACCATCAATACTGGTGTACTACTCAAGAAACCTCCGTTTAGAATCATCACCATCACGCAGTTCCACCCCGTTTTCAGTTTACACGCCCATTACCGAACCTGATATTGACGAGAACGAATTCGTTACATCAAGAACTGGGCTTCCCGATGAGGTCCTAGATCTTATTGATCTGCACTCTTCATTACTGAAGGCCTTGACATTACACTACGCGCACAATGGATCCAATGTCCCTGCAGACTTACGCATTTTATGTCCCGATGTCTCGCGTGCATGGGGCAGAAGGAAAGTCACCGAGGCGGATATACAAACCTGTCTCGGAATCTTGAATTTCGAAATAGGGGATAGCAAACCATTATTTTCTCTCTCGAATTACGGTCGAAGCAAAATTTGCATTGAGATTGACTCAGCACAACATGGTTCCGGCCGTCCGCTAGAGGAGAACAGACTAAATGATGTATTCCGTGAAAAAATATCTACTCTCTGGTCTCGTTTCACAGCAGCTAAAGGTTCCGATATCTCAGCTTTCCGTACTGAGCTCCCTAGGGCTGCCATCACACTATGCGAATCCGTTGCCAAGGCCGCACCCGTGTTATCCAAAGGTCAGAAGCGACTTGAGGAGCTAAAACAGGGCATTGCGATCAAGAAGCAGGAGAAAGAAGCAAAGAGCAAGCCGCAACAGTCTAGCGACGTGCAAATGCCGAACGCGGATGCCCCTAAGATGAACCTGCTGGATCGCATCCGTCTAAAGTCCCTCCAGAAGTCATCACTCCTTGCTAGCAACCTCTCACCAGCACAGCTGCAACGTCGTGCGGCGCTGCAGCGCGCACCTGAAGTTGCTGGTATGCTGGGCATGCTAAGCCGCGCAGCTGGCCAGGGCAGCCGTGTATCGTTCACAATGGCAGTGACGCTGGAGAAACTCAAGGATTCGTTGCGGATGGGTGTTTCGCGCGAAGAAGGTGCTGCATGTGTACGTCTACTGGCGAACGAGGTAGCCCCGGAATGGATCCGCGTTGTGGTCATCGGAGGACGGGAAAACGTAGTCTTGGAGACGGATAGACAGCCTAGTAAGGTGGACGTGGAGGGACGGATTAGAGGATTACTGGAGCGAGCATGAAAGTGAAGGAAATCATGATGACGAGGAAAGGGCTGAAGGATAGGCGATGGAAAGGGACGATTGTATAATGTGTCCTGGATGGACTTTATGGGCAAGCGAAAGTGTCGTTTGACCTTGTTTTATCATTGCATAGCATCGCGTTGCATAACCAGGCATAACCAAGCCACTGTTTGGCTTGCGTTCTTTCTATTACTTGAAGATACCTCGTCTAGACTGACGAATAGGCAATATTACGTTGTCCGAAGCATTAATAGCACAAGACTCTATCATAAGTCCAATAAATATATCAAAATCTCAAGATCAAATATTTTTGGCGGTTTTTTATATATATGAAATGTGTGATAGCGACTCTACATGTCTATTATTGCGTCTACTAAATCAATGCACGAGGTCGACCGATCGAACCTTTGCACTAGAAGCCGAGCCACGCAATGCTATGCAATTGTACGGCTAAAGGGGGAGATGCATCTCGTCATCTCGGAAAGCCCCTCGCCTCGTCTAAGGTAACTAACTCATCATACAGCCGCCACTCCGGGACACAACCATCCTATCAGATAGGTGTGTCCCCCTTCGCAATCATCAGTTCAGTTCGATTCATTATCATCGGGCCCAATTAATTTTCCGGCCTATCTACTATCTGCCGATCGCTTATTTCCCTCCCTTGGGCTTGAACTTGGGCTCGCCGATGCCGGTGCCGCGGAGCTTGACGTTGAGGACGCGCTCCATAGAGGATAGGATCTTCTGGTCGGGAATGGCGGTGCCACGCTCGAAGTCGGCGATGACGGAGGGCGTCGTGTTGCACTTGGTGGCTAGGTCCTTCTGGGTCATCTTGGGCTCTATCTTCTGCCGCGTCTGGCTGATGACGTCGCCCACCTCCTTGCCCACCGTGTTCGGCTTGATGATGTCGTCGCTGCGGTCGACCTTCGTCAGGCGTTGGCCTTCGGGTCCTTTGCCTACCTGTTGCGGTTTACGTTAGCGCTAGTTATGGGATGAGGTCATAGAAGGAGAGGGGAGGGGGGCTGAATTAACTTACAGCATTGCCGGTAGAGAACTTCTTCTCGGTCGCGATGGCACCACCAGCGCGCTTGGCGGCATTCAGCGCGGAGCTGCCTCGCACGACAGTCTCTCGCTGCGATGCGCCTCCGCGAGACTTACTGCCGATCTTGGTGACCGAGTCCCACTCGTCAGACATCGTGAAAATAGGGATTGATGAGGGTTGAGAGTTTAAAAACTAGGGTTGCCAAAATGGACAATTGGAATAGTTTCTCGAAGAAGTATGGATTTGATTTGTTATAAATAGCTATTGTATGGAGAACGTGTGAGTTGAAAAAGGTTAGAATGTAATGCGCTCGTGAGCTGTTAATATAGATGTCCTTTTTAAGGGCCGTGGAAGGCGAAGGAATGATGGTGGAAGTGGGCTGAAAGCGGAGCCTCCGCTGACTCAACGGAGTTGTTTTTTTTTTGGCGGGGAGGCAACCTTTGTGGCCTAGCCGGCTTAACACCGACACAAGATCATCGTTGCAAAGCCACACTAAGAGGCTTAATTTTCTTGAAGAGTGAATACTGAAACAATTTGATTGACACTATTAAAGAGCAATTCGAATTCGATTTCTACTAACATTCTTTTTTTTTCTTATCTAAATAATGTAATTGTTCCATAGTCTTTTACGGATTTATTCTATGCCAATTCGAACGGCGAACAGTCATACCGGCTAAGATAAGATATGAGATAAGATAATGATGTGGCTGTTACATACATGTCTCAAGTCCCCCCTACTGTCCCCTACCGCTGCATGAATACTTCCGTTTCTCGATCATGTAGTCTTCCAGAAGTTCATTACACACAAAGTATGAATCTAATAATCTCATTCGTTCAGAAGTACCTATAATCTGGTAATTTCGGGTAATAACAGGAGTTCGCATCAGACGTATTGCTTTATTTAGATCAGCATTTTACATCTCTTCTGCAGACACTACCCCCGAGATGCTCGTATATGACGTTATTCTACGTATTATTGCATTGTCTTATTATCTTCTTTTTGGACGCGTTGGAGATGTAGTGCTCCTTTTTAGTTCATTCCTCTGGGTCAGAGGTTTTGTCATCTTTGATTCCTTGAAGATTAACTATGCCCTGATATGTCTAGGGGCCATAGCAGTGGTCACAACCTCTTTCACTTATCGCATATACGTACAACATCGTAGCCAAGATGTACGTTTATCTGTACCATGGAACGGTCCAGGGCGGCCTCTGTTGTTCCCTTGTCGGACTACGCATACCAGGTTATTTCCCAAGAAACACACCTTCTCTTATTCGTATCTCCTTGTTGGGATACCCGTCGGTTGGACAGGTGTCGCAGGCGGCATGATATCAAATGACGAGTATAAAATGGGAGTTGGGGGTTGGTACAAGGTTGATGCTTCGGATTACCTAGATAGGGGAAACGGACACCTCGGGTTAAGGGGTAAGCTGGATACTTACCTCAAATCCCAAGTGCGGCATCCCTTTGTCTACTGCGAAGAATCTAGAGCTAATGCGATATAGGACATCGATGCTTCCAAATATCCACGCGCGTATTTGGTAACTGCTGCGAAATTCATGGGTTATCATTTCAATCCCGTTTCCTTTTGGTATCTTTATTCTGCCGATAAGCACCTGGCAGCAGTAATCCTTGAAGTTAATAACACGTTCGACGAGAAACGGATGTACTTCTTAGCGGCAGACAATGCAATAGAATCAATAGAGCCAACTGGTGATAATTCCTTAGAAGAAGTCGCATCAACTCGGAAATCCAATGGCTCGAAGCCCTTGAAACGAACTTGGCCAAAAGACTTCCACGTATCCCCCTTTAATTCTAGAAAGGGCGCATACTCGCTTGTTGCGCACGACCCTCTGTCCCCAAATATGGATGGGCAAGGTCCGATCAATAATACGATAAATCTAATGTCTTCCAAGAAATACGCGAAACTGGTTGCCCGTATCTTCTCAGAAGCCGATGCCATCGATCCTACTAGGATGACTTCCTTCCAGAAACTCAAGTTCTTGACTTCATGGTGGTGGGTTGGCTTCGTCACTTTTCCTAGAATTGTGAAAGAAGCTACATCCCTATTCTTTCAAAGGAAGCTCTATGTTTGGTATCGACCAGAGCCGCTCAAAACAAGCATTGGTCGACATGCCGACAAGATAGAATCCCAACTGGAGCCTTTTTTTAGGAAGTATCTGAGATATTTAGTCGAACAGTCATCCGAACTGCTGGTTGTGCAATATATCCCATGTGGTGTTGCAGACGCACATATTGAGACTATGGGATCAACGACTGCGAAGGAGAGCCCCGACAGTACTAAGATGGAGCTCAAAGTCTTGACACCCGCATTTTATTCAAGATTCGTATACTACGCTCACGATTTCGAAGCTATATTTTGTGAGCTGAGCGAGAGTAATACTATATGGGTGTCAAATCCTAAACTGTTGCCAAAGCTATTCGTGAAGAAACAACCACCGTCTCTTTTTCAAATAACAAGTTATTTAGACTATGGCTATTTTACAGCTATCAAAAAGCTGAGGCAGAGACCCGACCGAATTGAACGACCACTGACTTCGAGTCAGATCAGCTCAACTACCCAGTCTCAAAAGGATATCAGGGGGTTCCGACTTTCATCCATGGATGGATATGTTTTAGCCCACGAGGATGAAAAATGCCGACGAGTTTACAGGAACTCTGTATTGACGTTGTTCATGGCTGATAGAATTGCCATGGGTAGTGTGAATATCCTTCAGCTTGAACATTGGGTCCTCAGATTGATATTAGTTTGGACTGTAATATCTTAATAAATCTTGGGATATCCATCGTTAGTGTTCAATAGAAATGTCAAAGATAAATTCAATTCATCCTATATCTAGGTTTTTCCAATAAGCGTGGAGTAGGACGTTCGGCAAATTACATTGGAATATAGTCGCAGCGTCGGAGGCGGCCCTCGGAGGATTTTCAGTTGTGTTACATATCGTTCGGCTCGTACAACCTGCAAGCTTCAATGCGGCGCACGGTAGAAGAGCGATTAGTGAGATACGATGTTATTCCAAATAAAAAGAGCCAGTCAGCATCAGCACATCCACCCCGGGAGCTAATCAAGCCCATTGTATCAAAGTTGGTGGCTTCGAGCAGCGGAGCTCGGACTGGGATGTTTGACAAATACTTGACTGCTTGGTTAGGTCGATATGCCGCAACAATGATTCAGATCCAGGTTTAATCCAGGTTTAATTAATGCAGGTTGGTCCATTGTCATGATATCTACCTAGACAAGCATCGATTTAAGTCACTATTGCTTTTTCATGAGAAATAATCAAGTTGTCACCGCCATGTACTCGTTACATTCTACACGATCTATTCTCTACTAATCTAACATGTAAGTGTACAGCTAGATGAAAAGATCCACCTCCAACTCCGTTAGGGCTGCAAGGAATCAGATTCCGTGCTACGTCAACTGGGTTCCTGACGTAGACTAGCAGCAATAAGACGCATAACCCCACCAATAATTCCTTAGAGCTATCAACCCCGCTACGAAGGAAAGGCTCTTCGACGAAGACAAGTAGGTACTCAGTAACTAACTGTAAGGATCAGAATGATAACAGAAGGGAGAAGATGCAGGTCTGGTCCGCCAATCTGATAGCAATGACGGTTTACTCCGAGGCTAGGGGATCTTCCTCCCCGAGTTGAATCAGCCAAATTATGTCATTGTATCAACATTGTTCGTGCAACAAGGATACTAAAGCCATCTATATAAAGGTATCTCGTCCCTCCTTTAGTTTCGCTCTAAGTCCGTCCTATTATACAAACATATTCTAAGATACTACGGACTTCAACAAGTTTATCTATTATTATCTCCTAAACTTAGGTACATATCAACATTCCATATCACAATGGGTCTTTCTGGTCACTGCCTATGCGGCGCCGTAACATACACCGTCGATGCGGATCCCCTCATTGTCGGGTACGACCACTGCGACGACTGCCAAAGACAGACGGGCTCTACCTATTGTACGTCTATACTATACCCTTCCACTCTCCCCAATCACATCTATCGGAATTCGTTAATCTAACACGTCAATAGCACTCGTAGTAGTTGTCCCCAAGGACAAGCTAACCATCAACGGTACAACCAAGAGCTACGCAAAGGCGGGCTCGTCTGGAAAGCCCGTACACCGTGTCTTCTGCCCCGAGTGCGGGTCTCCTATCGCGCACGACCCGGAGGCAGCACCCCCGATCATCGCTCTCAAGGGCGGCACTCTTAGCGATGCCGATAAGAAGGCATTGAAGCCCGTAAGTTCACCCCTACATATCTAGCTTTTCCCCCTATATAGGTACTAACGTACGCCCGCAATTACTAGGACCCGAGATCTGGACCGTCAGCAAGCTACCCTTCTGCGCGGACACCTTGCTAAGCCGTTCGAGTATATGCCCCAGTAAAGAGTCGATGAAGGTTCGGTGGGTTATTTAACATAGTTCAATTTAAATATATAATCATGTATGTAGACGATGAGACTGATATAATAATCATCAATTGAAATAATCTTTTGAAATATCCATACCTGTGTATCTGTGAACTATAACAAAGCCTTGTTTATGTTGTGTTAGTTGTCTAACCTTGCCTCCTAATTTGGTGTTTCTACCTCTAGTCTCATCTACCGGTACTGAATCAAGTTCACGGCATCCGACACGATAGACTGACGTCGGAATAGGCGCGCCCACACGTGGCCGTGCCGTCCCCGGATTGAACTAACGCAGTACACCCGCGTCTCCTGCGGGAATCAAGATCCGACAGTCACTTTTTCGGATCCGCAACTTGTTTAGGCCTAGGTAGGCGTGTCTGGGGTCTATTTAGGATAGGCGGGTGGTGTGATTGGCTAAAGGGGAAAAACTGGCCAGCAGGGTGTCCATCAAGGTAGGTAGGTAGTAGGCGTGTAAAGTATGGATCCCATTAAAGGTAGGGAGGAGACAAGTCTGGTTTCGGTCGTTACAGTACCTAATATACGCGTAGATTGCGCCATTGGCTAGTGTGGGCTTAGCCGGGGGTAAATATATTGCCTTGAGCACGTTTTCTTAGGTAAGACTGTTCTGCTCCCATTATCATGTTGGTTTTGACGAGGAGATAGGTAGATGGATGGATGGATATTATATTGCGTAGATATTTCATTATACATTATATGATCAGCCTGTAAATTACGAACCCTCTTATAAGACAGCCACTAGCGCACCGCCTACCGCAGCAGCAAAGATGGCACCCTTTCCGTTCACGGGCGCCCCCGTCGGAACCGCAATATTACTAGAGCTTGAAGATGTCGCTGATGGCGCATTGGTAGTTGATCTAACTCCTCCGCTCTGAGATACCCCACCTGTTGCGGTCGCCTCCGAAGAACTCGAATCCGAGGTGTGCACAGTAGCCGCCGTTGCGCTCCCCGTAATAGGACCTGGGCCTTGGAGACCACTGGCCGTGTAGTACAAGCTCACAGCCGCATCGCCGCTCTTAACATCGCTGAACGCCGTATTTCCCGTCGTAGGTTCCGGAATGCCGGCCTGCGCGTCAGTAAACAGAGTCGCGAAAGCCGCCGTCGGCGTGCCCTCGCACAGTTTCTCGCTGGCGCTAGATAGCACGTCGGAAAAGTAGCTGAAGTTGCGCGGCGATAGCGCGCCGTGCTCTAATAGACATCGGCGGCATCCGAGCCACTCGGCGAAGTAGCTGCCGCCGCAGAGACATTGCGCGTGCGCCTCGAGAGCGAGGGGAGACGTCCCGTTAGGTAGACATGCCGTCTCGATGTTCTGGATCGCGACGCACGGTGCCGGGTCCGACTGGTCGGGGGCTTGGGCGGGAGCGCACATTGACGCGATGTATTCGTTATCGTCATCGTCATCGCTGACGGCTTTAAGCACGTTGGCGGATACGTTCGCGAGGACGTGTCGCGCGCCAAGGAGTAATAGCTGGGTAGTAACTAGTACTGAGAACTTCATCTTGGCCGCTATATCTTGGTTGGCTATAATTCAGATGACTAGATCGAGATAGTTTATTTTGGCAAGCTTCCTTGTTGCTCTTATTTATCCGAACAGCTTGTATATCTGCCCGTCTCTTTTCTACCCGTGCGCATCCAAACAGTAGGAAAGGAGTAAACAAATCCCAAGCAAAATGCGAGGCAGCGAGATTTTTAAGCGACGCAGCATCGTAGGACTTTGTGCATAGACGCTTGCCTGAAAACTTCCAACATATCGTCTGATTTGAGCTTCTAGACCCGGCGGCACAGCTTCGCGTCTAGACCTGGCGATTTGATGAGGCCCTTATCTGCGTCCTAATTTGGTGTGTATTTTCGTCATCACACGGCGGAATTACCCGCCTATCCGACTGCACATTTTATGTCACGATGCCGCGTTTAGAATCGATTTTCCGGGCATTTTGAAACTACAATACCTCCATTGCTCTTTGGACGTAATGATGGATGTTCCCTAGATTCCTTCATGACATATCGTTATGTTACGATTTATGTTCTTCAATAGAAATATAGTGTTTAAGATATTTTTGGTGGCGGGTGGGATGGTGGGTGCATCTGTTACCTCTTCCGTAGAAGGTATTTGTCAATATCTTAATCATGGAAAACTCAGTGACATAGTGTCTATCGTAAAGCCACATCATGGAGAAATCTACACATCCGAGGAAGTATATACAAGAGTAGAACTTATGCTCTAATGTTGCTGTGGTATAGTCAGTTCGGTCCTCCAAAATTTTAAATATTGGAACTCGATAATTAATGGTTTCTCGTAAATATCTCGCTGCCACAGTAGAGTAGTGACTGATATGCCGTGAAACTGTACGAGAAGTTTCGTTAGCACCACCCATCTTCTATCTCACTCGGGGTCTTCGATATAAGCCCAAAGTGGTACCCCTATCGTCTGTAAAGGCCAACGATAAGTCACCCTCTGATCCCCAGATGAAGATTAAAATCCCACTGTCATCGTTGTTCAGCCTGCCAGGATCATAGACGAGATATTAATAACAAAAGATAATTTTAATATGTATGGTTGTAGGTTCCTATAACTAGTCCGACGTTCCCCACGGGACGACAGAGATATTTCTATGCTTCTTGCTCTACTTAATAATTCACAAAATAGTAATCTAAAATGGTGATGCTATCTCTGCTGGAGAATTACCCCTTGATATAACTAAGGGCCTGGCCTATCCAACGTCTATTACCGAAAAGGAGTCTTGTGTTAATTTTTTTGTTTATTTATTTATTAATATTTGTAGAAGGATTTGGATGCCTCTGTTGGTAGTTTTTGTGGCCATATATCTTTGTTGTTTTGGCATCTCATGTCGCGCCCCCGAATTGATAAATTGAACTATCGACGATGTCAATAGACCACCATCCAGTCCAGGTCATCTGGACTAGAGATTCTAGAAGAATTCCAGGCGATAATTAACAGGTCGTTAGATTCCTTACTAATCCCCGCCTATAGACGAAGAAATGCTTGTCTTCCTTCGCCATATAGGGGAGGCATAGCGATACTAAAGATCTGGAGTAAGGAATATTTTTTTGTCTCCTAACGGCTTTATATCCCTTCACAACCCCCAAAAACATCTTCTACTTAATTCTAAAGCAACATAAATCGTCAAAACAGAAATGCTTAATGTTCGTTTGAGTAATATCCGAAGCATTATTACGCAGTGTGTCTCGAGTTCCAATATTGACCCAAGCCGCTGAGAAGAATACAAGAACTCCTACATGTAATCAAGTACTTTAGGTACATACATAGGGGGCATTTGCCTTATTTACATACAAATATACTACGGTATCAGGCAGCTGTGTATATGTATGTGAGGTTATGTACCTAAGTGAGATACTATTAGGTATTAATCTAGCCAACGATGGGCTTGAAAATCAAAACTTGATTAACTTCACTTATCAAACTGATCCAGAAAATCAAAAAGTAATTTGCGTTACGGGTGTGCTTTGTAATGTTTAAATTTTACTAATAGAAAGATCACTCTCGATATATAACTAAAATCAATAAGACTAATATTAGCAGCTTTATTACCAGTGATGCTGATTTTGAAAATAATTTGTTATCAGTGTTCAAGTTACCATTTTACCTAGCATTATGGCATATTCAATATACCAATTAGAATAAAATCGATCTAGCAATAAAATTACAAACTTTACTGAAAAGAGGTACGTACTGTTACTATGGGCGCAAATAAGAAACCTACCTAAGGTACCTTGAAGAAGTGTAAATAGGAGTAGCTATATTAATAGGGGGTGGGTGGTGATTTAAGTATGGTACCTACCTGAGTTTAGAAATAAATTATTTGTGTAGGGAAATCAAATCACTGAACATATTTTGTAGGCTGATAGAATCAGTTGCAAAGCTGATTCTAAAGTTTATTCTAATCATTATTGATACGTACCTTGGTACTGCGTACTTTGATTCTGATTTTGAGTTGACAATGTATGCGTGTCCTAGGTGATGGCCAGCTGTTGCGCGGACGATGTTGCTGATTTGATTTACTTAGGTACTTTTGATTTAATTCCCCTCTTGAATTTTAAATATTTTTGATCTTGTAGTAATTGATTGCATTCCCATTATTCCTAATCACTCCTCTGAAATTTTCCTACAAAAGAAAGCCCACCCGCAAAAAAATTATTTCCAACTTCTTCCTTCTTCAACACATTTTCCAAACCAACCTTCTCTCTCCTTTCCTACCTTTCCTACCTTTCCATACTATCTCATTAACAATATTCCCAATACCCTTCCCTTGCAATAAAACCTTTCTCTTAAACATTACCTTAATGCACCATACCTATACCTACTTACCAACCTCACTCAACTGTACAGCTATTATTTCATTCTTATTTTCTTGCAAACATTTCTCTGAGCTCAGGTACGTATTGAACTTTCATTTATTCAAACGCGTCTATCACTCTGGCAACAAAGTCTACGTGCCTAAGGTTTACATCGCGAATACAAATCATACATCACTCTTCCCTTTCCACCATCTCCCCCCTTCTCCTTTTCGCTACCATAACAACCACCACCACCATCAATTATTTTCTCCTTCATACCTCTCAAACCACTCAATATGTTGAAGACTTTCAAACATATTATGAAACCCATGAGCCTATTTGCTAAATTACATTCACTCCATTACCCATCTACCTAACCTTACCCTACCTTGTTGCCTAAACCCAGACCTTACACTCAACATCACTACCCTTTATTATTTTTGTATTCTCAACCTTTTCCATTCCTTATATTTAATCTAATGCACTTCGCACTCTTACCAAATCAAAATGCTAACATTTACGCCAGACTCTCAAGACTTTGTTTTGATTGTTTACATCTCGGCTCCCCTCACTCACATCACTGCCTAGCCCGCGTTCCTTAACAAACAATCCTCTCCTTTGCTACCTACTAAATGACCTCTTCCTACCCTTAACTACCTACCCGACACTCTTTTTACTTCTCACCTTCTTGTTCATCCTCAACCCCTCATCCTCTTGATCTCCACTATTTTTCTACTGACCTCTCAACCAACAATCCTCCTCTTCCTCTTTTTACCTCCTTACCTCTCTACCTCTCCCTTTTCCCTACCATGCCTCGACTAAATTATTACAACAGGTAATTATCTTCCCCATTACTAACCACCAAACAATCATAGAACCCCGCCCTCACCATCCTCCTACCTCGCTCTACCCTCGACTAACCAACACTCCATTCCGACCGACAATCCTCTTCGATCCACCGACCACCGACCAACCTCCTACCTCCTACCTCCTACCGACCGACCGACACTCCATAGATAGATATACATATACATATACTGGACAGGGATGTGGTGCTTGGTCCTGGGTACGAACTTGCACTAGAGGAAATATGCCCGAACCCAACAGTCAAGTATGCACCTCCGAAGGCTGAATGAAACCCTTTGTAGGGAATCGGCATTGTGCTGGTTAAACCCACTCTCGTACGGCCCGGGTCCCTCGACTTGCTCCCATATTCTCTTACCTTTGATCTATGAGAGAAGAAATTCCGGTGATCGGTTCGAGTCCGGCACGCGGTGGGAGCGAGATATGTAAGCCTGGAGAGAAGCGCGCTCTGGACTATTTTCTCTCTTACTCGCATTGCACTCTCGGCCTAGTCTAACTGACCCTGCGGTAACGGAGGTGGGGCGAACGCGGCAGAGGGTATGTGACGCCGGGGTCTTTCGCTGCTTTGGCTGTCCTAGGTGTGACTTGGCTCAGTTGGTAACTGAAATTTTGGAACCTTTTTTTCAAAGGCTTGTGTGCGGCCTGTTTCTGGTATTACACTACCTCCAGAAACGAACGTATGCAACTGGGCTCAGTTGGTGAGCGGATGCTCTAATGCAATCCATAATTTTTTGTATCCAAGGCTGCACATGGCCTATGTCTCTGACAAAATATGTGCACCCCCTTTTTTTCGTTGCTCTCTCCAATTTATTGGGGGTGTGAAGAAGAAACCGGAGTTTAATTGTTATTATGTATCGATGTTACTCGTTGTATTATATGATAGTCGCTATGGGGATATCATCGTCCATGACTACGATAACAAGGTCATATATTTTTCCTTATTATGATCGATTTGACGTTGATTTGTATATCAACGTCCCCCGGCTGGTTTATTTGCTTTTGGAAACTCCGATAGTATGATAAGGCATTTGGCATACATATGTTGATCTCCGAGCCAGTCATTTCCTTGAGGCTTTAATATATGAAGGGTTAATTTATAAATGATCAACCCGGAGTATTTTTGGGCTATGAAAATACCGATGCTATGCACCACGTCGTGTGACCAAGCCGTGGCATCACTTTTTGGCTACCAATCTAAGCTCTCTGAGATAATTCGGACGCCGATTTCCGACATCTATGTAGCATTGTGATCCGAGACCTGTGGGTGTGGTGCGCGGAGATGCCGAATCTAAGTAATGAGGTTCGCGTAACTATGGCTACGATCTATTTTGTGCCGTGGTATAGGAATCTAACGCATCTGTAGTTCTCGGAGGATATTAGGCTGATATAAGAGGGATTAGAGAGAGAAAACAGGTTGGAGCTGAAGGTTCTAGTAGATTAGATAATTAGGGAAGAGGCGCTTAGGTCATACTTAAAAAAGGGGTTCGGGAATAGTTATAATTGTAATTAGGCGAGTTCGAGAGAATCGATCATCCAGACTACCCCCTATTGGGGCTCATAGAAGCATTTCCCGATAATCGGTTAGCGAAATATGAGGGCATATATTAACAGCGTGTTACCTTGTACTAACCTCGCCGTGCATAATCTCGCTGGCCGGGATTGCTTTTCTATTCCCGAATACTTACAACAGGAGGCTCTCTGACAGCGAACCTGTAGCCCGAGACACATATTTCGGGGATCGACTCTGGCCATTTGGTCAAGACTCTTTCACTGTCATCTATCGGCCTCAACAAATCTGACTTCTGTTTGAGCCTAGCGACCTATTAAATGCTCACATCCTTATAGACCTTTGCGGCCTAATTTAAGACACCACGCCCCTATTCAAATTCAGTCACTGTCCAGGTTACCTACGTTTCATCCTCCTGATAAACATTCATACCTACAAGATGCCTTCTAACAAAGACATGCCGCTGCCACGCATTGTCGAGTTGGCTGCCACGGTTAGCGACTCGGTCGCTAAGATACAGCAGGTGCTGTTAGCCAAAGGCGCTCCTTGGCCATCGTTCGACGAAAATGCTCCAGACTCCCTTCCCAAGGAGGCGACCGAAGCCCAGAATGCAGTGATAGGTATGAAGACATTTGCCCCCCGGTTAGCATAACATACGGCTACGCTACAACTGCGTTGAATCACGTTTATGACACCTGGCTAATGGTAGAAATGGCCAGATGCTGCTGCTGAGCTGTATGACTTGATGCTAGATCCCTTGACTTTAGTATATAAACACTCTGGGGTAAGTACCTATTTATGCCACAATACCTACTATACGTATACCCCATGCAGTTTGTTTGTTTGGCTAACGCTGGATGCAGGGCTATCAATTGACAGGCATCCAAGTGATAGGACGCTACGAAATCGCCAAAATGGTTCCTGCGGGTGGTCAGATATCTTATGGCGAGATCGCCAAGCAGACTAGTTTGAGCGAGCATATATTTCGCCGCCTCCTGCGTCACGCAATGACCCTGCGATTCTTCTGCGAGCCACAGCCGGGCATGGTGGCTCATACGAAGGCGTCCAAGTTACTCTCCCGTCCCGACATAAATTCATTCATGAGTTTCAGTCCCGAAATTGGCTGGCCGTCTGCTTTGAGGGTAAGCAGGTTCGAAGTTGTTGAGGGGGGAGTCTTGAAAACAATACTGACAGTTCATCTTGCTATGTAGTTGCTGGATGCCCTGGAAAAGTGGCCCGAGTCCCAGGAACCTAACGAGACGGTAATGATACCCGCTAAACTAACTGACTTCCCATGCTCATGGATCACTGACGTATACTTTTACCGAATAGGCATTCTCCCTCGCTAATAATAACGAAGGGTCTCTGTATGAAGTCTTTGCCCGTTACCCGGAGAAGGCGTTGCGCTTTGCTGCGGGCATGTCGACCTTTGCAGTCCTCCCCAGCTTCGGCCTATCTTCTGCGATAGACGGCTACGACTGGGCAGCGCTAGGTCGTGCGCGCGTTGTCGACATCGGCGGCTCACAGGGGTCTTTGGCTGTAGCGCTCGCTAAGCGGTTCCCCGATCTCAGCTTTGTCGTTCAGGATATGCCAGAAGTTGTTGAAGGGGCCGGTGCGACCTTACCGAGTGAGCTACGCGGCCGCATTAGTTTCATGGCCCACGACTTTTTCAAGCCGCAGACGGTGCGCGCTGATGCCTATCTTCTGCGCACTATTTTGCACAACTGGTCGGACAAATACTGCTTTCTAATCCTGCATGCCCTGGTGCCAGCCTTGAAGCATGGTACAAAGATACTCATTAACGAAATCTGTTTATCTACGCCTGGTGCCATACCTGCGCACCTAGAGCGCGATATAAGGTTCGTAATATGTTTTTGAGGTATACTCCTACTTATTTGTTAATCGCTAACATGCATCTCCATCCTAGATCCCATGACTTAGGCATGAGGGCGCTTTTCAACTCACAAGAGAGGGACTTGCAAGAGTGGAAAGACTTGTTGGCTGCAGCCGACAGGAGATTCGTATTCCAGGGCATATCGCAGGTCCCGCGCTCGGCTTTGGCCGTTATCGAGGTGATTTGGGATGAAAATGCATGAAGACGCAGGAAAACTCACCTATGATGGAATTTCTGAAGCGGATAATAGATAGTTACTGATAGTTACTGGAGAATAGAAATTCTCAACTTATTTTGGACTTCAAGTTCTTTATCTACGGATTGCAGGTGATTCTACCGTGTTGACACAAACCTCAAGCGAAGCTAGGCTTCTAACGTACCAAATAAGGTCCCTCGAAGGTATTTTCGTCAGGCATCATAAAGACGAGATAACATATACTCCGCCCGTAGCAATGCTATAAGATGTCTGAAGTAGCATTGTCACATAGGTGAGTAAGTACTTGTACCGCTGTAAGTGGCTAGCTTTGCCGATCATCTTCCTCTATATGACAGCTGCACGGATACCTAGCGATTTGCTCGATGCCTCCTTATGAAAGACTTACAGCGATGGATAATGATGTCATGGCCACCACAGAGTAAATGCAGTAGTAATAACACGTCTACAACAGCATATAGATGCATTGTAACATCTCGGAGTTCTAAGGGAGAATAAACTGCATATGTGAGGTGAACTTACCGCTACACCTTGTAAGACAATGGTCGACATAACGTCCGATTCCCGATTCCCGACCCCGAACATTAATGCATCGGGGACTATGGTAGGATTGGCCTTGTCGTCATTTTTAGGAAACTACCATTGCGGCTCTCTGCCTCGAGCGCTGTAGCGCGGTTTCGACGATCGGGATAGAAATTAACGAATGAATTCACATCCTTTTACTAATATCCGTATTGTGACTGGGCACTCCGTTTTTGCATAGAATCGAATGACCAGCTCCAAGTCGGCGTCCGATATAGACTTCTGCTGTGGGGAGTAAGGCTTAGGCGGTTGGTGGTTCATGTTGTAGGATAAATGAGGCCGAAATGACCTCCTGGAAAACTTGACGAACTCATGCATATTCGCACCCAGAGAGATCACCAACACTTTAATCCTCATCTCTTAGCAATAGTCCTTCAAAGCAGGCATGACGACCGCTGCACTCTCCGTAACCCCCGAACTGCACGGAATAGTGCATGGGAAGGGTAACCCCCCAGGTACTCTGGAAGAATTGAATCGACTTCTCCAAAAGAATCATGAGACATTTCACATCTTCTTCCGCCCTATGGGTGGGATGAACCACATTTCACATAGTATCCTCACCTGCTACGCGCTGGGCGCCGACCCCAGACAGCTCCAAGACCGCTACCACGATGAGGGAGTGTCACAGAAGCCGATGCCCCCCCTCGACATGGAGCTGCTCGCAAAGCTCGACAACCCCGAGATTTTCTCCCAGCACATGTATGTCAAGGCACAGTACCAGACATTCTTAAGGTTCTTCGAACGTAAGATTGTCGCCAGCGGGTGGAAAGCCGTGGTGCACGAGTTCCTCTTCTCTCGCTCCCGGATCGCCAATCGTATGCTCTGTGCCATGTTCGACGGGCTGTTTCACGCACTAATCCACCTGGGACTGGCTATCGAATTCGACCTCCCGGGACTTGCGGCGGAGGCGCTGGCCCAGGCCGCCACCAACGACGACAGCGACATCGAAAAGCTGTTTGCGATGTGCGAGACCGAGGCTTTAGCTCACGACGACCGGCCGCCGACGACGATACTGCAGTTAGTTCACGAGGTCCGTGCCAGCGAGGAGATCCGCACGGCGCCGCGCTGGTCGGACTTGGGGCTCAAGATGCGCAACGGCTTGGTAGCGCGCGGCGGCGAGGCGTTTGCGCGGCTGGCGGGACGCTTCCGCATCGCGGCCGACGAAGACGAACTGGCTCGACGCACGGCGGAGATGATGAGCGTGTGTGCGTACCTATGCGGAGCGGCGCAGTTCCCCGGCAAGAAGACCAAGATCGACTTCTTCTGGATGCACGAGGTCACCAGCAGCCTGTTCCTAGGCATACTGGCTAAGCAGAAAGACTGGATCTCGCTGGAAGACCGCGTGCTCCTCATGGAACGCAAGGTGCGCACCGACTTGGCCTGGTATGCATGCTCGGGAAGCCCAGCGTTAGATGAAAATTTTCTTCCGAACTACTCGAACCCCGAGAGCGACGGCTGGAGCTGGGAGGACCTGTACAGGGCTGTCGTCAATGAACACGACGACGGCCACGCGGCCAAGTTCATCCGCGCTTGCAAATACGCCGAGGAGACGTGTGCAGAATTTGAGAACGGCAAGTGGGACGACTACCTGCCTGTGAAGGGAGACATGTGGCTTAAGCTGGCGAGAATGTGTCATGACACCACTAAGAACACCGAGATTGACTTCAAGTGGGTTCGGTTCACTGGATTCCCGGAGGCATGGCAGCGACCGGATCTGCTTAATTAGATTGTTAGGTGATAAGTTGATAAATCCAGTTCAGGTATATTATCGATTCAATATGTCTTCATCGATAAAGCTGAGTGATAGAGTTGGCGTCCCCAGTTGTAGTTCACTAGGTTAGGGTTGTAGTTTATAGTTTACTTGGGTTGGCAGACCCCTCTATCTTGACCAAAAACGTCAAAATCCAAAAACAGCTAATCCTAAAATGGAAGTTTGATACAGGTCCTAGACCCCCTTTTTTAAAGATATTATATATAAGTGCACTGTAAATACAACGAAATTGGTACTAAAAGCCGCTATAACTTTGTATTATGTCTTTTTTAGGCAATACTTCGTACACAGATTGTTTTTCGATCTTGACTTTTTTTGTATGAACTTGTAACGCCGTAACCTAGTCAGATGCGACCCATTTCCCAAATGCACCCAAACCAACCAAAAACAATTCAAAAGAAATCCTAAGATATAATCTATTGATCCTACGGCTGAACTCGCTACGTAAACTTCTCTTTACCCGTCCACCATTTTTCTTACTATCTCCCAAGTGTGCTTTCAGGCAAGTAAGGGTGGAGGAAAGGGAAAAGGTACCTAACGAAGCCCATTGAAATTAAAAATAGAGTATCAAGCGGCACTTTAGCCCCCTTGCCAGATATCTTATTCACCACACCTACACTTCTCCCGTCGTACCGCCCCTCATCATCGTCGGCCGCCTCGATCATCCCGCCAGCAAGATCCATGTAGCTCAGGAAGCTTTCTTGGTCGTCAAATGTAAGCCGGTGTCCGCGGGCGATATCCGGGGATAGGCCGGCGGGCTTGATGTAGATAGACTTGATCCAATGGTCATGGGAACGCATGACGTCCTCCGCGCGTTGCAGATCCAAGTAAACGTTGCACGCGGCCCGCAGCATGATGGGCCGGAACCATATCGGCTGCGTGCGCCCGAGATGCTCGTCGAAACAGCACGCGCTGAGCAATACTAGCTTAGGCGGGGTATACGGAGCCGGGCTCGCCTCGTCTCGTAATCGGTACAGAGTGCGAAGTACGACCAAGGCAGTATCCGTGTTGAGTCGGACGCCAGGGATGTTGTCGTTACTCGTCACTGCTAGGAACACGGCTTTCGTTCCGCGTAGGCAGTTGTCCATCAGCGTGTTATCGTTGATGCTCCCTTCGAACACTTTGACCTGCTTGTGGTCGATGACTTCGGGCACGATTCTCTGCAGCTTGGCTTCACTACGACAGTAGGCATTGATTTGGCTCTGAGGGTGGTGCTCTAGAAGATTTCGGATGAGAGCAGAACCGCAATTACCCGTGCTGCCGAGGACGGCGTAGGTAGACATTGTAGATGGCGTTAGACGATGTGTCCTAGGTAAACGACGCCGAAGGGGAAGTTCCAAATGCTTTGTCTTCTAGCTTTCATGTTGCTCTTAACATAAATATCGGAACTCGGGCTCGGGGTTCAAACTTGGAATTAACCAATAAGCATCAACGGAGTATCTATGCGGACGCCGACTATATTACATTGCATTCTGTAATATCATTCGGGTCTTGAAATAGAATGCATCTGTGCTCGCCAATGACGCCACATAATGGAATATACCGGTTCGGAAGACCTTGATCTGGACCCTGGACCCTGGACCCTGGACCCCGAATTGATGTCTTACCCTCGCTTCTTCTGCGCTGCGTAGTAACAAACAATTTGTAGATGACCTGAAATGAGTGGTGTACTAGTTCTTCGTTGGTTTGATAACCCCAGTTTGAAGAGCCGTTGCTTGGTGGCCTCCGCCTTGGTATAAAGTGAGAAAACATCCCTTAGACTGACAGAATGGTACATGCCTATACCTTAGGTACCCATAAACACGACAGCCTCGCCTATGCTAAGACACTCCTATCGATAACTCGTCTATTATACTGATTCAACATTGGGCTATTCGATGTGGTGAAGAGTGCGACATCTATGTCAGAAATGAAGGGCTAAAAAAATCAGTTAGACACTTGTTATTATTATAAGGTACCTAGTTAGATAGCTTAAGGAAAACTCTAGATTTTGATCTACTGTGTCGCAGTTCTGCTCGCAACCCTTTCCCACATGTGTAGCTTGCCATGATGCTCTCATATCGTAAAGTCTAACAGCCCAGATATGAAAACTTACTCGGGTTTACTACAATATCTGCGAATCTCTTCATCGACTTACATGAGACTGTTACAGTACCTATTCCCTAATGAATCCCCAGTGAATCGCCACGGGACGCAGGGCCTATCGGTGGTCGATTCGGTCTCCGTTTAAAGCCACTCCTTGAAGTAGTTATTCTTGGGAAACACGCGTTTTATCTGCATTTGCACTCAGTATATTAGTGTCTATAATCCTACAAGTTCCTTCTGCCTGCTAACCTGCATCTAAGTAGCTTTACATTTCTATCCCTAATACAATGACCGACTCCCCGGAAATCCCAGCACGACCCCTTGGTAATCAAGATGGTAGTCAGCTTCTCTGCTTGACTATCTGCGGCTACCGGCGCCCCGGGATGAGCGAAGAAGACTACCGGCATCATATGCTGCATGTATCAGCTCCGATGACGAAGCATCTTATGGTTAAATACGGCGTGAGGCGGTGGACTGTGGTAAGTTCCGAGACCGCTTCTTCGGTCTTCCTACCATACCTACGTATCTCCTAATGGAGCACTAGATATTAATTGGTCGGTTGACTATCTAGATCCACAACACAACTGAGTCCCGCGCTCTCTTGAGCCGCCTGGTCGATCCCCAGATGGCCAATTTTGCCGATTTCGACTGTTTCAGCCAAGTCGTGTTTGAGAATGTTGAGCAATACAGGAAGATGAAGGATGACCCGTGGTATAAAGAGCATCTGGTGGGAGACCACGAAAAGTTTGCTGATACGAAGAGGAGTATGATAACCATTGGCTGGATTACGGAGAACATTCGAGACGGGCAGGTAGTAGAGTAAAGCGTTTGGTATGTGGAACGTTGTTAGTGGCTTACCCATTGGGTGTTGGTAGAGATACGTCGGACTTCGGATGTAAAGACCAAGCCGGAGAGCGGGTTAGACGTTCTCCTCGAAGCCTCAATCTTGACAATACTATTAGTTATAGCTTTGGTATTCATAAAGCCTTTTGAAAGTTCTTCTAGGACTAGGAAGGGAGCTGGATACCATAGAATAGAACAGGGATTTGCAAAATCGACATACGAGTTTTGCTCATAAAAAAAGAATCACATTATGACATCTACAATAAGTGCCCAAGCCACTGCCTTAGTGTCGGGGTCTTTCCTCTCCGGTATGATCGATATTCCTTTTAATGAGCCGTTTTAAGACTGACAGACACATGAATAGGAGCCATGATGTCACTATCATTCATCGCTGTGCCGGTCTTCCTCGATACCACATCACAATCGCCCCAGCTCTTCCAACAATGGGCACGAATGTATAGCTATGGACATCAAGCATTACCCACCTTGGCCGTCGGTACATGCCTCCTCCATCTATACACCGCCGCCAAGAGGCGCGGCGCTAAGAAGAGTTGGGGAATTTTTGCTGTGGCTGGTGTGACGACACTTATCATGTTGCCGTTCACATGGCTCGTGATGGCGCCGACTAACAATGAACTTTTTGGGCTTGAAATCTTGAGCAAAAGTGAGCCAGAGATCGCGAGCATTGCTGGGGCTAAGGAGTTGGTAGCAAGGTGGGCTAAGTTACATCTCACTAGGTCAATTTTCCCCTTTGCGGGGGCTATTTTTGGAGCAATCGGGATATTTTCTTAGGCTCGTCGGGGTTGGGTTAGACGCATGTTTCGGGATTTATTATGTGAATTCCGAATGAAAAAATCGGTCGTTGGTCGAGTCGGAGGCCGATTTGTTTAGTCCTGGGTAGCCGATTAATAGATTTTCCCCGGGTAGATGAACCGAAAGACGTGTCTGTTACAACTATGTATATATGTTGGGATTAACATGTGTAGAACGGGCTTTGGTTTAGTAGCAATAATCTTCCAAGTTACATCATGGCACTCGGTACCTTGTATATTCATCATGTCAGTAAGCCCGGTGGAAGAAAAAAAATCCTGTCAGTAGTAAACTCGTCTTGCTAACATTGTTTACGTAGCCAAGCGCGCGGACACCCGCCATCTTGGCCATTGCCAAAGAATATGGAATCGAGCTGGAAATCGTCCACGCGGATACGCATGGCGGGGAGAACTATGACAAGCTGATCAAGTTCAACTCACTAGCTCAAATTCCCGTATTCGTTGGTCCGGATGGGTTTGTCCTCACGGAATGTATTCCGATTGCTTTGTATAGTACGTGAAGTCTTCAAGCCGGGGATAGATAAGTGCATACTAACTAATTAAACCAGTTACTGGCCAGAGCGATACCACAACTCTTCTTGGCTCCAACCGTAGAGAGTACTATCAGATCATCCAATGGATGTCCATGATAAACTCCGAGATGGTCCCCAACATTGGTGGCGTCGTGCTGCCTTTGCTTGGTCGGCAACCGTCCGTGCGTCAGAATAGTGAGGACTGCCTGCGCCGTTTTCACATTGGCTGCAAGCGCCTCGACACCCACCTTCAGAAGAATCGATATCTTGTCGGAGACCAGGTAACCCTTGCGGACCTGTTCAGCGGGGTGCATTCATATTTGCTGTTAAGATCTTTCATAAGGTCCTAGAGGCTCAATATCCACGGCTATTTAGTTGGTTTCACGAGATTTATGAAATACCTATGTTCAAAAGGATTGTAGGAGAGTTTTGAGCCGTTGGATATTCCAGTCCCCATGTTACCAGAAGAACAGATCCCAAACTGAGGCCTGCTACCAGGCATATTGTACGTATGTGAACAGCAAATACGACACATTGTAGCCATCTTCCATATTGTTCATTATCCATATTATGCATTATTACGATACTATCGTAGAGTGAGAGTGCCCAGGAAATAATACCCAGTCTTAAAACCATGATGCCTTTTACTACACTAAGCCTATTAGAGTATGCACTCACAACACCGCGGCTGGGATATGTAACCTAAATCATGAACCGGAATCCGAGCATCGGGTTACGAGTGCTTCATGTTCATCTTGTTGCTTTTCTAGGTAGCTTTCTTAGCCACTAGACTATTTGTTAAAAATATTCAGGGGCTTACTTATAAAAAAAGATAATTATTAGTACCGAACAATAACCAATAGCGTTCGAGACTCGCTAATAACTGATAACTGTATTACCCGCGTTTACATTCGCAGTCAAAGGAGTGGGCATCGATTCGATTTCCGATGTATCTCAAAAGACAACAGCCAAGAGGTAGGCCGATAATCCCGAATTTGCGGACCCCTAGCGCACACAATCGAACTCATGTTTTAGGGGGGCGACATCTGCACCGGGGACCGAAGCGAGACCGACCTTGGGATTGCACCGACATGAAGGCTTTCCGATATTGGGAATTGCCACTTCTTGGGGAATGAAGACATGTTCTATGATGTCTATCAAGATATGTGCGATGTTTGGTAGACAACTGACTCTAACCAGCAGTGATACATGTAGCGTCGTCGGTAGGATATTATTACTTTATGAATGAGGTAGACTGTCGTGTTGTCCGTTGAAATTATCTATTCTGCTTGCGTACCCCTAAAGCGTTGAAAATGCAGACGACCGTTACACAGACAGAAAAGAAGAAGGGCGTAGGGGGGTATCGACAAATCAACAAGAGCCTCAACATCTGCGCGTTCGACAGCTATCTAAACTCACAGCAAGCTACTTTGCCCGAGTTAGCAGATGTAGAGCAAATCAGTCCCCGTGTCATCCGCGTACTAGGCCAGAACCCCGGAAAGGTAGGTACTATCGCATATCGAAGCTTTTGGTTGGTGCTTTTGCTAACGGGATGGAGCAGTTCACTCTTCAGGGGACAAATACGTGGATTATCGGCACAGGCGAAAAGAGATTGATCATCGATACCGGCCAGGGCATTCCTGCTTGGGCTGATTTGATCGAGTCCACCCTATCTGACATGGGCTTCTCCTTCTCCCACGTCTTGCTCACTCATTGGCACGGCGACCACACGCAGGGAGTGCCCGATCTTCTACGGCTTTATCCATATTTACACGACTCCATCTACAAGAACTCTCCAGGGAAGGGGCAGCAGCCTATTTCCGATGGCCAGATCTTCAAGGTTGAGGGCGCCACAGTCAGAGCGGTGCATGCGCCAGGCCATTCGAATGACCACATGTGCTTTATATTGGAAGAAGAGAATGCGATGCTCACCGGCGATAATGTCCTCGGGCATGGGAGTAGCGCGGTCGAGGGAACTGGGGACGTACATGGCAACCCTTGACAAGATGCGGTCTCACGGGTGCATAACCGGCTACCCGGCCCACGGCGTCGTTATCGAGAACCTACAAACCAGGATCACAGGGGAGCTTGCTCAGAAGCTACGGCGCGAGATACAGGTGCTCAAGGTGCTGAACGAGCTCAAGTGCCAGACTATCGAGGGGAGGCGAGGGGGCGTCGCCACATTATCGGTGATGGAGATTGTGGTGATGATTCATGGCGACGCTTTAGACGAAGAGGTTGCTAAGCTGGCGTTAGAACCTTTCATAGAGGAAGTTCTGCGCAAGTTGACCGACGATGGAAAAGTGGCTTTTCAGATAAAGGGCGGGCGGCAGAAACGGTGGTTCAGTATTGAATAGATCCTATAAGTGTTTTTATTCGAGTCACGCTCTGGGTAGGTAGCAAAAAGCCCTCTATCTAATCTTTCCTGGTCAACTGCGGAGGTGTCGCATGCGAAAAGGGGTTGGTTTGTAGCCCGTCAACGTCATGTCCCAACCTAACAAATTCGAAGTTACACATTAAACTGTTTGGTTATGAAATTCCCCATTATTGCCTTGTATAATATGTCTAATACGCCATGTATGATGGGTTTTGCTTGTTTATGTTTTGCTAATGAGTGGTGATAATAGAGATAGTGAACTCTTCACGTCTATATCGGGTGGTTATCTCAGTGGTTGCGGGGTCGTTGGACTCTGGAGACCACGGAAAATGATACCACGGCGCTCTTTGCGGCTTACGTTGGAGACATAGTGCTAGGAGTATTGAGCAGGACTCAAGGGTAGTTGGGTAACCGAGATAATAGGGGATATATGGTTTAATCGCGGTAGACTTAGTGGTACGTATCTTGACTTAGTTGATGCATTGTATTAACGGCCGGTGTATTGTATCCATCATGGTTGTATGGATCGCCAAGCTGAGCATCTTTTATTTGTGTACCATCGCGCTTTATTGCCGAGCGCCGTGCGGTCCATGACGGGGTAGATCATTTAATTCGCTTTATATGCCAATGAGAACTTCAGGGGATCTCTGTACATTCGTCTTAGATACTGATAGTGGATGTTTTATGAATGGGCATGTGTTGTTATTCTCTATGATGCCTGTATAGTCTCTTTGTTTCATTCTGTGTAACTTAAGATTCTCTAGTCAAATACTCACCAGTCAACCCCAAAGCCGCTAGGTTCCAGCTTCATCTTCAAAATATCTATATTTTTCGCCAGAGCGCCTTTCTGCTTCGCCAGCCTATCACACTAACACTTTCGTGGGATGCGTCTGTTGGTTAAGGGTTCTAGGGACTCATTCGTCTACAACTGCAGCTCAACTGGGGCAACAGAGAACATGGTCGATTTGCTAAAGACGAGAGAGGACACAAGGCCAACCCGCGCCTGATCATCTCGCTATAGGAAGCAGGTTAGGAGAGGTTAAAACATATTTTCAAGTTAGCTTAGGGTAACTTAGATGACGGGCCACTCCATTATTTTACGCCCTTACCGTCTTTGAGTGAGTTACATAGCTGAATCCATTGACTAGTTGATCTGCAGTGTCATCCTCGACGTAGGATATCAACTATCTCACCAGACAAGGCGCGAAGATGCCTACGAATATCTTCCTCTAGTTGATCTAGCAAGTTAGCAGACAACGATAAAGCCTCATGCCCTTCCTCAAGATCCGAGTTAGTCTTATCACCCACAGCATCGTCCACAGATGTCTCTTCGCGTCCCTCGCCAGTCTGTAGCCGGTTGGCTTTGAGCCGCGGCGACAGCGTGCTTACTACACCTTGCACAAGATGAAGCTGCCTAAGGATAGAATTTGCCACCGCGCGCATTTCCTCCTCGTCCTCGGCATAATTACTAGACTTGATTGGATCAGGGACATAATCAGCCTTCCCATTTGTTTTAGACTTCTTAGAGCTCCGAATGGCGGATTTATACAGACTTAAGACCTTGATGACGAGGAAGCATGTAATGGACAACAAATAAGGATCTTCCAAACATGTACATCTCGCAATGTCACAAATTTCCTGGACATTCTTTCGGTTCTGGGCAACGGTTGACTTGGGGGTGGTAGTCTGGTTGTCTTTGCGGCGGTGGCTTAAAGTCGAGCCGCAAGGCAGTCTCCTGGCTATCCGAGACTGCGCAGATAGCTGCTGTAGTAGCCTAAGTGCACGTCCCATGCAGGCACATTGAGGTTCTGATGAAATCTCTTCAGGGGTAGACGATGAGCCAACCCCGGAGTTAATACTGAAATCGACCAGATGTGGAATACGTGTCTTTGCTGGTATAGACTCTGCTATTGATTCATCCGCAATGGATGAAGGATGCTTTGGGGTTGGGAAAATAGATCCTTGTAGATCTAGCTCCAAAGATGAACCGGTGCCCTGCAAGGTAGTAGACGTGTCAATGGGGTCAATATTCGAAAAGAGCCCGCGAGGTCGAAATTGAGCCAAGATATGGCACCTTGGTCGAACATGTCGAAAAAATGAGGTGTGGGGTTGTTTGGTGATAGTGCCGAAGAGTCTTCAAGAGTTGCGATAGAACTAGATGGTGCTACGTCACGGAAGCCTGACGACGGCTGGGTAAGAGAAATATGTAACGAGTCTGAAGATGGGTGCAACAACCGGTGGTGTAGGGGTCGGCGTTTCCATCCATGTAACAGGGCGCTTGGTAACAGTTGTAGTGGAGTAACATTTGTAACCGCCGTTTCGGTTGACCGCGTTGGACCCAAACGACCTGCGCGTTTGCTTTCCACATAAATACATGCCTTACTTTGCCTAAGACAACGAGAACATGCTGGTTTCTCCCTGCTGCATTTCAGCTTCGATGTTGCGCAGTTCTCACAACTATCTCGTAGCTTGAGCTTGCGCGGTTGTGGCTGCGCACCTGACGATACCATTGGCAAGTCTGGCTGTAAATCAGGGGAACGTGACGCCGCCATCAGGTTGCGGTGTGATAATTATGTGATAATTATGTGATATGTCAACGGGCGGTTGGTTTAGAGTGATTAGGGAATGGGATATCCAGCGTTTCCCTAGCGCAAGATCGCTGGGTACGGAATGGAGGTAGCTGTAGCTGTGTTATAAGTATGTAAGATCATGGCTTGGTTCGTGATATGTGGGTATGAACCAGCTGGTTCACAAGGGACTATAGAATATATATTACTTTTGTAATATTCACCCGGTGGAGAAAGATTCTGCTTCTACATAATTATGCATGCGCCGAGTCGCAGATCATACCCGGTAACGTCCTGGCTACACGTATTTACTAAGTTCACATATATAGGTCTGTCATCGTCGGATGCAATGCATCAGAAGCGCTCAAATGGAGCTACAATGCTAGGTTATTAAAGCTATCTCGAAGTTGTGCTAATTCTGTCAGTTAGCACCGTGAGACTTTAAGCTTAGGATGTAGGGAAAGCTGAAGAGCAGTATGGTTCAGTCGTCGGAGTCCTATGGAGTTGTCGGAGTATGGAGTCGTCGGAGTATGGTTCGTCCCGGATGGTTTGGAAAAAGGTTGCCGAAACGGAAAGCTTAGGGATAAGTCCTTTCTGGTTGCTGTGCAGGCAAATCGGAATTACTCCGAGTAGGAGGCACGGCAAATACAAATCAACTAGTTAGGCAAGGTTGGGAACATAAAATTGGCATACTTTTGATGGACATCCAACGCGAAAGAAATGTAGAAACCATTTTGTCCTCAGCCTTGTCAGGGTACCTAAAGCAAGCGCATTGAACTGCACGATCGTAAAAGATCAGCGCTTAACCATTACCGAGACAGTGCTTCTTCAGTGGAGCGATGGCAGGCCTGGCACAAGTCGAGTACCACGGCAACGGAATCGCTCATAGTCTTAGGAACCTGTCCACTTATGTGTGTGATCAAGCTTGGGACGCGAACGATGGGGATTCGGGCGGTGATGGCGTCGAGAAACCTCTGCTCCCAGCAGGTGTGTCTGACGACGCACACCATGCCCGGAGATCGATACTATCTCATGTATCTCAGATCCAAATCCTTCTAGAACAGCCCGCTGACTTTCTGCAGCGATTGGCTAGACAGGTGAGTCGCGGCACATACTCTGTTCCAATACCCTGCCATGTCTGAGCCCGAGCCTGCCTCTAAAAGACATGCCCTAGACATGGCTTTCAAACATGCATTTCTCAGTATCTGATGCAACGCTAATACGGGTACCTACGGGTAGAACCAAATGCTTGCTTGCTTGCGCTGGCTGAGCGAGTATCAAGTATTAGCATGCATCCCACTCCAGGGTCGGGTGCCTTCCAACGATGTAGCCGTCCTGCTTGGAGTACCCGAGAGTCAATTGGTGCGAATAGTTCAAATGACGGCCACGGAGGGCTTTTTATGCCAACCTGAACCTGGCAAATTGGCCCATACAGCATTATCTGCCCCTTTTGTTGAAGATCCTAGCTTGCAGGATGCCGCCCTCTTTCTTTCCGAAATTGCGGCGCCGACGGCCTTTCAAATGGCTGCCGCCACCCGACGATGGGGGCTGTCTTTAAAAGGAAACGAGACACCATATAATATCGCCTTGAACACATCCAAGACTTTCTCCGGCGCATGCCAGCAAAGCCCTCGGATGCGACGTCAATGGCCTTCTTATCTCCAATACGGAATGGGCGATGTCGAAGCTGGCGTCACTGACATTCTAACTAAACTAGACTGGCGTAGCCTAGGTAATTCCACCATAGTCGATGTAAGTCCAATGTCCAGAATCAAATCACGATATACCTACCTAGGTACCTACCCAAGTAGATAGGTCTCTTGGCTCATCTTCCGCTAATGGGTGATTCTGCCGCATAGAGCACAGCAACATCAGTTGCGACGGCAATAAAACTAGCGACATTACATCCATCGTTACGGTTTTTTGTGCAGATGAGTAGCATTGCCGACTCTCATGAACTAACCGCAACGCTTGCAAGCCGTATCGTCGTCCAGCAGCGCACGCCCGGTGCACCACAACAGATTCGTGATGCAGCACTCTTCATTGTCCGTCTCCCCGCGACGAGCCACGTGTTGTCATCTAGGGTATCTGGGGAGCTGAATGCGCACATCGGCGCGCTGTCCTTAAACCCAAGGGCCAGGCTATTGCTCGTTATTCCAAGCGTGCTGCGCGATACCGGCGGGGGAACTGGCGTGGAGATCGAAGTACAGGCGCGATTGCGAGACCTGGCGTTCTGGCAGTTAACCAATGAAGGCGAATTGGATATGGAGGCGCTGATCGGCCTCATCAGTGGTGTGCGCGATGGCGCGGGCCAGCTGGCCATAGTCAATAAATTTGCAGCGACTCATCATCCTGCCATAGCGTTCGAGATACGTTATCAGACATATACCCAACAGGCATTTATGCATGACGGTTATTTAGTGGAAATTAAAAAATAACACCTTATCAATTCACCTAGGAGTTTGATCTCGTAAGGTACCTAAGGTACGGTCATACATTAGAAGAGAAAGGGGGGGAGCTGTTGTATTTAATGATACAAATATTTCTATTTTTTTTATTACTTCACATACCTGAAAGTCCGGATGGCACGTGACTATCGGTCACGTGGCAAGATGTACTTAAGTAGTTGTTGACGGTATCTAAGCCTGCTAGGAGGTACGTACATAAGCTAAGCTCATTAAGCTTTGACCACCTCAAGCTTTATTTTTAATACCATGCACAAGAAAAGATCCCTCCGTAAACTCCGGACATACGAACCCGATCGTCTAGGTAGTATTTATTAGCAGGAGGCTCAAACAGAGATACTACCTAGGTAGGTACCTAGGTAGATATCTAGATGTACCTATAGACTATTTTACTCGTGATATTTTCCTGTGTCCCAAAGACCGTTCCGTTCCATTTCCGTTTCGCAATTAAACAATAGACCAGCTATTCCAATTAAAAAAAATTCTACCAAGGGAGAACGCCTTCATCAACATCTACCATGCCGTTCTTCTCGATATCAGCATCTCTCTTGCCTTGTATGATGCTAGCCAAAGCATGAGCTGGTTCCTTAGGATCTCTGGCGCCTGCTTTTAGGCGCATTTCCCGACCCTCGGCGCCGGTCAGGTTGGAGACACACCAGCCTGGGTTGAAGGCCAGGACTCGGCATCCCCATTCGGCGTAGTTGTAGCGGTGACAAGCGGAAAGCATATTGATAGCCGCTTTAGACATTCGGTAGGGCTCTCCACGGAGTCTTCTATGCATGATATCGACATTGGGGTCATTTCGCTGCGTCACGGAGCCCTGCTCAGAAGAGACGTAGATGATATATGGCTGGAAGATTTCTGTAGCAACGGCTCAAGGGTTTCGGTAAGGATCATGGGGCCGAATACATTCGTCTCGAAACTGATACGGAGGGCATCAAGGATGTCCATAGGTGTATGAACCAGGACACCTCCATTGTTGATAAGGGCATCGAGCCTGCCGAACTGCGTCTCGATCTTCTCCTTGAGAGTGTTTATCGACTTGCGGTCGGTAATATCGATCTGGATGACCTGGATAGTTCCCTTCAGGGCGCTGCCGAATTCCTTTTTCATCTGTTCCACTGCAGCCTCACCCTTCTCCACTGATCGGCAACCGAGTAAGATATGAAAATCGGCGGATGCGCTTGATAGAGCAGCGACAGTCTCGTAGCCAATACCGCTATTGCCACCTATTTGCCGAGTTAGTAAACTTCTTTGTCTCAGGAGTAATGAAAGCTAAATTAAGCGGCTTACCAGTGATAAGGACGATGGTTTTGCCGGAAGCCATGATGAATTCTTTAGTGTCTTCAATTTTGGTAGACAAGACGGAGATGTTTAAGAAGTTAGTGCAGAATTAGGAAACGAGATATGTTCCGTTAAATGATGCTTGATGACCAAGGAGATAGGACAAATGGCAAAGCGCGAGGGGCGAAATAGCTAAAGTCCGCAAAACACGGAAGGGAGCAGTTGAGCAATACACTACTTGTCATTTGTGTAACTCAATCATGGCCATCGTTGGCCGACGTCTAGTGTGTTAACCCCTCATTCATTTATTAGGTGCCTAATATCTTGTCACCGCTTTGATATTTTCGTCTATCTCGTACGAGACTAATGATCTAATGTCTATCCCTTGCTTTACTTGCACGTATGTATATTGATGTACACTGATGGTCCTACGGAATCTTGTGTAAATATACGGGAAACCCCGCTGGGATCCAGGGGTATTTATGATTTGTTGATCTAAAGTCTAATTGATCTAGATAGATCTGGATAGATCGCAGAGTCTCGTGCTTTACCCGTTTGAGAGTACAAGCTTCGCACATGGCATGGGACAAGCCTTAAAGCCCTAACTAACGGGCTGTAACTAACTTAGGTAGTATTCAATTGCTCTACTCCATATTAATAAAGTATACAGGAGCATACCTACTTAGATGAGAAATGATAGACGGAGAAGACTTAACTACAGATATGGAGGTAAGACACGAGACGGGACTCCCAGTGCGGAAAGCAAAGTATCAGAAATAAATATCTTCCCAGCATATAAAATGTAACAGAATAAAATTTATTACCAAATAAGCTTTCAGTGGTGTAGCTGTTTATACGACACAAAGTTAGGTTGGCATACCGGATCTACCACAAACACAAAGGACTCAAGGACAAAGAACCGATCCCGAACAACACCTAGAGACGTTTAATATATGGCAATAGCTCCGGAGTTTCTAATCGGAGTAATAGATTGGAAGATGGCCATTAAATTCGAAACCGCTCACCGGTATGGGCAAATTGTGATCTCGGATAATGTACTCACATGGATTCCCTGTGGTTTCATTTGGTAACCCACCTCGGCACGTATAGAGTGTAGACTTGGTTGGGAGCTGTTTGCATCTAGAAGCCACGATCCTTCTGAACGAAACTATTGAGTTCCCGAGATAAAATCATGACTCAGATGGTCGGTATGTGATATATCCGAAGACGTATTACGTAGATGAAGATAATCGTTAGTTCCGAGAGGAGGATATAAATAGATTATTTTTGAAGGCATGGTAATATTGTATAAAGAGTGCTTGCCACCATGACGGACAATGAGCGTCGTCAGTCCTTCCTAAATTAGGATACCCAGAGTATCATTTCGCCATCTAGATAGCAATGGCTCACTGTCGTTCGTTACCAAGGGGCTTGCTCCTGCTAGTTATATCTGCTATAGCTTGGCCAGCTTCAGCGGCGCCACAGCCAGGTACAGGATCGAATCGCCAAGCAGACTATCTTATTGTTGGTGGAGGACCTTCAGGGCTAGTGGTTGCTGAACAGCTCAGCCGTGATCCGCGTAAACATGTGGTTCTACTCGAAGCTGGCCCCGACTCGAGCCTCGACCCATTGGTATACAGTACGTTTGCTGCTTCACTTATCTCGATCTGAATTTGCGCCCTTTCTGACCTCACCATTAGCGCCGTCTGATTTCTCCCAACTCTTTGAGTACCTCTGGGACTATCATTCAGCTCCAGACCCCAACCTAGGCGGTCGCAACCCAGAGTTGTGGCAGGGTCGGGCACTCGGAGGTGGAAGTGCTGTTAATGGCATGGGATACTGCCGTGGAGCACCGTCCGTCTTCAATGAATGGGCTCTGTTGTCGGGAAATATAGGCTTATCATGGGAGTCCATGTTCCACGCATTCAAGGCTACCACGCATTTCCAAGAAGATGTCCACCCGGCTGACCAGGTTCCTATCAACCAGTCCTCGTTTGGAGATGGCCCCTTGGAGATCACCACCAGCGTTTCCAACTCGCCCTTGACAGGCCGTTCGTTGACAAGCTTTCATCGGCTCTAGATTTGACCGAGATCGACTTTGTTTCGGGCTACGGGATCGGTGTCACGGAACAGGTAGACTCGATCCGTGCCGATAACCGTACCCGTAGTGATGCCTGGAACACATTCGGATGGATGGCAGCCAATCGCCCCAACTTCGAGGTGCGCCACAATGCCTGGGCCTCCAAGATCGGATTCACTGGCAAAAAAGCCGATAGCGTTACGTATAACGACACTCTGATGGATTCCTTCCATACCATCAGAGCACAAGAGATTGTCGTGGCTGCGGGTGCCATCGGGAGTCCACATCTCCTCATGCTATCAGGGGTCGGCCCGGCTGACCAGCTCAAAGCTGTTGGGATCAAAGTTGTGCAGGACTCGCCACAGGTCGGACAGAACCTCCTAGACCACCATTATGCCCAACTAGTCTACGAGACTATACCAGAAATGGGGACGACATGGCAACTGCAGCATAATGACACTGCAGCACAGGAGGCCGAGGCGGAATACACAGCAAACGGTGACGGCCTTATGGGTGTGCCTGCTGGGAACGTCTTTGCCGCATTCCGCGTACCAGATTCGGTGTTCGATGGTCTGGGTAGTTATCATGTTAGCCTACCGGAAGACAGACCGCACATACTCCATGCGTACTCGACGTCGCCTTTTAGGACTGAGTTCTCCAACTATAGTACCATCACACCGTTCACCGCTTTAGTGCAGCCTGAGGGCGCAGGGAACATCACAATAGCCTCAGCTGACTACCGCGTCATGCCGGTCATTAACTCAGCCTACTGGGCTACTCCCGCCGATCGTGCTGCGATAATATACGCCTACAAAGAGTACCGATCCCTCTTTACTAGTCCTGAGCTGAGCCCCTATGCACCTGTTGAGCTGTTTCCTGGTGCCCATGTCACTAGTGACGACGACATCTGGGACGCCATCCAGCGAGGTTCGGGAAGCTTCCACCACCCGATGGGGACGGTGGCTATCGGTTCTGTACTCGATTCTAACTGGCGTGTGCATGGTGTCTCCGGCCTACGCGTTGTAGGGACACCTGCCGCGCCTAATCTCGCTACTTGCCATCCCCAAGGTACCGCATACGCCTTGGGATACCGCGCCGCTATGGACATTGCAGCGGCCGACGGTGTTCATATTATCTCCCAGGGAAGTAGGTGAGAATTTCACTCGTACATACCCCATCAACCATGCTACATGCTCGCACGAGTTACGTCAAAATTACTTCTTTTCTCACTTCCTACCACTCCCGCCTACCTCGCTAGGCTCTTTGGATAGTGTCTTTCAATACAATTACTATGATGTTCATAACACGTATTTCCTTTAGACGGCCTTGAGAATTGTATAATGTAATTGTTATTAGCGCGACAGACTTGGAGCTTCCCTCTCCCTAATGCGTATGTACGTACATGGGTAGGTATGTAAATAGACAGGTAGGATCCAAGAGCATTCTCTAAGTATAAAACCGTCTGTTTGCCCCTATCCCGTCGATACCATAAACATAAACTAAATTTAAAGACGACGAACTTGAAGCATCTTACAATCAATATTTCTAGTGTAGTTCTAGTAGTAGTAGCTAGGGAGCTATCGATGCCAGGGGACACGGACCACCTATTTAAAGGCCCAGGGTCCTTCGTTAATCTCTCTGGGTAGGTACTAAACTCTTTCTTCCCGTCCACGGCGTCCATTCAGTCTTCGTAGCTACCTGCTACAGAAGCCTAGTGACACAGCCTATGAGACTAGAAGGGGAGTTAAGAGTAGATCAGAGCGATTGATCATAGTTAAATTATGGAACGTTTCTGTGGCTTTCTAGATACTGAAAGGGGCTGTCTTTATCTAAACTACGGTAATCCTTGTATTTAATCATTCACTCAGTTCCCCAGCTATCAATCTTACGCTAGAGTTACACCCTACATCGAAGGTAGTGGGAGGACTTCAAGCCTCCCTGACGAACAGACGTTGTGATAGGTACTAACTTGATCCACTACTCGTCTACCCGTACTATACCTTTCGTGAACCCTCGTGACTACGATTTAGTTGTACCAAAACTGCCTTAGAGATGGCTCTCCGATTTTCGATGCCCGATAAGTCGGTGTCCGATTCAAAATAAACTTTCTCAGGTCTTATGGATGTAAGAATGTCTCAGCGAGTACCGAAAATGTGACGACCACAGCCCTATTGTTTGCAAATCCTATCTTCGAAAACCAGGCGTCGTATACTATTTGATCATCCGTACCCGAGACATACGGTTGCCGGCAAATATGATGGCAACCCCCCTGTCAATACCGATACCAGTGCCGTCGTTCATATTAACTCCATGGATTCCGAGCTGTCGGATATAATGAAGTACTGGAAATTTTGTAAAGTTAGCCCGCCAACAGAACAAACACTGTTGTGATCCTACCTACTCTCAACCATACTTGATCGAATCCCTTGACCCCTGAATCCCTACCTACCTGAATGGCACGGTACTAACAGTCTGTACCAAAGGTACCTCGATGATGTTCCCTGCCATCCCGAGGACGCGGGAATATGGATACATGCAGCAAAGGTCCAATTAGCCTTCTCACTGGTGCTGCAGTGACTGTACGAGCTTATCTCTCAAGATGAGGTGGGGTTGCAAGAAATTGTTGTGGATATTATAATGCGTGAGTAACTAGGTAGGCTTGAGGTAGCAAACATTCACAATAGTATGTACAAATAGACAAAGCGTGGCTGAAAACTGAGACTTCTGATTTGACGTTTTCTTTCTTTAAACAGACTCTAGCTTTGTTGGCTTTTCTCTACATGGTCGTACAGAGCTACCAGCTGGGTCCGTATTTAACGGAAATAAGAACAGTGCGATTTTCGCGAGTTCGCGAGTTCGCTGGCAGGTGTTTGTTAATTACTTGTTTGGTTTCGATGCAAAATATCCTATCTTGCCATCGACACATTTTATTCCTCATTTATCTGAGTAGGACCTACCACGTTGTGAGTTCGACAAAATCCGAAGCGATAATCGAACTTGCGTTATACAATGGCACTGTCAGTAACGAGTCTCGGGGAGCAGACAAGTGAGTCCATCGTAGAGAAAGAACTTGACGATCAGCCGGGCGAGCGAGGCTCTCAAAATGTGGATGTCGAGAGTGGCGTTGTGCCATCTAGTGATCAGCTCCTCACTAAGGAATCCCCAGACGACAGCACCGAGCAGCGCGAAGAGAACGTCGTAGATTGGGACGGCGATGATGACCCAGATCATCCATATAATATGGCACATTGGCGTATTGTTATAAGTTCCATCGTACTTTCTATTCAAGGGTTCTTGTCTCCCTTATCATCCGGTAAGTTTCTGAGTTTATTATTTGAGAGAATGTCAAAGAATTATTGTCTAATTGAGATATCACACATGAAGCTATTTTGGCCCCCGCCGTCAACCAGGTAATGGAAGAGTTCCAGGTCGAAAGCGATCTACTGGAAGCCTTCGTTGTATCTATATATACCCTAGCGGTTAGTCTTCCTACCTCTAATTTAGGTACTTATCAAAACTAACTTTCCTACAGCTTGCCTTCGGTCCTATGATATGGGCACCACTCTCAGAGATCTACGGTCGCCTTTGGGTGTACCACATCACCAATTTGGGCTTCATCGCATTCACCGTTGGATGCGCCGTTGCGCCTTCGATGTCGAGTCTCCTAGGGTTCCGTTTCCTGGCCGGCATTTTCGGTTCCTGCATCATTACGAACAGTGGGGGCTCGATCGCAGACATGCTGCCCCCGGAGAAGCGGGGACTGGTCCTGTCTTTTTTCATCATGGGGCCTATCCTAGGCCCTATTATCGGGCCTGTTGGCGGCGGCTTCCTGGCAACTAAAATGGGATGGCGCTGGGTCTTCTGGCTCGTCGCGATCGTCGCTGGGTTTGTAGCCATCATGATGCTACTTTTCAGCAAGGAAACCTACGGACCTGTTATTCTAGAACGCCGGGCGGCACGTCTACGGAAGGAGACGGGGAATCCTCACCTACATGCCAAGAACCGAGATGGGCTATCTCCGTGGGCTATCTTGCAACACGACATCGTGCGTCCATTCAGACTTCTCATGCGGTCACCTATCAGCATCATTTGTGCGCTGTACATGGCCGTTGTTTACGGAACTCTCAATCTTCTCATCACATCTATATCACAAGTTTATCAGGAGACCTACGGCTTCGCACCAAACATCTCTGGTCTTGCATTCCTTGGGCTTGGCATCGGATGTATGTCCGGCGTGACACTTGTGAATACAACCACGGAAAGATACGCAGCAAGACAGATGAGAAAGAACAATGGCGAAAGGAAACCTGAATATAAAATCTTCCTACTCCCTATCGGCGCCGTCCTTCTCCCCGCGGGGTTATTCATATACGGCTGGACAGCCCGATACCAAGTACATTGGATAGTTCCTATTATCGGCGAGGGAATCGCAGGTATGGGGATTATGACAATGTTCTTCTCGACCGTCACGTACCTTATTGATAGCTTTACTATCTTTGCCGCCAGCGCCTTGGCAGCAAACGGTTTCATACGATCGATCGGTGGCGGTCTCCTCCCGCTCGCGGGATTGACCATGTACTCGAAATTAGGAGTGGGCTGGGGAAACAGCGTGCTGGGTTTCATTTCTCTTCTTACATTTCCCATTTCGCTTTGTTTACTTAAGTATGGAGGGTACTTGCGGGAGAAATTTGCTATTACGAGTCTATAATCGTAAGGAGTCAACTAGGGAGGCAGCGTCTCTTACCCTAACTTAATAGATAATGTGTAATATATTCGTATAGGCCGTGTTTTTAAGATCTAAGTTTCTCTATCCTGCACATATCCAGCTCTAATACCTACAATTTGCGCCATCGGGCTCATACTAAAATATCGGTATATACGTGCATGGATACGTGCATGTGTATCTACATTCTCTGGAGAGGAGATCGATCAGCATCAAAGGCAGGCATACCACACTTACGGAGTTACAAATCCTAAGGCCCAGCCACTTTGTTATACCCTCTTTGCAGCTATGCTTCACATCTATGTTCCCTACTAACCGCGGAGTAGAGGCTCTAAATGAGTATCACGAGAAGTATATAGGACTCGTTCGGAACCCGACATATATTATCCGGTAGATCTGAATCTTGCAGGGTCCCACTTATTTTTGTAGCCAATCATATACCTAAAGAATGTTCCTTTTAGGTAAGTACCGAGGTACCCAGTTGCCCGATCTGAATCCTGTTTGCCGTGTTGTTGACGATGACAACCATTTTTCTATCCGCATTATTAACAACGGAGTATCTGAATTATGAGGCTTGTCTTCGGGGAACATCAAGGAATTGGTATGAAAATAGAGGTGCATTATTACGAGTTAAGAAACATTGTTTCTCCATTCGGAGATATCAACCTTTAACTGCCTATCTACCTATCTATGTATTCACTCTAGCTAATCAGTTGCTTGTTAAGTGAGTCGTGTCACTTTATATCTTGCCGATCTCGCGTAGGCCTCTATTAAGTAGCTATCTTGTCGTATAATTTAGTCCTGCTTTTGTTCAAAATCATTCCCAACTTCCACCACTGTTCAAGGCATACCCCTGAATTCTACGCTACCAGCCTACCTTCATTTCAACCTGAGGCGGATGAGATAACAATTCAAGATCCGACCATGGTAGTAAACACTCCTCCCTCGAGCTCTTCGAGCGAGGCAGGCAAGATGAAAGCTTGTACTTCTCAAACGAGCTCCCGAGCAACGATCTTCAACAACTGTTCCGCAGGCTACATAACCATGCCAAAGATAGAAAGCATTCCGTCCTAGCCAGGTTTATCCAAGAGGCCACATCCGCCGTTGCAGAAGAAGTACGGTTCTTGTCGGCCGACGTGAGAGCTTTGGTTCCCCCTTTCGAGAGTGTGCTCAATCTCGCCAGTTTGAGTGACACCCACAAAGGACCTCTCGGCGGCGCAATCGAAGGTGTCCTGTTATGTGTTGCTGAGCTAGCTTCTCTCATAGGGTATGTTCGGGAGATTCGTTCATCCCAGGTCAATTCTAAGCTTATATTCCCAGGTACTTCGAGAATAATCCCTCCGAACTCAACCTCGACCCTACCACAACATGTCTTGCTGGCATGGGCGTGGGTATACTGGCAACGGTGGCTATTTCGCTAGCACCCACGTTGGCGGATATTCCAATCACTGGTGCTGAAGTAGTTCGTATTGCTTTTCGTATGGGAATACACGTCGATGAAGTATCTCAAAACCTGGAGCCGCGCCCCCTTTCTGGGTCACCCGACCCGTGGGCCTATGTTGTATCAGAAGTCTCACCAGACGACGTACAGAAAGAGCTCAGTGCTTTCCATGCAAAAGAGGTGACTAACTATTCGTTAATGAATTTAAATTAAGACCAAGGTGCTAATATTATTTATTAACTAGAAAATACCCGAATCTGGCAAAATATTCATCAGTGCATCTAATAAAACGTCGACGACCATCAGTGGGCCGCCGTCAAGACTGAAGGCACTTTTCCGCAACCACGATTTCTTTCGCGATTCCAAGTTTATAAGCTTACCGGTTTACGCTGGAATATGTCACGCGAAGCATATCTATGGCGAAGAGGATGTTCAAGCTATTATCCAGACACAGTCGTTGCGTCTTCTGGACTCGAAATTCGCCCCCATCCTCTCGATTCTCGCGAGCAGTACTGGCCAACAGTACTTGGCACAAACCGCAACGGATCTATTTCACGAGGTCATTTCCGAACTTCTCACCCGGAGCATCCACTGGGATAATGTTATGCGGAGCATTTCTGAGAGGTGCTCTCACCTCAAGGCCTCAGAATGCCAGTTGTTCATGTTTCACAAATCGCTCCCGACCCGAGAGTTAATATCCGCCCTGGAAGGTATCCCGAGCCTTGAAACTTTCACATACGATATGACAGCATGGGTGCCCGAAATTCATATAGGCCAACGAGGTCCGCAAGGACCAATGCAATCCAAGCTTGCCGTGGTGGGTATGGCTTGTAGACTCCCCGGAGGAGCTACCACAACCGATGAGTTCTGGGAAATACTCGCAAATGGTCGTGATGTCCATCAAGTTATTCCGCCTGACAGATTTGACGTGAAAACCCATTATGACCCTGAGGGCAAGAAACCGAATTTCAGTCACACGCAATATGGCTGTTTTATTGACAACCCCGGCTTTTTCGATGCCCCTTTCTTTAACATATCCCCCAAAGAAGCCGAACAGACAGATCCTATGCAACGGTTAGCTTTGGTCACAGCATATGAGGCTCTCGAGAGGGCTGGATTCGTGCCGAACCGAACCACATCGTCCCATTCCCCCGTGTTGGAACATTCTACGGCCAGGCCGCCGATGACTATCGCGAGGTCAACGCTGGTCAGCAGGTTGGCACTTACTTCATTCCTGGAGGATGTCGCGCATTCGGCCCCGGTCGAATCAATTATTTCTTTAACTTTTGGGGGCCGAGTTATAATATTGATACCGCGTGTTCCTCTAGCTTGGCCGCCATTCAGGTTTGCAACAGTCCCTCGTTCCCCCTAGCGGCTAGCACTATAGGAACATGTATCTGACAACTTGCTTCATTCCTTTTAGGCTGCATGCACCTCGCTCTGGGCTGGAGACTGCGATACCGTGGTAGCTGGCGGATTAAATATCCTAACGAACTCCGATGGTTTTGCCGGGCTATGCGAGGGGTATTTCTTAACTAAGACGCCGAATGCGTGCAAAACATGGGACTCGGAGGCAGACGGCTATTGTCGTGCCGACGCTATCGGGTCTCTTGTATTAAAGAGGCTTGAAGATGCAGAGGCCGACAACGACAACATCCTGGGTGTTATCGTTGGAGCCGCTACAAACCACTCTGCCGAGGCTGTCTCGATTACCCACCCGGACGCTGCAGCTCAGTCCGAACTCACTCGAAAAGTCCTAAGCCGGGCGGGTATCGACCCTCTAGACGTAAGCTATGTGGAATTGCACGGCACAGGAACCCAGGCAGGCGACTTGGTCGAGATCAAGTCTGTTACGGATGTATTTGCTCCTATAGTAAGACGCAGAAGCGTGAACCAACCACTTCACATCGGCGCGGTCAAAGCTAACGTCGGTCATTCTGAATCCGGCGCTGGAGTGACGGCTATGCTTAAGGTCCTTCTAATGTTGGAAAAGGAGAAGATACCGCCGCATATAGGTATCAAGGGTACCATCAATCCGGGGTTCCCAAAGGACTTGGATAAGAGGAACGTACATATCCCATTTGAGGAAAAGCCATGGGCCCGTGTTGCAGGGAAGAAACGTATTGCAGTCGTGAACAACTTTAGTGCTGCCGGTGGAAACACATCGATCATAATAGAGGAGGCAACCCCCAGAGAGATTACAGAGACGGATCCTCGCCCAAATCATGTCATCACCGTGTCAGCTAAGAGCAAGACATCCTTACGCGGGAATATTGAGAGATATCTTACACACCTAGGAAAGAACCCGGACTTGTCAATTGCGGACTTGTCGTACACGACTACCGCTCGTCGCCACCATCACAGCTACCGTGTCGGCTTTACGGCCGCCAATATTGAACAAGTCAAGATCCAACTCTCGTCCAAGATCCCCACCGTCGACTCAGTCAAGCCAGTGTCAGCGGCGGGCGCATCCTCGATTGCGTTTGCGTTCACCGGTCAGGGTGCATCCCATAAATCCATGAATATCGAGCTATTCCACACATCCCCTTACTTCCGTTCTCAGATAACGCACTTAGACTCCCTTGCACGGAATCAGGGGTTCCCGTCTTTTATCCCCGCCATCGACGGGAGCTTCGCGAAGGACCAGAATCACAGTCCCGTCATTACTCAATTGGCTCAAGTCTGCACGCAGATGGCCTTAACGAAGTACTGGTGTTTGCTGGGCGTGAAGCCAACTGTGGTCGTAGGGCATAGTCTTGGCGAATACGCTGCCTTACACGCTGCCGGGGTATTGACAGCTAGCGATGCGATCTTCCTCGTGGGCCAAAGGGCAAGACTGCTTGAGCAGAAATGCCAAGTTGGAAGTCATAAGATGATGGCCGTACGGGCATCACGTTCTGAGATTGAAGAGTCGGCTCGCGGTAGGCCATATGAGGTCGCTTGCATTAATGGTCCCAAGGAAATTGTCTTGAGCGGACCCCGAGAAGAGATCGATGTGCTGGGCGAAGTTCTACAAGGTGATGGTCATCGTTGCGTGAGCCTCGATGTTTCGTTTGCTTTCCACTCCGACCAGACTGATCCTGTTTTGGACGAGTTCGAAGCCATCGCGAAGAGCGCAGTGCTTTTCAAGGCACCTGAGCTGCCGGTAGTATCACCTCTACTTGCTAAGGTCATCTTCGACGAAAAGACTGTGAATGCGCAGTACGTTCGACGAGCGACGCGAGAGGCCGTCGATTTTGCTGGTGCACTCCAAGCTGCTCATAATCTAGGCACCGTCGATGACAAGACAGCGTGGATCGAAATCGGCCCTCACCCGGTCTGCATGAGTTTCGTCAAGTCCAACATCCCCGCCACTAACGTCGCCGTCCCTTCACTTCGTAGGGACGAAGACAGCTGGTCTACGATGGCCCAGAGTATGTGTGCTCTTCACTGCGCTGGAGTGGACATAGACTGGCATGAGTTCCATCGTCCTTTCGAGCGAGCACTTCGTCTCTTAGACCTTCCTACTTACAAGTGGAATGACAAGAATCATTGGATCCAATACAATGGTGACTGGATGATTAAAAAAGACAAGATGTGCTCCGGGGATGATAAGAAAGCCGCGCCAGTGCTAACCGGAGCCGGACTAACCTCGAGCGTCCAACACCTGATAGAGGAGAGCGTGGACGAGTCCACTGGAATAACGAAGGTTACAATGCAGTCGAACCTCATGCAAAAGGAGTTCCTCGCTGCCGCAAATGGACACTCTATGAATGGATGTGGTGTAGTGACGTCGGTAAGTCTGATAGATATAAGTCACCCCTTAATGCTGCGGCGAATCCACTAACTTTTCTCCCCCTCCACGCAGTCCATCCATGCGGATATCGCATACACTCTTGGAGAATACCTATACCGCATGATCAAGCCCAAATCAAAGAAGGTGGATATGAATATAGCCAATCTCGTTGTCACCAAGGGATTGGTCGCATGTAAGAACACCAAGATACCCCAGAACATACAGGTCTCCATCGAATCTGTACCCGGCCAGCCTAACGTAGCCGATTTGCACTGGCATAACGTTATGTCTGACGGCCTGATTGAGGAGGCCTTCGCGACGGCCAATATCATCTACGGCGATGCTGGTGAGTGGCATACCTCCTGGGCCCCGATAGCCCACTTAGTTCAGGGTCGAATGGAGGCTATTGAGCGTGCAGCACAAGAAGGGTTCGCGACCCGATTCTCCAACAGCATGGCGTACCTGTCATTCGCCAAGAGTCTTGTTGACTATGCGCCAAAGTACCGTGGCATGCAGTCCGTCATCTTGAATGGGTTTGAAGGCGTGGCCGAGGTGACCTTGGCCACCGAGATGGGCGGTACTTGGACCGTGCCCCCTCATTTCATCGACAGCGTGGCGCATCTCGCGGGCTTCATCATGAACGTTTCGGATGCGATCGACAACACGAATAACTTCTGTGTGACCCCCGGCTGGAACTCGATGCGCTTTTCGAAGCCACTCGTTCCCGGCGCCAAGTATAAGTCCTACACCAAGATGATCCCCACCGTGGAAGACCCGTCCGTCTACTTAGGTGATGTCTACATTATGCAGGATGGCGAGATCATGGGCATGGTAGGCGGAATCAAGTTCCGCCGGTACCCTCGTCTCCTTCTTAGTCGTTTCTTCTCTGCACCCGACGACCCGTCCAAGCCTCCGACGGCCGCAGCCGCCCAACCCGCAGCACCCAAGACACCAGCGCCAAAGCCAGTAGCAGCAGCAGCAACCGCCAAGTCGCACGACGAAGCTGCCCCAGCTACCCCGGCCAAACCTACTCCAGAGCCCAAAACTCTCAGCTCCAAAGCACTTGAAACGCCGGCGACTATCGAGGGAGCAGCCGCGGTTGACGAAAACAGCACTGCCGGCAAAGCCCTAGAAATCATTGCAAGGGAGGCTGCGCTGGAGGTATCGGAGCTCACCGAAGACGTCGCCTTCAGCAACCTCGGTGTGGACAGCTTGCTAAGTTTAGTTATTGCTGAGAAGTTTCGCGCCGAGTTAGGAGTCCCCGCGAGCGGCGGAGTCTTCCTGGAGTATCCCAGCGTCGGCGAACTAATAGCGTGGCTGACGGAATACTACGGTTAAGGGGTAACAAACACCAGGACCGTTATTTTCTTAGGCGGTTAGTTATGTTGGGTACTCCTTTTCTTTTCCTTTCTCTTTTGGTGATTCTAATAGTTATTGGATCTATCATCCAAGATCGCGGCGGGCGGGAGGAAGCCACGACGGCGGAGAAGAGTGGGAAATCCTCCACCTCTGCTTTCAGTTCTATTGGAGTTGCACCCCGGGAGTGGTAGGGAGAAAGTACTGCTACCTTACGGTTCTAACAGTTTCCCTAATCATTATCCCCCCTTGGGCCATGTTCGCCCTAGGATGGACTTGAGGAATGTGTCGAAAGCTACGCAAACCCAATACGGTGGGAGCCGCATTAGATACTATGCTAGGTGCTACGTTAGATGCTGTATTAGGTGCTACTTGGGAGCAGGAATAGTCGTCAGTCGAGTCAACTCATGTCGAGAAAACTCACTGGTAGGAAGATGACGTTGAATTATGGTTTGGTACACATACATATGCGGGGGCTGACCGTATGTCCACGCGATAGGAGATAAATTTCATGGCTGATATAGGGACAGCAACCCCTGCCGCCAATCACAAGCACAGTCTGGGCTTAGTAGGATATTTTTAGATGAGCAATGCTATTTACAGAATGTTTTTACAGAGTTTCTTTACTAGCCAGTTAGCAAGATTACCCCGCGCAGCTTAATTTAATAGAGATTTTCCGATTGAAGCTATTGAAGCTATTCGCGACGTCTTCATGATCTTAAAATTATTCACAACGCTTATAATATCGAAACTAATCACAGCGCCGATGTTAATAGTTATATATATATTATATGCATCGTATTAACTGATTAAATCATATCTATTGCTTAGCCCTTTTCTATTATATGTAAGAAGCTCTGACTTCCCCCCTCGCTTCTTAGTAGCATTAGATGTGGCCTGTATCTTCATTGATCTCTCCAATTTATTCGAGGTGTGAAGAAGAAGACGTCGGTATTTAATTGTTATTATGTAGATATCTGTATTACTCGTTGTCTTGTATGATAGTCCCCGTGGGGATATCATCGTCTATCAGACAGCTTGGAATAACAAGGTCGTATACTCTTCCCAGTTATGATTGACTGCTTAGGTTAGGTACGTAGAATGATTAGAGTTAATTTATAGATCAATGTCCTCCGGCTCGTTCGTTTGCTCTTGGAAACACCGACGATATGCATGTAAGACTTATGGTTTGCATGTATCGATCTCCGATCAAGTCATTCTCTTTTAGGCTTTAATATATGAAGGGTTACATTGTGAATAATCGATCCGGGATGTTGTTAGGTTATGAGCTGTGGTTGATGTTGTATTATAACATAAGAGCCTCAAGAGATAGGCCAATGAGATTCTATTCCGGGTAGAGAGGGGCTAAACTGTTAAACTTGCCAAATATGGTGATTCCGACCGCAAAGCGGAGAATCAGCTAAGAAGTTCATATTTCAAATCAAGCTCATGCTAATAAGGTTATAAATTAAGGCTTTCCATCTTATTTGAATTCGGGTTGGAATACCATAGAACATAGTTGATTTTTTATTCTTAACTGATTAAATCATGGCACCTCTAGGAATAGCAATTGTCGGTGGAGGCATCTTTGTCAAAGAGCAACATATAGTAAGTATTTTGGAGACGTTCCTGTGACGTCATACAAAACTCCAACCCCCAGAGGGCTAACCCCCTGGATAGACATATCTTATCCCCCCTTAGTGATATTAGCTAACATATCATCAGCCCGCTGCTCTTGCCTCTCCCCTACTTTCTATTAAGGCTATCTGGTCCCGGTCTCGTAAGAGCGCAGAAGAAACCTCATGGCTTGTCCCTGGTGATGCTACTCCCTCGGTAGATCTGTACTCATCGGATTCTGGAGATGGCAAGTCTTATGAAGACCTCCTTAAGCGCGACGACATAACCGGAGTTATAATTGCTCTTCCAATCTTGGATCAGCCCGCATATATTGAAAAAGCCCTGGCAGCCGGAAAGCATGTCCTAGCGGAGAAGCCGATAGCCAAGGATCTTGAGACTGCTAATAAGTTGATCGCATACTCGAAAGAAATTTCGGCCGAGACCAAGGCGTCCTTGGCTATAGCAGAAAATTTCCGATTTCAACCAGGCTGGGCCTACGGAGCTGAGGAGGTCAAGAAGCTCGGCAAGGTTACAAGCTTTGTGGTGAGGCTGCACTCTATGATGGAGGCAACTAATAAGTACTACCTCACGCCGTGGCGGACAACGCCGCAGTATCAAGGCGGGTTCCTTTTGGATGGAGGTGTGCATTTCACAGCTGGCATTAGGAAACTACTAGGCCCAGAAAATGCCATTGACACCCTGATGGCCCAAACCGCCTTGGTTTCAAGCCATCTGCCTCCAGTAGACTCCATCAATGCGATCTTGAAAACGAAGACTGGTGTAGTGGGTTCGTATATTACATCTGTGGGAACAACTATGGATGCGTTCGAATACCACATCGCCTGCGAGCAAGGTGTTGTCAAGGCTGAGGGAGCCAAGGTAATTACGATCCGAGGAGTTGGGAAAAATGCCGTCGCAGAGGAAAAAGTGTTCGAGAAGACCAGTGGGGTCAAGGAAGAAGTTCATGCCTGGGCTGAGTCTATTGTGTCGGAAGTACCAAACCCTAACCAGACTCCTGAACAGGCACTCGCAGATCTAGAACTAATTGAGAAAATGCTGTCAAGCGGGGAGCAGAATGGGGCGCGTCGGAAGCTGGAGTACCAAGGTTTCGTATAGGGGAGCCTTTTACAATTTGCTGGAACTAGGTCCTACATGTAGCTTCTCGAGTCCCTGTCGTAGTTTAGAATCCATACCGTTGGCATTTGGTCGTTGTGTTGAGCGGTCTACGAAGACTTGAACGTATTCGCCCACTGCTTTGACTTGCTCAACGCCCTTCTCGAATAGTGCAATCTCATAGACAACACTAGATTTCCCTAGTTTATTTACCCGAAGGCAGAGTTCGGCGACCTTGGGGTATGATATAGGGGAGAAGTAATTGCAATGCGTTTGAGCCATTAAGGGGTGCTGTGCTGAGGTTGGTGGATGGAGAGTACAATGGTCAATTAAGTAAGAATTTATCACAGAATCAAAGCTAGTGGATATCTAGTATTAGAGGTATTTCTACTTGGTTTCATCAGATTGACTAACAGAAAGTTATAGACCGAATTGTTCATATGATCGTACATGTCGTTATCGCTCCTAGAGAGGTGTTAGGTCCGAAAATCGTCTCTGGGAGGTACCTAAGGATAGGCTTACCATCGTGTTCGATATTCAAGCATAAAAGGGTAATCCTTTCTACTTCTACCTTTTAATTCCTTGCTTTGAGCCATGTTTATATAAATACTTATACTAGATGAATATTTGGTAAATTTCTGGTCGGCTCAAGCTAAAATGTTGCGTCGGTAAGTTTAGGTACATTTCAAGGTACCTAAGCAATGATCCGTTCCCGTCCGGGCGCTACAGCACTGGGAATTTTAGTCGGGCCGTTCTATACTGCCAACGCTCACCGACAAAATTTCCCCAGATACCCAAATGTTCTTTAAGTCTGGAACCTGAATATTACATACTTCAGGAATATAACAGTATCACCAGGTACCCCGCAATTAACTTCAATAGATTAGACTTTGGAGAAAATGTGATGCACTTATGAATTCTACCGTTCTGTAAAGTGCGAGCTTGTTTTTACCGAAATAATTCGACGTTGGCAGGATTTCTTCCATCCATCATATATCATCCATCATGAGTCCTGTTGCAGAATTGTCGCCTTCCTCGACAACAACCCCTGCAGCAATCATCATGCCGAATATCGAAGCTTTGACCATTGCTGAGCCAACAACTGCTGTGAAAAAAAAGAACGGCATATCCTCTGACCTAACCACTCCGTCGCTGATATTTGGCCACGGCCATATTACTTCGAGAATGGTTTGCGACGTGTCGCTCCGTATCACTTCACGTATAAAACCTGGTGTAAACAGCGATGGAGAGGCAGAAAGCTTATAGACGTGTTCGAAAGCGAGTTTAGAGACCGACCTCTACCATACTATAAAAACGCTATGGAAACAGGTCAAATATGCGTCAACGGTAAATCGACTAGTCCAGATCACATCCTCAAAAATGGGGAGCTTGTGTCACATACGATACATCGGCACGAGCCACCAGTCACGGAAGATGATATAGGAATACTTCACGAGGATGAGGATATGATTGTAATTAATAAACCTTCCGGGATCCCGGTACACCCCGCAGGAAGATATAATTTCAACTCCGTCATCGAAATTATGAAGGCCGAAAGGGGTCCAGACTGGATCGCATATACTTGCAACAGGCTCGACAGGTTAACTAGCGGCATCATGTTCGTCGCAAAGAACCCCAAGGCGGCCGATCGCCTAAGCGAACAGATCAAACAAAGAAGTGTACGAAAAGAGTATATTGCTAGGGTTATCGGCAACTTTCCTGACGAGGAAGTGGTTTGCAACCAGCCTTTACTTCAAATTTCCCCAAAACTTGGGTTGAATCGAGTGCGAGCAAACGGGAAGACGGCTCGCACGGTTTTTAAGAAGTTAGCATACTATCCCCCACGCGAGCCGCGAGGGGAGGGAGATAACGATCCTTCTGAAATAGAAGGCGTTTCCGAAGATAAGGGTAGGCCATGGCTACGTAAGGAGGGATATTCCATCGTGCGATGCCTTCCAGTTACCGGCAGGACTCATCAGATCCGCGTTCATCTCCAGCATTTGGGACATCCTATTCAAAACGATCCTATCTACGCTAACCAAAGGGTTTGGGGAATGAATCTCGGATATAATGACCCTGAAGCCCTTGAAAATACAGATGAGGATATTATTACGCGCCTTAATCGGATGGGAAAAGAAGAAGTTGCAGACGCCGTTGCTTACCATGACGAGATGGTGGACGAATACTACAAGAGAAAGGCAGAAAAGATGTCTGGTGAGCTCTGTAAGATCTGCGATACACCATTATACACAGACCCCGGACTGCAAGAGCTCTCGCTATGGCTACATAGTCTTCGATACGAGGATGCAGGTGGTGAGTGGAGCTACGTTAGCCCTCTTCCTGGATGGGCTTTACCCCCTTCTGGCATGTCCGGGCCTACAGAAGTCGGAGGTATGGAAGAATTGGTCTCAGCAGTAAAAGATGTCAACCCCGAAATTGTATGATACCCTGCTCACTGAGCCCCAATCGACCACCACCTATTGAATAGTTCGAAGAGAACGAGCAAGTAATGACAGCATTGCCCATCTGGCCGGTACCGGGCGCGATCCCAAGTACCATTACCTGATTCGCCAGTTTCTTCCGACGTTCACCTACCGGAAGCAATGTGATCTTTTATCACAACACTTTCACGACTAAGTAGGACGTAGAGTCCAAGTGCGGAATTGTGCGGCATAACTGCATCGCAAATAGTGCTTATAAGGACTAGTCTAGTAAAACGATACTGGCCATCTACCTGGGTACCTACCTAGGAGGTAGTTAATGGTGGAAAGGTGTCTGCTTTGAACTACTAATATATTTCAAGTTTTGCCTGCCGTTTGGGTTATTCCCGTAGAAAGAGTTCAGATGGCATCCCGGCACTGTATGGGGGCTACGGCATCGCTTTGACATTGATCTCCATCCCCCGGATCTTGGTTCCCTTGAAGGAGCATTCGCCTTGAGCTAGTTTCACTTTTACCAAGCTACCGAAATTCGTTTCCCGCGTCGTTAATTTGACACGCTCGGCACAAGCAATGTATAGCTCCTTTGGGGCTCTGTTAACATCGGGGGGTCGTAGTTGTGATAGACTACTCAATGATGGCTATATTACGGAATACGGCTAGAGATCTTAGTGGTATATGACACTCACGATCTAGGAACTCTCTTCAACTGCCATAGCTACCGAGAAGTTGTAGTAGCGTTTAACAACGGTTGGAGTCGGCGCAAATATTACGGATATAACAATCAAACGCATCACCATTCACCTCTATGTGCCTTAACATCCTTGCAAATCCGCTGGGAGTAATCCGAAGGTCATAAATATGATACAGATTTCCTTTTCTATGTGGCGAATAAGTCTCCATTTCTGCTCAAGAATTATCAGAAGGCCTTACAACTTTTGATAGAATATTAAATTTCCATACAAATTGAAGTCGCCGAATTCGGAAAGATAAGACCTGGAAAATGTTGGCATCATAGAAGTTGGTCTGTGCAATTATCAACTCGCCCAATTGATCTCAACTTATCGGACCAACCCGAAGCCTACATTTCCCCAGAGCTATAACAGATTTTGACGTGGTTCCCAGCATTAACCTACTGCCTTGGTATAGGAGTACCTATGCGCCCTCTTCGCGCATTCCGGGGACTCGCTCCGAGGGGTTTTCCATGGACCGGTTCAAAATGGCCTCCATCTAGTGGCGTAGCGTAAAGTCTACTTGGAAACCCTGACCTTGCCGTTGACGCTATATTTCCATACATCCTAGAGCAATTTTTCCATATGTCCTAGGACAAGCGCCTCAATTTCTTTGCATTGAAGCTGTCTAGCAGACTGGGATTGAGGCTGTTGAGATTTCTTGGGCTAATTTGAGGTGGAACTTTACCTTCGGGTCCGTCAATGGAATAGCTACGTACCTAGCGAGTATGGTCAGAGTATATTCTAGGCTATCTTTCGAAGAATTACTTGCGTACCTACGTAGCAATTTGTTAAATAACCTGGAAGGATATTGGCTGCCTGGGTATCTGTTGGATTCCTGTAACTTGTCTGGAATTTACCTCCTAGCAGTACTAGGGGGTATCCTTCACGGTCTAGTCTCCCATGGGGAAGCCCTTTCAAGGATGATGGGCTAGATATATTATTCGTAGTTCTAGTTCTTGCCATATGGCGGTTACATACTTAGCCACCCCGTCTATTACCTATATAACGCTCCGGGTTATGTCAACATGATTCTCATCTGATCTCCTGTTTTGTAGATCGAAAGGACTAGACAAATTGTCTAATACTTAAAACTCTTGGAATCACCGAAGATTTTAGGCACGTCTTTTGCCATATCATCTTACACAAGAGTTATACTGCAGTCAACACTGAATCCAAAGATGTCCAACAGTATGAAGCCCTCAGGAGAGGCCAATAAGGCCGGGAAGCGCAAAGGTAGCGTAGACCCTGTCTTTTTAAGTAGTCTTGGCCGAAGTTGACCTTATGCATATAGGGACCAGGAGTGTATCTACACTTACTCCTTCGCAGCTCGCTCGAAAGCGTGCCAACGACAGAGAAGCTCAAAGAGCAATTCGTGCTAGGACGAAAGAACATATTGAAAGCCTTGAGAGAGAGATAGAAGGGCTCCGCAGCCATCAAGACCGAGATCAAACTATTCAAACTCTCCTCCGGAGAAATAAAACCTTGGAAAATGAACTTCACCATCTTAAAGAAAGCATGGGTATTCGTACTGCTAACACAAACGAACAATACCACCACGGTATGCACCCCATATTATCTTCAGCGTACGATTTAGCAACTAAACGTTTCACAGTTTTCAACAGTTCTAGCCCTCCTGGATCCCATTCCTTCGGACAGTCTGGACCCAGCTTTCCCGTGATGCAAAACATATCTTATAACAATATTCCCGATACTACAGAAGGTTGGCCAGCAACCGGGCCATGTTCCCTCCCATCTACAGCCTCTAGCCCTGTCTCCTCCGTTGGTACAGACGATTTTGGAGGTAATTATATTCCTAGTGGTGCTCCCACCACAGTATATGAGCGGTCTAGCATACCCCCGAATGCACGCTCTCCTACAATATCTTGTGTCAATGGCGAGGGTACCTTTGACGATTCGAAGCCTGGTATGTTTCCGACTCTGATATAGTAAATTTTATATCCGAGTTTCTAATTAATATAATTATAGGATTTGGATGCAACCAGATCAACGTAATGCCTGTCAATCCAGCTTATCATTTTCAACCGTGGAGTATGTACCCAATGCCGCAATACCAATCCCATCAGGCTACACTCGGGCACAACCCACATATACCCCAAATTGGGAGATGCAATTTCTAATCATGAAGGCTTCATGTCGAAATGATGCGTTCCTGATATGATATATCGAGGACTGCCGATACCTGGTTAATATGGTAGGGAGCGGTCGCGCTCAGAAGTCATATTTGGTCCGACGCATCCAGACGTCCGTCCGACTACTTCTACGCGAGTTCGGCAGGGCCATTTCCGTCCTTAAAATACAAGGATATCCAACACAGCCTCCATCAAGTAAAGGCCAAACGTTACTATCACATACTCTCGTTGACTAAACTGCTGCGCTGTTTGATTATGGCCACCTAGTTGGGACACTTGAACGCGTAGGTAGCTTATTATTATACCCATTCCTCATTGCCTGGTTAATGAGACCGACTCAGGAGGCATATAAAGACTCAGCAGAGTTTTAACACCCGAGTCGAGTCAGCGTATGATACCACACCGGCAATGAGTCGATTTGCTTTTCAAGCCGGCGCTGCACGACGCAGTTACCAAGCAACAAGACATTTCCGCTAACACGAAATTTCGCTATACCTACAACAGAGGGTTACGGGTCATGAACTGGCCTGGTGGTATCGCCAGAGCATTAATATACAGTGCTACTAGAGCCATCCATGCAAGAAAGGAGTTCGAGGAACATACACGGAAGCTACAAAAGTAGGCGCTACACCATAATTTCACAAGACGTTATGCACAGTCCACAGGCATAGTCAGTATTGCCACACACTCAAATTAAGTTGTCTTGATATAGACTACTTATGAATTGAGTCATCGACGGTATGAGAAATTATTCGCATGAAAAGAATTCGAAAGTTTCTGGTGTTTTAGGTGGTAGTTAATAAGGCAATATGTTAAATACCTAGCTTATCTAGGTAGATATTAGATATATACTGCACACACAATTAAAGATCACTATAATTACTATCTCAGTTCTTATTACGAGTTGTGTTCGAAACTTATTATAACAACCAACTAACAAGCGTAAAAACGATAGGCAAGACTCCTGCACTATGAGCTTTACGCCATTTCCCATAATAGGTAGATGCTTATTCAAAATGCCTATGTTTGAATTAAGTTGATGCAAGGTCCCCTTTGATCTACACGGAGAAAGCAGCGGACCTGGGGTAGTGCAACTCCACATCGTCTCGTAAGCTCCCTAAGGTATATTTATGATCAAGACAACACCAACACCAAGTGGTAAATATTTAGCAATAGAATAGGGGGCATGCTATTATTCACTACCGAGCATTCAACCAAGAACCTAATACGGTGATGGAATATTTAATCACGTTCTACGTGTTTTATCCCAATACTTAGAATTCGATCGTTATCGAGATTCAGCCTCATTATCTCTTGCTGACGACTTTGCGTTCCCCAAGCGCATCATGGGGCTCGTATCATAAACTAAATTCAGGCGTGGTCACAACTACGGTATATTCCATTGATACCCGAATACTAGCAGATAGATTTAGCAAACACAAGTAAGCGATCGTAAAACAATGCTTAGTTACGATTGGTGATAACTGTATGGTAGCTAAATAAACTAGACAGCCAAGGATCTATAATGCTACCTTAGCTCTCTGATCCAGACCAAAGCATACTCTGTTGGGAATCTTGCTACTTCAAATGCTTAACCTTTCACTTCGTGGATTTTAGCTACTGGCCATAACCTCACTTAGCTGGTTAAAATGCTCATTAGGTCAGCCTAATTAAGTCAGCCTTGTATAAGTGCTGCTTAGTGTAGAAGCTACCCAAATGCCCAAACAAAATGATCACCAGCTAAGTTCTAGCTTCGCATCTACATCCTAATGTAGCTCTCCCGCTTCTAATCTTGCACCAGGTCGGGTGGATAATAGAATATCACGCTCTCATAACTTGAAGATATCTACCTGGTTAGTGCTAATACCATAGTATTGTAAAGACAGAGTTAATCGGCCCTAAACCACCAAAATATCGAAAGCGTACGTGTCCCATCCACACATGATAGCCTCAACGGCTAAACAGTGGCATACTATGCATGATACCTGGATTATCCCCAGAATAATACACAATTGTTAATTGCATTCACGGCTAACTTAGGGTGCGTGCAGCATATAAAATTTGGTAAGGGGAGGTTACTACGTTATTAGTGGCATATCTTCGCACATTTTAAGATATCTGGCGTGTATGGCGGAATACTGCGGTCACGTAGATTATAAATTTCCGATCATGTAGGAAATAGCCTTTTCCAGATGATTTCGTAATGATCCCTACTTGTCCCAACTTGTCCAATGTGAAAAAGTCATGAGATCATTTCGCATCATTTTTGGCTAAGTAACACGTGGACTAGGAACTCGAATGCTTTAGTTGAACTCTACCTACAGAGAAGCATACATACAGATCCCAACATACTTACGCGTAAGTTGCAAGGCTTTAGGTCCAGACGCACCTTGAAAGAATTTGGAGTTAACATAGCTACGTATGGCCTTCCCAAGCTTTTTAACCCATGTTTTACCCCGGAAAATCGCCAATCTCACAACCCCACGTATCTTACCTCTCCCTTCATATCCTAGATCTAGAAATCGGGAGATCATCGAGAAGCGAAATTATGCATGAATCCGAACCAGAAGCGGCATAATTCCCAGCTGCGGATGACCGGCTAATGAAGATATACCTAGGTTAGCCAAGTATACTATAGACCTTAACCTAGCATGGTAGAGTGCGAGCTTATATCTATACCCACATTTCTATCCTTAAGGAACTAGGGCAGATCATTCTTCGAGCTAGCTTCCGGGATGCGAGCATCCCGCTACCGATTTGCAACTAGTAACAAGTAGTGATGCTATCTATTATACTATGCATTCAGCCGCAATATAGGTTGTGACTATCTTATCTTAGGTACTCTATAACTATTTTCTATTAGGGCTTTAATAATATTATTATATCAAACAAATCGGTAAAGGATGCGATGAAATAAAGCATGTTTATTAAAAAGAAAAACTATACAGTTATATACTATAACTAGTTATGCGCTAAATAACCAATCTACTTGTACTTTGACATGTTAAAGGCGCATAAATATTCTCTATACGACTTTTCTTCTACAACCACGAAGAGAATTCACGGCTAAGAGCTCCATAATAATCTACTAGCTATTGCATATAACTACCTACGGCTAAAACAATAGGCTTGTGCCCATTTAGTTAGTATTCATAACCTAGCAATCATGGGCAATTTTTCCGCTACTAATAAATCCCAGGACGTATACCTATTTCCCATACCAACGCAATTTTCCCCTAGGGAACATAAATAAAGTTCGACTATCTCAAGCCGGCGCGGCTCTTCTTATGGGCTAAGACGGGACCGACTTCCGGATTGTATTGGTTTAAATTCGGAAATCATACCGGATAATGCAACCACTACTTAGGTCCGGATACGCAGATTCTTACCCTCCCACGGGAGCTATCTGCTTTGAGGAACTTATTCGTGGTGAATACCGGACAATATGCGTAAGTTAGCCTGTGCCTGCGCAAGGTTCGAAAAAATAAGGCGCCAATTACTAACCATTACACAAGCTACTATCTAGGATATGCCGCGGGCGTAGCCTTATTGCTTCAGCCATTGTAGTCTCCAAGTGGATTCGCACTATTGGTATTATCTAGATACTTACAATATTTAGACGAAAAGCTTAGGAAACTAAACAATGTATTACATAACGAGATAGACCTCGGATCTTACCGATGTCTCTAGTAGATAGGTACCTAGATATCTGAACTGGATACACGCCTCTTAGTAGCTTATCGAAGATATAGTTGGTGGTGTCTTTTGTGATGGTATCTAAGTGGTACTTGATAAGGAAGTGCTTGTTAACTAGGTACCTAGTCTAAGTTAGGTCGTTCAACGGAAATATTTACGGACATACCGCAAAGTTCGCAGTAAGGCGACTCATTTAGTGGCGGGAAAGGAACTACGATATTCCTCTCAGAATTCAGGGAATTCAGGGATTGTTCTCTGGATATGGAAGCCCAGGGTTATGCTTGTACTAGTATTGCCTTTCTACCTGTAATTTTTGTTAACATATCTGAAAAGTAATAAAATCGCTTATCTCCAGGCTTTTTAGGTAGCCATCCGGTCTAGCGGGATAGGTAATCCCAGTAACATCTCTCGAGGTCAACGATAGAACCGACAAATATACAGACTAAACGGCTACTCATTGACTCGCGTTCGAGGCAATTCCGAGATCTCGCCTAATATATCACATGGGAACCCATTTAAATACCCTGAAATCACAAAAGTTCCTCGCAATATAAAGTTTGCACCTGCTCTAGCTTTTCCCGACAATCTTATACCCAGTTCTTTACAACCAGCGACCACGTGCGAACCACGTAGTTTACAACTCGCGTGGGCAGCGAGGCCACCGGAAAACTTGCCCCGATCCCAATCAGGAGACATCTTGCTGCTGCACGGTCTCCACCGCTCGCCCCCGGACCTGATATATTCGGATCGGATCCATATTGTGGTACATAAAAGACGTCAACCTTGTGACTTATTTCAGGATGCTGCATGCGGGTGTGTCGATCCTCAAGCTATCAAGGAATGGCATTTTCGTAAATCCCCTTGTCCGAGAACCGAATTCCTTTTTCTCGTGGGCCTTTGCGTCATAGTCATCCTCTAATCCGGAATATCTTCATCTTGAATGTCGTCAATAATTTACTTACGACTTGGCAACGAGTCAATTATCCACATGCTTCTAAGTTCCTCCATCTGGTGAATTGAAGCTCGTAATGGGTAGGTATTTCTCATGATTCGCTATTGAAGAAACGACTACGTGATACCGAATTGTTGATTTCTGCTATAGAAATTAATTCCCGGTTGGAGCTCGATCCCACATATCCCATGACGTTCAACAGTAGATGACGCAATCATTTTTTGAATATACATAATGGCCGGTGATTCTCTCCGCTGTATAGTTTGAAAATCTATTGAATCGGGCGAATGGTACCTGGTTGGTCAAACACTACTGGCGAGAGGAATGGATAAATGGAGTAGTTGAAACAATCAGTAGTTGCGAACTTAAGTATCCTTAGATAGTTTCAACTTAGCTTGGATTCTTCTTTTCACGATGCCATAATATCATCAGCACTATGCAGTGGAGTTACGGATACAACTTGACTTATTCGTAAGACTACGCCGTATTAGATAGTACGTACAATAATTCCGGTTGATGTAGTTGTTATTAGAATATAATGATATTTAACTTCTAAGGAAATGAAAAACTAGGTTGTGTAATAAGAATATATGTGGCGATAGTATGTGTAGGTACCTAACTATACTGGTGATGCTATAACTATTAGACATTTTACGGTATCGTAAGCTTACTAGTTCGATTAACAATTGCTAAGGGGGAAAAAAGGAAAAAAAGCTTGGGCTTGGTATACTAACAATTAGATAACTACCTGTTACACTCTTTATTATATTATTTATAGAACCCTTAATTTCAGTAGTCCTATTGAGCATCAAAGAGTTGATAACTTAGCTCTCTTCGTTGTTGCACGTTTGGTGTAACTACGTTAGGTACTGGTTATTCGCAATAAGACAAGAGGTTATTTTTTTCGGCAGGATTAGTCTTTCAATGGTATAGTCCCACTAACTAATATTGGACCTTGAGTCCGACGAGTTTTAGGTCTAATAATATAATTTTACTTACCTAATTGCCATGTTGAAGTTAGTTGCACAATCAAAACTGTCTGTTGAAGATAGATTAGACTTCGGTACTTGACGAGCCACAAGTTTCACTAACCCTTGTAGAAGCCATGGCTGTGTCTACCAATAATAGACGGAGGAATGACCAAGCTTGGAAAGGGGTCTCAGGCGTGTGGGCCCCGCTCCAACTAATAAAGACATTCGACAGTGCCCAGACTGTCAGAGCTTCCCTTAACAATTCTAACTGGTTGGTGAGTCTGCAAGGTACACGTTTACTCTTCGGCACTTGAGCGTTTAAATGGTCATTCATAAGAGCTACGGGCGCTGGGTGAGGATGATCAGTGTCGCGTCGATGATAAACATCTTAACCTAGGCATGAGGCGTTGATGGCGGTGGGGCGAAAATCAAATAACATTTCATTTCTGATACTAACGGGATAAATATACTATTCTCCTTCATGTATCGTGCCTCATTAGTGGGAATTATGTGAGTGATAATATTGAAAGATATAAAGTCATGATATTTTTGTATTTGTCCTGCCCGAATAGGAAAGCGAGATCTCTTGCAAACAACTCAGAGATCTCTAGTTAGCTAGCTGGGTGGCGTAGCATCAAGGGTACGTTTGGTGATGCGGGCGCGGGGACCCTTGTCTATCGTGGGCCTCGCGCGATCTCCTATTTGACCCAGCTGTCTTGTAAAACTTGGTAACAAGCTCACAAGGCCCGAATCCGTACAGGACCCCTTAAGACATTCTAGATGCAAATGTAGAAGGTCTCAGTCTCTATTCGGGATGGCCGCCCACATGTCACAGGCACACGCTAGAAAGGAGTCTTTATAATGTTTTGTTCCTGATGAAAGAGTCTCGCGACCCCTGGTCATTCTCGACAATTCCCATTGGTGTTTTGTTTGTTCCCCTCTCAATGCTTTCATGCGCCCGACCATAAATATCCCCTATTTAAATACAAAGGCGCCCTGCAACAATATTATGGTGTCGCGATAGATCCAGATCTAGTCGAGATCTTCATTCATTCTTCGATTCTATATATACTTAGTGTTGATCACTATACAAATTCAGTTCTTCCTTAAATCACTTTTACCTACAGAGACTATCACAGAAATGCGCAATAATATCCTTTTATCAGCCCTTGCCCTCGCGGCGGGGTCTCTCGCAGCAGACTGTAATGGGCATGCTGAGCTCTGCGATCGACAGTATAGCAAGGTCACCTTCGTGGGGGCCCATAACTCGCCTTTCGTTGGGGTTGGCCCAGCAGATAATCAGTTAACCGACCCGACGGAACAACTAGACCAAGGTGTGCGATTCCTTCAGGCGCAAACCCAAGAAAAAGACGGGTCGCCCCAGATGTGCCATACCTCATGGTAAGTTATATCTTAACTCTATTACTTCATCACACGGACTCAATAGTAATTATTTGAGATATAGCTTATTAGAGGATGCTGGCTCATTACAAGACTATCTGGGCCCTATTAAAACTTGGATCGATGCTCATCCAAACGAAGTTGTAACGCTGCTTCTAACAAACCCCGATGCGATTGACATCAACAAGTATGGCGATGTATTCAAGTCAACTGGGCTGGACAGTTACGTCTTTACACCGGATAAGACGTTCGGTTTAGATGACTGGCCGACTCTGGGAGATATGATCTCAAGCGGCAAGAGAGTCGTAGTATTCATGGGTATGAGTTACCTATACCTCGAGTTCTTCGATTGGGTAAGCTAACAATAAATAGATTACAACATGGATACTTCCAAGGTCCCGTACATTCTGGACGAGTTCGCCTACTACTTCGAGACTCCGTTTGACCCAACAGAGGATATACTTAGTGGATGCGGCGTCGATAGGCCCTCGGGCGTTTCAGCTGACGGTCGGATGTTCCTCGCCAACCATAACCGGAATGTTGAACTCTTCCCCGATGTCTTAATCCCGGATTTGATTCAGGCGCACAATACGAACTCGGTAGAGTCTATTACCGAGCAGAAGACACTTGCAAGAGTAGCTATGGTCGCGTACCTAACGTAGTCTTGGTGAGTACCCTAACATCTAGGCAAACCTAGGTAATCAACGTGCTTCACAGTGAATTGCTAACATATCGCCGTAGCTTGATTTTGTTAGTTTAGGAGACACAATAAAAGCCCAGGACCTCCTCAACGGGTTATAGATCTCTTAAGATGTGAGGTTCCATGAGGCGATACTTTATCATAACGATGATGATGACCCTTTATTTTCCTATTCCTAGTTCCTTGCATGTTAAGATGATACCCAATTAGTTGGCAGATCATTTATGTCTGGGATCAACGCAGACGACGTTATGGTCTCCGTTTATTTCCATGTATATACTTGAGAGCACATTCTCTGAGAGATGTAATGATATATTAGTCGGAGTATTTTGGTTAGCGATTTAGGTATGGTTTGATTTGACGGTGTTGGAAATTGATAATCTAAGTTATAAAGAATGTAGTGCAAAGCATCGATGTCGAATCAACTCGATATCCCTTTATACTTTTACGCCTATTCCTAAGTCCTTTTAAATCTTGACTTTTAATAATCAAGCATTCACTTCATGAAGTACTTTATATTACAGGTACTGGTTCAGTCTTGGAGGCTTGGGGTATTATGTTGTCAGGACAGCTTAACGGCCATGTCTAAATTAATAGTATGTTGTGGAAAGAAACAACCTGGTATTAGGTAAGATCGAGAATAACTACAGACGTCCCTTTCAAAAAAGTCTTTACCATAGGAAGACCTCTCCCCCCCCCCCCCCCCCCCCCCCCCCCGGCAAGCTTTTTTGATCGCTAGGTCATGTGGCTCTGTATGTGGTCACGTGGTACTACGTTATCTTATCGCAATTCACGTGGTGCACCCAATCAGAGGCATTCTAGCTCTTGGAATTGATTTTCGACCAAAATGCCAAGATACACTCCACATATACTGATCATGCACCCAATCAAATTACGTAAAAATCGGGACACGGACCATGGAAAAAGTTCGACACAATACATAAAACCCCTCGTAAACTCGGGCATTACCCAACAGTTGCTGGCCAAGGATCAAACAGCTGGCAACAATCTTGACAGGGGTTCCCTATGGTAAAAACTTTTGAAGGGACATCCGTATTCGATGGATACATTACTTAATGCATACATTTTTAATGCGATGGTATGTTAACGAATAGAAGAATTCAAATTGTTCAGCGTGTAAGTCCATCAAGTTGACCAATCATAGGACAGCTATAAATATCATTCTCTTCAACAAGCGCGGGCGGCATTCAGGGCGCTTGGCAGAGGTTGTAAAATCATCGTAGCCAATCAATGTCTCCGCATTACAAGGAATTTAAAAAGTTAACCAATCAGCGCTCTAAAAACAGAACGAAACTCTAGGGTCCGTAGCTTGCCGCCGGTATACTACCTTGGATCCAATAGAGACGCATATCACGATATTGTCGGATCTGGAGCCGCAAACACTATGCCGGTATGCCGGTATGCCGGACAAGTATACTTACATATTTAAAAGGGCTATTGCCGCTGCGAGGAGGAAAGTTAAGAACTAATTACTACATCATCTCTACTAACATCAGTGTTTCCTTTTGTTCATATTTCTGTCTTTGTGAAAAGGTTACGATTTTTATATTTAATCCTTGGTCTTCTAAAGTACCTTTAACTTCGATCTTAACACCAATTGATACCCCGATAATATCTTCATATAGACGGTAAAATGAAGTCCTCTAGTACACTCAGCCGGCTGAGCTTAGTTGCCTCTGCATGTATATCTCCTCTCAATTACTTACCCTAGCCTTATTGTATCAGTCACTAACATAATATAGCTTTATCTTTCTTCATTACCTCTTCACAAGCACAGGATGCTAATAGCACTTCATCAAATACTCCCGCTGGCTCAGTCTTTATCTCACCTCCGCGGGACCTCGCATTCGCACTCAATGTCCCTAGCGATTCTACCACCGATCTATACTTCTCGTTAATGTTTCCAGAGGGAACCAGTTGGGGAGCCATTGGACTTGGATCAGATCGCATGGCTGGCTCACTGATTCTGCTAGCATACCCATCGGAATCGGGGCAGAACGTCACATTGTCACCGCGAATCGCTTCTGGTCACTCGGAACCCGTATACACCCCTGATATTAAGGTTGAAGCGTTAGATGGTACTGGGCTCAACAATGGGACGTTCATCTTCAATGGGCGTTGTGAAAACTGCCGGTCTTGGTCGGATGGGAATGGGAAGATTGATTTTGCGAGCAAGTCGCAGAGATATACGCCACAGGAGACAGTGGCACTCTCAAGTCTGATTCGTTTGATGCGCCGCTGAGGATGCACTATAACTACGGTACATTCACATTAGACATGGCCCACGCCACAGGACCAGCAGGCGTTCCGATAATCGACAGGTCGGAGAACAGCACACTAGTCGCTACGACTCAGGGGTTATCGAAGGAAGGTAAAAAGGATGTCGCGGCGTTGATGCATGCGATCATCATGGTTTTCGTGTTCGTTGGTTTATATCCCTTCGGTATTTTCGTTTTACGCTTAGGAAACTGGGTCCGTTGGCACGGGATCAACCAGGGCTTCGCTTTCATTCTCACCATTGTCGGCTCGAGTCTTGGTTTCTCGATCAGCAAGTACTACAATAGGGTATGTGGTCCATTTTTTGTGAGCGTTCAAAGATACTAACATACTAGTAGTCTAAGAAGGTCAACACTGCTCACCAGGTTATCGGCATTCTCATCTTCATTTTCATTTTCGCCCAGTTTGCTCTAGGCTTCTTGCACCACCGCAATTTCAAGAAGACACAGCAGACGACCAAGATGGCCCCTATTCATGTATGGATGGGTCGCGTGATAATCGTTATGGGTGTCGTTAACGCATTCCTGTAAGTTCCCTTCCCGCCCTATGCAGCCCAGATGGGATTTGTTAACATTTAAACACAGTGGCTTCCCGCTCGCTCAGGCATCGCAATACAACTACGTCCTCGCAGGTCTCGTTCTTTTCCTCTTCCCGGCCATGATCCTCATCCTCGTTACGAAGAAGTTCATCCAAAAGAGGTGGAATAAGTCTAAGAACGAACCAACTGGTTACAATATGGAGCCGTGGAACCAACAGAACGGTCAGGCAGGGCAAGGTAACGGCGCTGCAAATCCACAACAGCCTATGGGGCAGAATGTGAGTATACCAGGCATGAGCACGTATACACCATATCATGCTCAGGGCATGAAGGCAGATCTTGGACCGCAGCAGAATACTCGTGAATACGTGTAAGGGGGTGCTATGGCGAACTTAATTAATTACCTAGGCTGTGCCGGTATAAAATGCATTAATAGGGCGTTTAGGTATTGGATCATTCATTTATACTCGGGTGGGCAAGGGATGAGGTTAAGTCAATTGGATAACGAGGCGCAACATGAATATAATGAAAAAGGGGTAGTCATTTCCAACCGACTACCTGTTTCCATTTTTCCAATATTCTTATTATTGCTTCTTATGATTACCTAGGTATCTATAACATGGTAGCAAGAAGTGAACGTAACCATCGTGTGAGTCTCGGTCGAAAGTATGGCACTGTGCGGTAACATTCTTGTGTCTCGAGTATACACTGTCTGAATATTCCCCATATGATCCAGCTCCTGTATTCCTACAAATATAGACGAATACCGGTATTTAATAGGTTAGCAATTAATTGTGAGGCGGAAAGTTAATCCGATACTACTGAACACTGGGCTTCAAGGTACATTACCCCTTGTTGGTATCTATCAAAATCCATGTGACACACCTGATACCCGTATGCGATATAAAAACAAACCGTTTCTCATTGGTAGCTTCGTGGCTAGGAAATATGTATACGAGGTTGAATGCAACGTAACATAAATCTCCGTTCTCTTTTTCAATAAATATGTCTATATGCGCCTCGTTACCTCCAACATGGTATTTGGAGTTAGCTTTAGCCTACCTTCGTGGGACCAACCATATCCAGGGGTTTCTGGCAAAATACATAGCTGCGCAGCACTCCTTAACAACGCCTAGGAAAGATGTTGATCAAATGATGAATAAATTGATAAAGAGGGAATAAGATTCTCTCTGACGTACCACTAATTGTTCTAGAAAGTTACCAATCCATTAGGCAAGTAATGTGCGCATGTGGCCTACTTACGAACTCGACGGGGTTTCATGGCGCGTACCGAAAGGAGACATAACGGACTGTACAAGGCAGCATCTAGAATTCAAATATCATTGTTGCTAAAACTAGACAATGGAGCCACCTAGCCATGAATGCAAGGTGACGATACTAAATCTTACCAGTAATTGCGTTTGCAGCTGACGCTTTACCTTTTTATCTACCAATTAATTTTCTATGCTAGGTTGAATCTTCGCCTGGGCCGGCCTGTTTCCTGTGGTCTAGAAACGTGCATCTACAGGCTGAATTGGGCCTATATAGCTTCGCGGCACCTTTAATGGTTCGTTACCAAACGCGCCTACTGGAACCTAGTATATGGTCCTCGGTCTAGCCAGTTACTGACGTGTTGAAATCCGTTCCAATAAAGCTTACAGCTCTTCGGGCTTCACACTCACTATTATTAGAAACCACGAGATCATTTAATACTACACCTTGGATACTTATGAAGCCAATTCTAGAGGTTCTTGTTATATCTGCTATAACTACAAAAGGATAGCTTAGGTACCAGCGACTTTACCTAAAGCGAACTCCTCGTAATCTAGAGCAGTTCTAAGCCGATAGCGCTTGGTATTTGGTTCCAAAATGACTTCTCAGATCTTGAGCTTATGGCTCATCCTAAGTCTCTTCACCTTGAGAGCTCTTGCTGCGTGTGCTAGTTACGGTGTAGATTACGTGAACGGTGGTTCATACGACATCGATGCATCTTCAAACGACAATTTCACATTCACCACTATATTCCAGGGTATAGTAGTATTCTTGTATACATGAACTTGGAATAAACATAAGCTGACGATATTCAGGGTGCGACCAAGAGTCTGTAAAGCCAATTCTCATAGATCCTAGCGGTGGTCAACACCCCTGCTCCTCAATAAGTACGACACCTGCCGGGACGCAGGTAACATCGACATGGTAAGATATAACCAGCTTTGACTTGGCGTTAACGAGTTACTTATTATCCTTTAGTGAAATTAAATACTCTTCCATGACTTCTGGGTTATACAAGATAATCATATCTGGAAGTGCAATTGGTGTTCAAAGGACTATTGCCCTTACAGTCGGCACCCCTGATGTGATTACTATCACTGTAAGAATATAACCCGTCAAATGCCACTGTCAGTTTTTACCAATACTGACCTCACTATAGGCCACGCCTACTGTTATAGTTGGTGTTACTAGCACACCTAACGCAACAAGTACTGAAACCATGCCCAGTTGATTAAGAAATATAATCTAATATGATAATAGCAATATACAAAACTATTGCCCAAACGCTGACCTCGACTCTGCCACCTGCGACGGTGACGACGCCTTGCGACGGCACCACGCAAACATTAACTATTACGCCAACAGCACCAACAATCACCAGCACATATTTAATTACTCGAACTACCACAGACAAGAAGGTTACAAGCTACTCGACAACCACGATAACAAAGACAGCTTCCTGCCATTATTTGACACCTCCATCATTTACCATACCAGATCCTGCCCCTACGATATGTATCGGGCTTGCCTGTCTCCCAAGTGTCGGCATAACCATAGTACCTGATACCGCTGTGAAGACCGGTAAGGTGAACGCGGTTGCTGCTGCTGCTTCTGTAGCCGCTACGACTGTGACGGTCACAGAGACTACTTACACCGTTACAAGCACAAGCGTCACTACGGTTCCAGCGTCGACGACAACAGAGGATGGTAAGCTCAGATAAATACCCCTATTTGAAACTAAGGAGGCTAACATACCACTATTAGTTTACCAAACGATTATCGCTACTATGTAAGCCTGGGTTTAACACTTACTATTAATACAACTTAAGCATAAAGTCAATTACTAACAATACTGAAGAACACCCGCCCCGACAACGAAGTGCGACGATTCTAGGCCTCCGCGTACTGTCACTATCACGAAGCCTTTCGCGACGGTCACACAAACGGATATCGACTACACTACTACGCACGTCGAGGCAACTATTTGGGTCGGGTACGTAATATTCTCTATGCAATAACTAATTCACCAAGTACACTTCCGTATGAGTATTATAGCATGGCTAACGGATTTTGTAGAAAAACTTCATACAAGACATCGACAAATAAGGCAAGCAAAACATCCTGCTCAAGGAACGGAGGATGGTACGGAGCTGATGGAAGTATGCCGGTCACGGCTACGGCCTAATAAGTTCGTGTCTGTATTAAGTGCTGCCATAGGGGGTGCGAATGGTAATGTCTCGTGAGCACTACGTGAGAGAGGGAAGATGGTTCCCCTGTCGGCCCCCTATTGTGCCCTGGCTTCAGTACCTAGAGATTCTACAAATATTCAACTACGTGAATACCTAGGTAGGTAGATTATAAGATATTCCCTTCATGTGATACAGCATCTAAAAATATCAATATCACCTAAGGCACATCTAGTTAAATATCTCAGATATGATATGATGGTAAGCCAAATAGAGGGCGCATCGATGCCGCAGTCGAAGCTTTCATGTCATCATACAACCGCGGATCCGGCCCACGAGAAAGCTGTAGCCCACAGCGTGATATCGTATCTTTAAAGATATTATCCGGTAGCGACTTTCCGCTGAGGCAGAAGTCACACGAGCACGGCTTAGGACCGGTGCCGTGATGATCGCACTAACACGTTATTAAGTCAGGCCATATGTAGTTGTAAATATCAAATACGTACCCCGAAATTCATATCGCTAAGTATGCCACAACACGTCCATCGAAAGCCTTGCGGCCAGTACTGATGCATGCAGATGTCATCCGACTTGAAGTCTTCCTCGTATCTACGTTTCAGCTCCGCCGATTTGGACGCGACACAATTGCCCCAGCCCATTTCATCGCCGGTAACCGAGCAAACACCACCCCAGGTGATGAGTTCCAGCTTGCCGAAGTGCGAGCTGCCGTCCTCGCATTTTCGGTACCGGTCGTACCACGGCTTACCTGCCGCCATGTTGGCCCTGGCACGACATTCGTCTTTGTGCGACGGCCAGTCTTTTTGCTGACAACTTGTACCTGGAAGTTATGGTTCGATGGGCTTGGCTGCAGATATTGAACTAAACCGGGTAGCTTACTGCAGTAGAAGCTAGCTTTGCATCTCCCGCAGCGCTTGACGACATTGTCTCCCACTTCGAGTTTTCCACAGACTCCATATTTTACTTTTTCTTGGTTTCTCTAGCATTGTGCTATGTGAGTCTTTAACTTCTAGTTATATTTAGTTTCTATATGTCGATGATGCGACCATGTACATAGGATAGGCTGATATAGGAGGGGAAAAACTTTGCTACGTAAAAAGCTTTTCACCTAAAGTATTGGCCGCCACTACGAAGAGGTAGCCTAGACAGGTAGGCGTGTGTGGCTGGCTAGGTATTGGTAAAGACTCTGGTGTATAGAAAAGCAAGGGGTGGCCCTTGCGCACGAGGCATAAAGGAATAGGGGCTCGAGTGCATGAATATAATCGACGACATGTTACGTAGGTGTCTACAGACGCTTAACCAATTTAGGTAGTCAGCTTTCAACAGCACTCATAGTTGGTTGAGCTAAATAATAGTATTAGTTAAGCTATTTTCACTCTTTCTTATATTTCTCTTTCTCCTCTCGAAGCATAGCCGTACTTCTATGGTCATTAATAAAACGAATCACTCATTGATACTATGAGAATTCAATTATCTCCTTTTATCTTCAAGTCAAATCCTCTTATATAAATCCTCACGAAGCATTGATGTGGCGGTATTTCTCTTTATTCTATCCCATGCCTTGACAATGCTCAGTTCTCTTTTTGTAGTAGTATACATTATCTACCATGTCGCCACACGTCCTTGAATTGAAGGGCAAAAAATAGCATCTGATCATAGTGGTATTATCCAAATCTTATAATGTATTGTAAAAGGAACAAGACCCCAAGGAGGCAACCCGAGAGACAAAAGCATGCCAAACACCAACCAGTTTATAAAGCTATTATAACCTACGAAATGCCCATGAATTATTCCAACAATCAATACAAGTTAAACAAGAAGAATACTGAAATAAGAATAAGATGTGCGAATACACAATCCCAGCATTCACATGCGGCTGTCGCGCCGTAGGCCCCTCGAAGCTAAATATGCGGTGCGATGACCCTCGGACTAGCTGTGCAGATACACCGTCGATATTTATCTTGCCTCGTCGCTGCGATGATGCTAGGAATCACGCCGATGAGTAGGTCGTCCAGTACACATTAAGGGGTTTGCTTCGAAAGATAGGGGGCTAAAAGGCAATATCAATCAGCAGCCTTTTTTACAACCAGATAAATAGGGGTAACGAGTTGAGAGGTATCTATAATGTTATGGAATGGGTGTACAAGGAGGAAGATAAGCCTAGGAAGGCCAATATAGGATGATTTATGCGATATCAACTATTTAACGCGTGTTTATCTGCTGACGCATTGCGACCCTAGCATTACGCTAGAAATCAAGGAGTTACTAGCTGCGCGTCGAAAGCGCCTTGTCTTTGGAGATTTGATTATGACAGGAGACTGATTATACAACTTACATCTCACGTCTATTCCATTTATCATGATTAGCGCTTCTACGTAACTACCTGTCTTAATAGTATTGGTTAGCCTGTTCTATTTAATGAGACACTGCTCTCCACAGTGTAACAATGTCGAGGGCCAGATGCTTCGTCACACCCATTCTTGAAAGAAGGGTCTCGAAATCGGTAGTACACAACTGGTACCTAGAAATCCTCCTTGTGTCCCCTTTCACAAAGCTTATTGCACTAGGTAACAATCGCACTGTTCCTCTGTATTGATCGTCGGCGCCACAAAGGATTGATTTTCAGCCGCTTATTTCCGCGGTGCCGCCATCTTACACCAAGAAAACTTAAATATATCATGAAGTGGACTTTTAAAAGCAATGCTCGACGTTCTCTGAGTCCTTAGTGGTAGGCGAAGTTTCCCCTCAGGATGATATTTGTTGCCCTGTACAACTTAGGCAGCGTTATAATTATCAGACGGATGCGAAGATCGTCGTCTGTAATGTTACACGCCTGGTCATTACCAAGCTCGTCAACTAGGTCTGATTCGGTGAGGGCTTGAACGAGGAAGGGCCTAGGTGCCATCGTTCAGTCTCAGTTGCGCGTTTTTTTGCCGGTCTCGTGGGACATACCAAGTGCCCTGGTGTTGAAAAAATATAAATCAGGTATCCTATCAAGATTGTTCTCTTCTTCTCTGCCTATCAGCATCTTCTTGCACATCTTTGACTACTACAATCAAACTACGTTCAACTCCTTCATTTCTTCACTATGAAGTCTTTCAGTCTCTTTGGCACTCTAGTTATCTCCGCCTTGCTTCCCGCAACTCAAGCAACCTGGTGTCAATTCTTCTACGACAGCGGCTGCTCAAACAGCGCCAATGGCAAGACCAACTTCGATTGTGCCAACCACAATGTCTTCGGAAGCGGTGGAGGCTTCGCCAAGTGTCATGGCACGAAAGCAAGCAAGCAATCATGCTTGATCCATCGATGCTCTGACGGGTCATGCTCAAACAGTGAAACATTTAACGTCGCTTCAGACCAGTCTTGTGTTAGCATGGAGGGCGCGGGGCCATACTATCAAATATATTTCGCCTAAAGTCTTACATGTAAGTTTATTAGAAACCAAATATAGTCAAGAAGCTAATTAGGATAATAGTTGGGATTGGCATTTTATATCATCTAGTGGCGATGTCTCAAACACTATGGATTTATACACTCATAGAAACAATAGAGAAGCTTATGTAGGAAAGGAAAGTCACGAAACTAGAGGTAGTTATATGCTATAATTTACCTTGTTCTTCTTTCTTGTTGTGTGTAAATTGCTTGGTCTAAATCCGAAAATCTTGCAAATTTGAAAAATATGAATCTAAATATCGACATTATTCCAAATATCTTGTCTATAAATACATCATGTTTCACCAGAGAGGTATAAAGTATCCCGATGTTCACTAGAACTCTGTGCAGCTGGCTCCAGCTGCTAAGTAAAGGACACCAAATGGCGGACAGCAATCTTATTTTAATACCATTCTGTAAGTTAGGTATCTGACTGAAGTTCATGCTTGCTGCACCTACTGGAATATTCGGGGGCCAAAAGGCCCTGAGACAAAGGACGAACAGATACAGACAAGCAGACACTAGGTTGATCATGTCCAACACCCCGCCATATTTGCGATTCACCACTCATGTACACCCTCGCAACTTATTATCACTCGACTTATAATACTCTAAGCAATTTTTCAATTATAGAATCACCGTCATCTCAAATTGGAGAATGGCAGAGGGCACTGTGCAGTTTGACGTTCCCGGCCTCTCCAAGCCTTGCCATACCTGGTACAAGATCGTCGGTGATCTCGAATCATCTGCCCCTCCTTTAGTTGTGCTACACGGAGGACCCGGAGCATGCCACGACTACCTCCTGCCATTGGCAGATCTTTCATCCTCTAGGCCGCTCGTCTTTTACGACCAAATCGGAAACGGGCGCTCGACCCATCTACCGGAGAAAAATGGCGACGAAGCCTTTTGGTCCGTGGATTTGTTCAAGAATGAGCTCAACAATCTCATCACTAAGCTGAGGCTCAATTCTCGACCGTTTGATGTCTATGGACATTCGTGGCGCGGCATGCTTGCTGCAGAGTGGGCGTCAACGCCGACGAGTTCGGGGAACCTCCGACGCCTAGTCCTCTCCAACAGTCTGGCTAGTATGGATACGTGGCGAGAAGGTATCAACACCCTGAGAAAGCAACTCCCCAAGGACGTCCAGGAAACTCTTGACTGCGCAGAAGAGAAGGAGGAGTTTGAGACCCCGGAATACGAGGCAGCCATGGAATTCTTCTACAGGCAGCATTTCAGCCTTGCAAGGCCATGGCCGGCGCCGGAGGTTCAGGCTGCTCTCGATTGGTTCGCTAAAGACTCTACGACGTACGGCACCATGTAAGATCCAATACGTTCGCCCATAGCTAAATAACTCTACTAATCGTACAAAAAGGTACGGCCCAAGCGAGTTGTACATCTCTGGCTCCCTTCGCGACTGGACTTGTATTCCGTTGCTGCACAAAATTCAGGTACCAACACTCTTGATCAATGGAGTACAAGACGAAGCACAGGATGTGACGATGCAGCCATTCTTCGACGAGATCAAGAAGGTCAAATGGATCAAGTTGGATAATGCTGCTCATTTCTCACATGTCGATCAACGGGAGGCGTATATGAAGCATCTAGGGTCATTTCTGGCGGCATAAATAAGTAGGTAGTCATATCAATGTCGCCTAGATTGCAGACATAAGAAGAAAAGTATAAGTATTAATTTTATCTTATACTTAAGACCACAGATAACTAGGGTTATGGTGCACTATATCACATTGTTCTAACTTTACTCTAAACTTGACCTAACCTGTCTATAAATTCATCACATCATACTTTATGCCTCATAACACCCCTGAATGCTCTAAATGTTGATGCGTACATCGTATCTAAAAACAACAGAGAAAAGCATACAGTGCTCATGTACGCCCTTCGTCTTCGTCTTCGTCCCCTTCTAACCATATCTCATGTCCGTTTCCTTCTCTAACCCAGAAACTCGCAACTAAACCACACAGAGCCACGCCGGCAAGACCCCAAAACACCCCGCCGACTACACCGTGACTCAAGCCAAGACCATAGAGCCATCCGCACATGACGGGGCCAATCGTTCGAGCGAAACTGCTGACACTTTGGCCAAGACCATGGACAGTACCTAACACGCTAGGGTGCGGCGTGCAGTTGTTGACTAAAATCGTCTGGGCGGGGAGTGCAAACGTGCGCCCCGTAACCTGGATAAATAGCACACCGGCAATAGCAGCCCATATCCAAGCACCCGTCTTCTGACTCGGAGGCGACGTACTCGACGGCACAATTGATAGAAACGGGATTAGAGTGTATGCGATAGGGAAGAGAAATAAACACATACGCCATGAGCGGACGGTACCCAGTCGCGATGATAGACGAGGGTATAGAAATAGCTGCATCGTAATACCAATCACACCTAGGATCGCCATGGCCATACCGACGGAACTAGGGGGTAAACCAAGTCCACCCGTGAACCTGAAAGGCAGCTGTGGCTTAAAATCCGGCGGGTCTGGGTTTTTCGGATTGTAAACAGGGGTCGAGAGGAAAATGAACCAGAGCGAGTTAAAGGTACCGACATGAAAAGCCAGGAAGAAGTGGGCAATAAATGTAAAGGATACGTTGAGGTGAATATGCGACGGAAGGGAAGTCTAGTCGTATACCTGCGCCTAGAAGGTCTCTTCGTTGTCGTCGGTGCATTTTCAGATGAATCTTGGTGTAACTGGCGACAACTCCATATCTGTACTTATACTAGAATCCCGAGAGTGTAGACGCGTATATGCTATACTTGTGCCGTGTTTCTTGAACAGTGATGTGAATAGTGATGTTAACTTCCGGCCTATGATAATCCCGAAATCCCGCCTGTCTTGTAAGGCATCGTGTGTCTGGTATATGTAAGATGGTAGTTCCACCACGAAATCCGATGTATGGGGGCATAACATACCTCTTCCAAAAACATCCAGCACATTAGCAAAGCAACGAATAGAAACCCTGTGCTAACAATATTTGGCATGGCATAGGGAAATTTCTGGAGAAACTCTATGTTGCCAAAGGTATCAGGGTATGAGCCTGCCGGGTCAGATAGGACGCCACCAATGACTGGGCCAATGATGACGCCGATATTAAACGTCATGGGCAATATTAGGAATGCCCGGGACTGATATCTATAAAGTTGTTAGTTCCAGCCTACTATCTAGCTGTAACCAAGTTGCAAAACGTACTTCTTTTCGCGGACAATCTCGCTAATCCTACAATTCTCAGTGTCAGTACTACTCATAGAGCCATTACGGCTGATATTGGAACCTACATGGTCCTCATCACACCAACGTTGCCATTAGTCGCACCACCTAGAGCTCTAAATAACAGAGCTTGGGAAAATGACGTCGAGAACCCATACCCAAGACATGAAATAACTTCCTCTCACGTTAGCAAGTCCCTCATCGAGCCCCGTCCAGAAGGAAAGGGGAAACATACGAGTTCCAAACAATCCTATCATGATAACCGTCTTTCGGCCGGCCCAAGTAGAATCGGCAACCCGGCCCCACATCATGGCAGTGAAGAACTGCGCGGCGGTGAAGCTCGCATGCAGAATACCGGCCTGGCTCGAGATGGTAGAGTCCGGCAGACTTGGGTCAAACCATCGTAACTGGTAGAACATGTATGACTAGGTACCTTAGGTCAGCAATTAGAGGTCACCATTCAATATATCTTGGCGGGAGATATGATGGTAGATGCAAAGGGATTGACACCATACCTGCAGAGACGTCTGGACCAATGGCTCGCTGAGCCGGGCTAGTGTAATGACTACCAACTGCTTCTTCTTGGGTAAGTCCCTCCAAGCCACCACTTTCTTAGAGTCGCTCGGCCTCCGACTGCGTTCTTGGTAATCAGCAACTGCTACGTTGGTGTTAATAGCTAGGGTGCCGGTACGGGGTGCCACCAGCCGAGTCCCATCCTGCCCGCTCTCGTCTCGGATGCCGAGCCCGGGATCAACCGCAGCAGATTCCTCCTCGGAATCAAAGTCGAAGTCGCTCAAAGGGCCCCGGTCTTCTTCCTCGACGTCATCATATTTGCGACCGCTCATTGGCCGTCTCACCGGCTTTGCAGATAGAAATATCTAGTCCGGGGTCTGGGGTATGCTCACGTAAAGGAAAGGGGACCTATTAAGTATTCACAGTTGACAAAAATTCAGATTCGGGGTTCAATAATAAGACAGACCAAACGAAATAATTTGGTACTTGAAAATCAATTGAACTGAAGGATATCCGCTGACTAGAAAACAAAATAGATTACGCTACGCCTATCTCTCAGTGTCACCAACAAAGAAAAAAAATATTGCCGTCAGGTGCGCAGGCCGGGTAGGCTGATCTTTTGGGACCGATCTAGCCGAAGTCTACCTCGCTGCCTCGCCGCCCCAACGTTGAGTGGTGGGAGAGTTCCGACAGCGTTTAGGTGCAAAGAAATACAAGATTGAGATGGGTCCAATGAGAGACCGGCAGCGACACATCGATGAGACAATCAACGGTCCGTTGATGCCACACACTACTTACAAAGTTGAGACATGATTCGCTGGTTTCTAGGATCCAGGATCCAACAGAGTGGACTCAATAGCTATTTAATCCAATCAATTCATTGCTTTAGAACCCCTTGCAAGACAAACCGGAGTTTGGTTCAACACTTAACGACATACAAACATTCCCAATCTCGTGCATTTGCAGGGTAATTCAAGACATCATCAACGGAATTGATAAAATATATCGTATCTTAAAAGATGCTGGCTAACTAATGCTTCTCTAATGGCCAGTCATATGTCTTTTAACGCTACCTATGCGGCTGTGGCGTGTAAATGAATCAATCTTTCCCATGCACCGTTCTCTGGGTATTTCATACATTTTCTAGATGTTCCCATCATGGAATCCGTGCAGAATTCTAGAAATCTATGTTCCAATTATCATCCCCGAGGAACCCAAACATGAACGGACTCCATGCTTGATTATAAGGGGCCCAAGGAGCCCAATTGCTAGAGCCGCTAACTATTTGCGGCTCACCCGGGAGCCTAACCCCAGGTACTAACGTTAACTGAGTCGAGAACCAGGTCTTGATCCAATCAAGCTTCGTCGCATATTTATAGAAGCGATCGGTTTTTATATCATCGGCTGTATCCGGCGTGAATTTCACCCCAAAAGTAGCCGCGGCCTCCGCAGCCCTCTGTCCCTCGAGGTTAATGATGTTCTTGAAAGTCGATATGACGCTCTCCATCGTCGCCGGGAAATCGAATGTTTTCCGTGCTTCAACGAGGTCCCAACCATCTATTTCCACTAATAAAAGTCGCGAGGCTGCGACGAGTACGAATAAGATCTCGGAAAATGAGGTAAAAGACCGGTACAAAAATCCCTCCGTGCCTATTGAGACTATCGTCGCGAAGAATGATCGAGCTGCTTGTAGACAGTAGAGCATACACTGCCGTTGAAGCTGTGCTGCTACCTCGTCTTGTGGTGGAGATAGGCTTGATGCTGGTAGATATAATCGAACTAGGACGTAGTTATGCATCGCCCAGAATAATACTAAGTAATCGTCAGCGCCTAGTGATAGAAATCAAGTTTTGGGGAAGTCTCACCAAATTGTCTGTGTTCTCGGGCCATATTCGCAAAGAGCTGGTTGAGTTGATTGCGAATTGACTGCATATCCTCGTTCATGGATATGGTAAATACTTTCGAGCGTTCCCCTTCGGATGGCATAGGTAATTTCTCCGATATCCGCTCAACGATCTGCTGGAATCTGACAATTTTATCAAGGATAAAGTCTGTGCCAAAGTCTGTAGGGTGTACTAGCGAGTTGAGGCAGCGATCTACATAATCGCCTTTCAGCACGCCATCTCTCCCAAACTGCGACGCGTTCCTAGTCTCGTCAGCCCATATGTAGAATAGGGATCCAAGGTGCTTGGTTGCATGCTCACACTGAAAGAAGGTATTTGCAACCCAGAAAGGCTCGCTGTTCCTCAGGGGTATGTGACTCTTCCAGAACTGTCGTCATACTATAACTCATCAATGCTTCCTTCACGTCTTTCTAGCAAACCGAAAGATCTTGTGTTAGCTTTGAGGTCTTATAATTCTAGAAGATTCAAACTTATTTCTTGAGTAAGTCGAAATAATAGGACAATCCTACTCACTACTATTCGTTAGCCGATGTAGATGAAATAAATGTTTGAAACGATATAGGAAAGGAGATTTTGGATATTACAATATATAATTGTCAATACATACCCGGGTTTACCGCTACTGTCATTTTCTGCTGCATCGTGGGAGGTGGCCGCGTGATTGCAAGATTGTGAGCGTATCCCATTGCAAGGTGAGTTAAGTAAGTTATCTTCTGGTGGTCGAAGTAGAAATCATGTTCGCCCCTATGCCCGCAAGTTAGCGAATATGTCATGAAGACATGCGAATATACCGACCAAGCTATAAAAACCAGTAGACCTTGAAGAATGCCCAGATCTCGTTCCTCCATTACTAGCACGTGCTGGCCTACATAAGCGAGTATACTTTTTCTGATCTCACCTTGCTTCGCAAGCGTAAGATTACTCGCTACCAACATAATAGCTCTGAATAGGAGGGGTTTCTTGGCTAGGATTTCCTGTGCGGTGACATCGGGATCAAGAACAACGAAGGGGAAAAAGGGGGTAAACTTGACTTTGAAGTTAGACACTGCATGCTCAGCTTGATCCCAAGTTAACCCAAATCCCGGCTGGGAGATCTTCTTAGCAGGCAAAATTGGAAGTGGTTGCGATACTCTAGATTCTGGGCTGTAGGGGTTTCCCAGAGTTCGTGTAGCTACCCCATTGTATGGAGGGCTTTCCGTCACTGGGGGAGCAGGCGGGGGTGTTATGCTCTCGGCAGATGAATCATGATCCGACATCGTAAATGGGCCAGCTTTAAGTAAGATATGCCCATAGTTAGGAGGTCTCATAAAAGCATAGCTATCATTGCTAGGGTCCGCGGGCTCAGTGCTAGCACAATACTACTTTAGCAAATATTGACGGGCGAGCTATGCTCACTAATACCCGAATGCCCGTTGCGAACGTAGAGTCGGGACTAGTTTCAATAGGGAACGTACTTGGGAGGCTTAATTTGGCGAGGTCTCCTTAAGCTCTTAGACGTCTGGGAAGCACAGATAATTTTCATTCGCCGACACCTAATTTAGCAAGCTGTCAGGCCAAGAATTCTACTTGTAATAAGAGAGAATTTGTGTAACCTATCACAGCCATCTTCAACTTTATTCCCTTCAAAGTGGCAGCGAGCCTTCGCCTTTGTACAAGGTGCACATGCGCGCTGACGCCTTGGTGGACTTGCAGGGCGTTCGGTAGTCTGCTGGTGATTGGATATGTTTGGCATATTCGTGTCTTAATTGGTCCCGGAGGAGCCCCGAACGCCGGGATTCGAACAAAGGAGATGAACGCCGTGTTACCTGCTATCTAGCAAACACTAACCCGGCACTCTTGAAGCTTGTTACACGAGCTTCTGCGCACTGTCCGTAGCGCTGCGCTGAAAGTAGTATAATAAACCCGGATGCTTATTCCGGCGCTTGTCAAATTTTAGGACGGTCAAGGAAAAGAGTAGTAAGTAGGTGAGGTTAAAAAGCTAGATTACTTTCAAGTATTCAGTATTCCGTGTCTACGTGATAAGAAGTGGCTTAGCGGCAATACTTCGGGTTGTAGTATTCTAATGATTTAACCGTAAATATAAGGTAAATATTATTCTGGCTTATCCCGGCTTATCCCGGTTTGGTTTTTTGGGTCAAGAAGCTTAACCCGGTCCACGTCGGGTTATGAATTGCTCCATATACGGCGAAGTAGATCCATCGTGTCAGACTGTTAAACCGCATCGACCAATGATTTAAGGCAAAGACTATTAATATCCTTACCCAATCGTGTTTCTTATTTTGATCAAGAGAATAACTCCTTAGTCTTGATAACTTTGCTATCAATATAACTACAACTCGAAGCCACATAATTATTTAATCTTTGCTTATAGAGACGTTTAATTAAGTCGGCTAATGATATACTGCGAAGCCCCTTTTTATTGTTGTACATGTTATGACATCTTATAAGCGAGATACTTCCAGCAAGCTATATAAATATTAAGCAATGAACTAGGTTAAAACTCAAGACGTATATGCAACGAAAAACTAGCATAGCAGAAGTATGAAATACTTAAGAATACTACAATATAGCTTTATTAAGCTACGGCTGTAATCTTTCTATGTAAAATTATTGAGTTAAGCAAAGGTATTAGACCCCAGACCGCTGATATGCCTAGAATAAAAGGCCTTGGCAAAGTTTTTCGTAGTCTAACAGAGTTGCGTCCTCATATTATTCAATAACCTAAAGGTCCTATTACTTGGCTAGAATTTTAGCCACTCTTCGTTCTCCAATCTATGGCTGGGGTTCCCAATGTATTATGTAATTTATAAGACGTTAGACGTTAGACGTCTGACCTGATATTAGAATTCTCTCACACGAAATACTCCAGGACGCCACACAATACCTATATGGTTTGTAGATGTAACAAATTAATATATATTAATTTCTCATCATCTGCTCATTCCATGACGTTTACTTCATCGTGTCGTTTCCTATGAAAGCTCTATGAATTATACAAAAAAGCAATTAACTTGGCGTTTAGGCAAGTTTAAATAGATTCCAGCCGTTCTCAGAAGGAACTAACATGTAGACGTCTATGTACGCATTTTCATAGCTAAACCTTGTTCCTCTATACGATCGTACTTCTACAGAACAAGCATGAAATATAACGAAAGGGTATGCCATTATTGATAACTACTAGCACATCATATCGTAAATCTAAAGACGTGTAAGAGTTAAGCTTAGATGCTCTTATACGCCGCTGTGATTTTTGTTCTTGTGTTTTCTTTACAAATATCTGCCACGAATAACGCATAGAATTCGTACGAAATAACTTATAATGGTAGCCATTGTCCAAGAGCCTATAAAAGCTACATAGGAGTGTGATATCTTGGGCTTCTGTCTCTAGCAGCTCGTCTAAGTGGTGGTATATCACTGTTCTCAGTTCGTGTTACACCGTCGATATGTCCAATAGTATATCCAACCGATCTCCTCTCTAAAAGGGGGAGCCTCGACTGTCACTTACCAAGAATATAAGCTGCGCTTTCGTTCATGTCTTCGTCTCTCTGTGTAATAGCCAACCCCTAATCCTCATATCTGTGGCTGATCTCCACTATGGTGGCATCTCTAACCACATCGTCGTCGTCGTCGTCGCCCTTGTGTTACTAATATTCTATGCATACCTGATAATCGCGATGCGTCTACCCAGCGTTGCGTCTACCCAACGTTGCGTTTAGCCAGCGCTGCACTTTATTTCTTTTTTTCCTTTCTGGTGCCTACAGTCTTCAGGTGATCTGCCCTTACCCTCTCTGCATACCACATTAACTGCCATTTGTTTTTTTTCTTTTTCTTTCCACTCTACACTTTACCCATCATCAGGTGTGCCACCAGTACCATCAGAGCACATATTAAATCATCAACACCTTCATCAATACTTTCTTAACCATTAATTTTCTTTCTTCGTTTATTTTCTCTAGTTTTCCTTCACGTTTTTCTTCACGTTTGTATTTCATTTCCATCCTCATTTCCATCCTCGTTTCTATTCTTGTTTCCATCTTGTTTCCACCCTCGTTTCTACTCTTATTTCTATTCTTGTTTCTATTTCTATTTCTGTTTCTATTTCGACATTACCGAAGAGTTTCTACTTATTCACAATGATGGGGGTAGGTTCTGTATCCTCATCTGGTGACGAACCCTTCCATCTTGAGAAGTATCTTCCAGCCTGCGAAGCAGCCAAAGCTCAGGAGATAGATCAAATCGAGAAATCCTTGTTACCTTGCGCCTCGAAGTCTCCTCATAACGAAGACACCACTCACATTCGGCCTACCCTGACTGGGACGCCATCTAAGAAGAAGCATTTCCTGAGCAACAGCATTGCAGCACTCGGAAGAAGCAAGGATAAAACTAGTCGTGAGGAGCAGACCGGATTTGGCATCCCATCGTCCTTGTCTCAAGATCGTGGCTACAGGAGACTTTCACACAACTTAGTAGCCAAATTCAAAGGCATTTTCAATGATGACGAAGTGATAGGTATCGCTGAAGAGGAGATGCGACCACTGAGTGAGAATCCGACTAGTTCCCCCCAGCCTCTAAAGCTACATGAGCCGGCACAGCAATCAAAGGTCGATCTCTCGCGTGCTTCTTCATTGAGGAGCATTATCTACAGCTACGATCGATATGGCATGTTAAAAGTTGATAACGAAACTCGAGTTGACGCATCTAATCATAACGATCGCAACAGCCTGGAGACTGATACAGGTTTCTTATCGAGACGGGCTACGATGGAGGGTATCATTGGACGACACAACGTAAACAGAGACAGCGCGCTTAATCAAGGGGGCATGCGCAAAATGAATGATCTTGAAAAGGCTCACAACACCCCGAATCTCCTTCAATTAAACCTTCAGGCGATTGAAGCAGGCTACGAAGATATCTCTGACCGTCTAGAATATGATCCGGAGTGGGGAGGAAGTATCGGGCATTGGTTAGTTGACATGGCAAGTAAACAAGGAGAATCGTGCCCCTCTTCTCTACTCGGCGACGGACTAGAATTTAAGGATTTTGACGGTGCTTTCCTATCGTCCGATAATACATCATCCGAACGCGAGTCAATCGATTCTAAGGAATTACTTGAATTCACCATCGAAGACGGCGCAGTTGCAACACATCTTTCCCCCAACCCCACTATTCCCCGTACCTCAGTTAGCACTCGCGCAGGTTCTTGCGACCTCAATGAGGATAATTTGTTGCCTATAATTCCTCGTCAAGAACCGGTTTTTACTCCTCAATCTCAGTCAGAGAAATCCAGTTCTTTGTTGCAACAAGAAATCGAGCACTGCAACAGAGGCATTTCAGAACCTGGACGAACCATCGAACAAGCAAATCCCACAAACCCGACATACCTTTCCGACTGGTTGTGCCCCCATTGCGGTTTCTTGAACCTCCCGCGACGAACCGCCTGCCTGCAGTGCTGGGAAAAACGTGCAGAACCGCTAGGCAACACAGGTCATCGCATCCGCCGGGTGACTTTCGCAGAACCCACGAAATTCGAGGGTAAACACGCTTCAGCCATGGACGGATACAACGCCTCATTAGTTGATGCATCGCTCATTCCAGAGCCGCTCAACATTAAATCCTGCCTCAAGACCAAGACTCATCAAGAGTCCAAGCCCGTCGACAAGAGTACCCAGACTGGAGTTCAGGGTTCTGGTGCGCCGGCTTCCCATCAGAATCAGCATACCAATGTCACCAAAGCTACCGCTACGTCTAACGAGACCGAGCAAACTGACGACAAAATCACCATCACCAAGGAACAACTAAAGAGAATGGAAGCTATCGTGAAAAAGACCCTAGAGAACAACGAGACCATGCGTCGCATGCTAAAGTCGATGGAGGAAATGTACCAACATATTTCCAAGGAGCGTAACGCTAAAGACTAAACCATCAGTCGCATATGAGGCAAGCTACGCCCATATTTACGAATCTGCGAGATGGTCCGGATCACATTTGCGTATGCGTTACATGACTTTGAGAAGGAGAGCTGGAGGATGAGTAGGAGATGATAGGAGACGGGTAGCAAACCACACGGCATAGCAGGAAATGCCAGGAGAAGCCAGTATATGGCAAATGACGAAATGGCTAGAGCTCATATTGCATAAAGGGAATTCTTCACCCTTTTCGTTGCCTTTTTTTGAACACCTAGTTCAATTTGTCCGATCTTGTACAATAGCACGATTGAAAAAACCGAAAATCATTGAAAATAAGGGGGGAGATAGGAGGTCATTAATGTACGTATGTACTTAGATAAGACCGATAAGGATAAGCAAAGGCACAGACCACGTTGAATTCATTCTATGATTCAGGCACAGCACGGTTGCCCAGTGAAATGGTCGGCATTGCCAGCTGGCAACTTTCGGCCACACTAACTTTATCGTAAAAGCAACCGTCTACCCTTAAATCGCTGTCATTAAATCGCCGAACCTTGAATTATTGAGTAAAAAGAATTCGAGTAGAACCCATCAAGAAATCGCCCAATATGGATCCTTACTCGGCAGAAGGCGAGCTGATAAATATTCACAATCATTTCCACCAGGGCCAATACCAAGAGGTTATCGACTTTGACACGTCTGCTCTCTCCTCCGAAAATGCCCTACCCGCCCGAGTACTCGCCCTCCGAGCTCGCATTGCTTTAGGACAAGCAGAAGAAGCAATCGCCGACGTTCAAGGAGAATCGGAACCTGAGTTAGTAGCAGTGCGCGCCTTAGCCGAGTACAGCTTAGGGAAGAAAGATGCGGCCGTTCAAACTATCGAAGAGCTTGCCTCGTCAGCCAGCGATAACCAGACAGTCCAAGTTCTTGGAGGAACAGTCCTGCAAGCTGCTGGCAAATCAGAGGAAGCTCTTGCGCTCTTGTCACAACACTCTGGTAGCCGTATGTTTATTACTCAACAAGCAATGGCTGTCTGGTCTAAATACTAATAAGGACTTGTCTAGTTGATGCTGTCGCTTTGATTACGCAAATCCATCTTCAGCAAAACAGGACCGATTTAGCCCTTAAAGAAGTAGCCGCGGCTAGGCGGTGGGCGCAAGATAGTCTACTTGTCAACTTAGCAGAGTCGTGGGTTGGCTTACGACTGGTATGTACTGCATTGAACTGGCTGTTCCAGCGGCAGAGCTAACGAATGACTTTATGTTTAGGGAGGAGATAAGTACCAGCAGGCATTTTACGTATTCGAAGAGCTCGCACAAGCACCCTCTACATCTTCGATCGTCTCCCTCGTCTCCCAGGCAGTATGCGAGTTACATCTAGGTCGGGTCGAAGAAGCACAGAGTGCTCTCGAGCAAGCCGTGCAGAAACAACCCGAATACGCGGGAGCTATTGCCAATTTATTGGTTTTGTCAATCATCACCGGCAAGGATGCTGCCGCTGTTTCTGAGCTTACAAGGTATGCGTTTTTTTTTTCAAACTAGCCTCAAAACTCTATGCATGCTAATACGACTTCTTCATAGTTCCTTAAAGAAAGCCGCCCCTGAACACACATTCCTAGTCGACCTCGAAGAAAAGAGCGAATCATTTGACAAGGCGGCCGCTAAGTTTAGTGCAAAGGTGTCGGCTTAAAATAGGAAAGGCGACTAATACGGGACTTGACGAATGTTGATATACTAGTAGACCTTGGGGACGAGGTATAAAGAAAAGGCGAAAATGCTTTGGTTATGATACTCTATGAACATGATGAATACCTCATATTGCGTCGTCCTAATATTGGTTACGTGTCTTGACCACTCTTAATTGCGGGCTGAGAGAGGCACAAGTGATATTCAGCTTACCTATGTATTGTATGATACATCGATCTCGATAATTTAATCTGACGATGTTTGGAGATATTTCCAAATACGGTATTCCGATATCCACATTTGTTGGGTAATTGAGTAACCTGGTGTGTTTCTGTCACTAAAACTTAACCGTAAGGTAGTTATTACAAAATAACAAATGTTAGAAGCCAACTTAACTTATGTGACATCATCTGTGTCCTGGAACCGTGGATTCTAAATCATAAAGCTTACATCTTCAAGAAATGAGATTATTTAAATGCACAATGACGCTTCTCAGGCTATAATATGTGAGTGTGGCTTGAAAATGGCATTGCAGAGGATAAAATAGGTAACTGCATATAATTAATGCAGAAAAGAAAAGGGGGTTAGTCGACCTAAGTTGACACGGTTACTGAGTGACAATAGAAAAAGACGCTAATATAGAATAATACGATAATTATACGGTTCCGTAGGGAGAAAATACGATACCCCTCATTCACGATCACGATGGTGACCTCGATCTATGTATGTATTGACCGCTCGTGGGATTTGGCTAAGAGCCTCTGGCGATCTCATCATACCTCAAACTAACCTCTTTTCAGTATAAAAGTTTCCACTATCGCTGCGGCGCTAGTGATCCATCAATGAACATGCTGGAATTATCGTGGGATTCATCTCAAATGCCGCCTATGACATCACTATGTCACTCGGCCCTTCTACAAACGGACTCTTGAAACCTAGGTATTATTGCTTACACATACTGCTGCTTATAGCCAAAACCCAATCAAACATCGTGACTCGTCGGAGCCAAGTTTGTCCTAAAAGACCTGCAAGCTAATGCTATCTACATATGTGTGAGTGGGCTATTTATCAAATTAGCGCTAAAGAAGGCATTGCACTATGTATGAGTCTTTGAGAAAAAGAGATAACACTTACCATTTATGTAAAAGCTTCAAAAGACCATCTGGCAAATAAAAGTTGTGGAAATGCTTTGGCTGATAAGGCATCTTAGGTACCTAGTTTATATGAAGATCATATACTCTTTGGTAGACTTGCCACCTGTTTCGAGAGGAATCTAGACTTCGGGAGATGGACATAGAGGCTGATCCGGGACCGCAAAGAACGGGTCTCGACCCATAGGTTGTGTAGATAATTTTCACAAGGCCGACAGACCAGGCGGATAGGCCGCTTCGGACGCTTGCCCAGCCCGTCCACGTCCCACGATCTTACAGATTTCTGCAAGCCCCTGGTCTATAAACCTGGCTAAGAAATTTTGGAAATGCCCGAGTGGACCGGGTGGCGTGTAAATAGGTAACACTGGCTATCTTAGACTATGTCAACGTACATGCTGATAGGACGATGTCTTTGTTCTCTGCCGAAATGGACCTGTACTCCAAATCGGAGCTTGCATGAAACCCCTGTAAAAAATATAGGTAGACCGTAGGATTAAGTCGCTGGGTCTAATATGACGATAGCTTCGTTGGACTGCGTTTTCCTGCCTGGTCTCGTCATCGTGAAGGTTCCTCTCGTCCCGTCAAAATTTGTGGGCTAGTCGTTTTCTCCACGATGGCACACTTTTATTATAAATATGTTGTTTCGTCGTATTTCATGAAAAGTTCTTCATTACATATAAGACAAGACAAAGAAACATATCCACCAAAAAATTCACTAGTTATTACTACATTTGTTTCCGTAGTATAGACTTCGGTTTACATTTCTCTTAGACCACTTAGATTTAAGATTATATACACAGTTATATTAACATTCAAAATGCCTATCGCACTTACACCACCTCCGGTTCCTGAGGTCAAAACCCTCGGAGATGCCAAGGCTCAATCCGCAAACAAGAGAAAGATTATCTGCTTTTCAGGTACGGCACCATGTTTAAACTTCGCCTTTTTGAATTCGAGTCGTTTACTAACGTAATAACATCAGACTTCGATGGCACAATCTTCATGCAAGACACCGGACACGTCCTCTTCGACAACCACGGCTGCGGCTCCACACGAAGAGAGGTGCTAGACGAGCAAATCAAGACCGGCGAGCGATCCTTCCGGGACGTCTCGGAGGAAATGTGGGGATCTCTAAACGTCCCCTTCGAAGACGGCTTCCAAGTCATGGAGAAGTCCCTCGAGATTGACCCGGACTTCCAGAGCTTCCACGACTACTGCCTCAAGAACAACATCCCCTTCAACGTCATCTCCGCCGGTCTCAAGCCCATCTTACGGAGAGTCCTCGACACCTTCCTGGGAGAAGAGGCCTCGTCACACATCGAAATTGTAGCCAACGACGCGCAAATCTCGGCCGATGGCTCCGAGTGGAAGCCCATCTGGCGCCACGACACGGAGCTCGGCCACGACAAGGCGCAGTCTATCACGGAGGCCCGTAAGGAGGCCGAGACCACGTGCGACGACGGCACAGTCCCGCTGATCGTGTTCATCGGCGACGGGGTGTCGGACCTACCGGCGGCCCGGGAGGCCGACGTGCTGTTCGCGCGGCGCGGCCTGCGCCTCGAGGAATACTGCCAGGAGCACAGCATTGCGTACATCCCCTTCGACACCTTCGCCGACATCCAGCGCGAGATCGAGCGCATCCGGCTCGAGGACGAGAAGAAGACGGGCGGCAAGGGCGTGCCTGTGCGCTTCAACCCCCCGCCAATCTCTGGCGCAGGGTCTCGAGCAAGAACGCCGTGCCGAGATACGTTCTCATGTCCCCGACTAAGGAGGACAAGATGTTCCTCTGGCCCGAGGCCTTCTCCGAGCTCAAGAAGCCCGAGGTCGAGGTCACTGAGACGCCTATGCCGACGGTCCAGGAGCATGCTCTGCAGCATTCGGTGCAGAGCGCTGCTTAGGTTGGAGGGTGACATATATCATGGTTGGATGTCTTTCTTAGAAGACTACCTATATTGCATATCACGGCGTTTATGTTGGTTTACTTTTATTTGTTTGGCATAGTACAGCGATGTGGAGTTACACGATACCGCCTTGCGATAGCACGAGGAAAGGATAGGCGTTTGGGTTAGAACATAACATGGCGAAGCTTACGGGATACATCTGGATTATCTATCTTAGTTAAAGACGGGGTTGTTCCTATAATAGACGATATTATCAAGTAAACTTGAACTTGAGTATCAGTGCTTGTTTGTCGACACGATTAACTACTATTATATGTGCTTGGATTCTTTGTTTGCATTGCCACCCACCCCTGTGATGCACCTACGAGTTGATTTCCTGGTTACGGCGTATGTCATACACAGTCCTAGACACAAATGGCATTACCCAATTCGTGAGATCGAGCCAATGGGAAGCGTAGGAGTAGCTGCTCTGCCTCCAACCTACGACAGCATTCTTTAAACAATCACCGATCAGCTCATTTGACGTCCGCCTAGATTTGATCCTACCGCAAGCCAACCCTAGTTAAGCTGAAGATCGGAAAATCGGAACAGTGAGCAGGGAAAGGGACAGAGCGCTGGAACATAGCTAATAATACGCATTCCGAGTTCCGTCATGGCAAGTTGGTGCGTCCTATGTATTGCTACCTTTCCCTTATTCATGGATATTATAGAAGGATAACAACCTACGCCATGGTAATAAGAAGGTCAGCGGATCTCACGGCAAATAGTTACGTAGTACTTCAGGTTAGTTGCGGTAGACGCGGCATCCTTAATAACATCTAGTCCTAATCGTGCCTCTAGAGCTCTCCGAGTAGCCGGTAATTGTGTGTATTTAGAAATTAAACAGAACTCACTTTACCTCCCCCACGAAGGCCTTCATCTGCGGAAGGTACCTTAGGTAGGTAGACAGGTAGGCTATACGCAGTTACGTGCCGTCGCATTTTCGCCAGTTGGGATCTTCTGGAACGCGGGATCATCGATCGCCGCCGTCCTGCAGCTAGAGAGGCACAGCCCTATTGCCAATCCGAGGTACATACAACAACCGATGATCTCGAGCCTTGAGCTTGTTACTAGGTTGGATACGTCGTTGTTGTCCGTATGATCTAATATTTGATTATTAGTATTGTTAGGTAGATATTGAGTCTTTGTCTAATATTAGCACGGGGTTGACCAACGCGGATCTTCGGATGAACTGTGGTAAGTTTTGTTGTTGTATCTTCCAAAATCCCCCCGGCTCTAAAAGAAGCTTTTCTAGCATGGGGTTGTTTATGCTTATTAGGTTCTAAACCAGATCGAGATGAGTTTCAGTTTTATGATTAATTTCATGTAACAGGTACTTGGTAATCCTAACAATTGTAAGTTCAATTCTCTTTTCTTATTTTGTCAAACTAACAAATCTATTTTTATTGTATAGCGGCCCTCGGTAAGTTTACGTTTACATTTGGTTTAATATTTTTACCCCATTATAAGGTACGGATCCATACGCGCAAGTAATTCATCGAGATTTAAGTGAACCTTAGACGTGGTTGTACTTTTAATGGGTGTCATATCGTGCGCATTTTATTTAGTGGATCGAGTTTTAGGTACGTTAGGTGGCTACAGTGGCAGTGAAGGCGGGGTGATTACCAGCGTCAGCGGGCTGGCCCTCCTGCCCTTTTGTCCTCAAAGCTCAAAAGGTACCTGGAACAATTAAATTTCGGATGCTTCTCGTACCACGCAAACTCGCGACACGATTGGATTGGATACCAAAACTAAACTACTGCCCCTCCAAAAAGAAACTTGGCAATCAGCTTCAAAAGCATGTTAAGTCCATAACAGCTTCTATCCTAGCTTGTTTATTTTTTTTTCTTTTTTTAGGTAGTCTTAAATACTATCTAACTAACTAACATAGCTTACCTTTTACCTTTACTCCTAAACCATATATTATTCCGCCTATCAAAGTAAATCAAGTAATTTCAAACTCGAGAGTGGTAATCTACACCTAACTACCAACTTACCTTGTGTACCTAACCTAGTTCGTCTTGTCCTTAGCCTACATTACAGTCAAATCAACCGTTGGTAGGCTCTAGCAACTCTAGCAGCTCTCTTTGACATCATATTGATACACTAGCGCGTTAAGTCCAGGGCATCACAAGCCCCCGGATGCTGAAGGGGACTCAACTACCAAGCAATTTCCAAGACGGGATCCAGCACAACGTCACCCGCGTTTGCCCCCTTCTTGTTTCTTGGAAATACAACCATCCATATTTTATACCTCTACCCTCTTTAGTCCGACTCTCCTGAAAGTCCTCCACCATGGTTCGCATTATCCCTCAACGATTGAAAACCTACACTACTAGTTCTACCAACAATTCCACCGCCAATAGCCGCAGTACGAGTCCTATGCCGTTAAAACTCGATGCCGGTGTTTCGGAGGGGCGTAGGGACACGGGTTTAGTCTTAAAGATTACTATACTTCGAGTAAGGACAACGAATCGATAGATAATATCAATTCTAGTCTCGACTACGGATTCTAACTTGCGATGATATATATAGGCGAGAAACTTAGCTGCTAAAGATCGTGGAGGCACCTCTGACCCCGTATGTCAACACCCGTCTTCCTATTCTTAACTCTAATAAAGAAAAATCTTCGGACATTGCTAATACTCCGTATTCTCTAGTATCTTCAACTGACCTGCGGCGAAACTAAATGTCTTACACATCATGTCCCGAAGACGCTGAATCCCGATTGGGAACGTTGTCTGTACTGTACCTATCACTGGCGTAGAGAACCTACTGCTTGATTGCATCTGCTGGGATAAGGATCGCTTTGGCAAGGACTATCTAGGCGAATTCGATCTAGCCCTCGAGGAGATTTTCTCCAACGAAAAGACCGAGCAAGAAGCAAAATGGTATCCCCTCAAGAGCAAAAAGCCAGGCAAGAAAAAGAATAATGTCTCGGGGGAGGTTTTGCTACAATGCACTTTATTCGACTCAACAGACAAGGATGCGACAGATGCTCAGATCTTAGAAAAGCTGCATTCACTTGCTACCGCCTTACCCGAATCTGCATCCCGCAATGCTACCCCTAACATGACACCCATGCTTGGCCCGACCTCGACATCTAAGCTTGGCTCATCCCCGTCTCCACAGTTAAGTCAGAATACCACCGATGGATCCCAGGACGACGATGACGACGACGAGATTCTGGATGATGATGAGACTCCTGAAGATGAGGACCCCAGTAAGCCCGATGCTGTGGAGAAGAGGAAGAGACGGCTTAGGATTAAGGGTTTAAAGCGTAAGAGGAGACAAAACCCTTACGAATTCGTCAACGGTGGTAGTGATGTGGTCGGCTTAATCTTCCTCGAGATTTGCAACATTACCGACCTTCCTCCCGAATCAAACTTCACGAAAACTAGCTTCGATATGGATCCCTTCGTTGTTGCATCTTTAGGCAAAAAAACCTATCGTACACGAGTTGTTCGACATAATCTAAATCCCGTGTTCAACGAGAAGATGCTCTTTCACGTGCTAAACCACGAGCAATCATACTCGTTTGCTTTCACGGTTATCGATCGCGACAAATATTCCGGGAATGACTTCATTGCCTCAACCTCCTTTCCCTTACAAGAGCTCACCGAAAAGAGCCCCAAAGCTAATCCTGAAACCGGACTGTATGACTTAAAGGAACCGGCAGAGTACGTCCCGGTCCAGAAATCAAGGCTCGCAAGACTTGGCCTCTCGAGGTCGTCTTCAACACAGAGCTTGGGCAAAAATAGGCCGGTATTACCCAAAAATCCCAGTGTAACTTCGGCAACATCCCAGGAGCAGGTCGAGCCAAAGGTAGCACCTACATCCATTCCAAACCCTGGTTTACTTCAACCAGAGCAAGTGCCGAACCTCAATAGCGGGAACGGAAATGGAAACGGTGGTGAGGGCAGTGAGTTTGACGACACTGATTTCAATGTCTTCACAATCCCCTTGAAGATGAAAAATCTGGACAAATGGGAGGCTAAGCACAGCCCGACGCTTACTATCCGCGCCAAGTATATGCCGTATCCTGCTTTAAGACAACAGTTCTGGCGAGCTATGTTGCGACACAGTACGACGCAGATGAAAGTGGCGAGATTAGCAAAGTTGAATTGACTACTATGCTCGACACGCTTGGCTCGACTCTGCGTGAATCAACCATCGACAGTTTTTTCCAACGATTCCCTCATAAGGCAGGGAGCGGGGAACAAGAACTCACCATGGACGAGGCTGTTATATGTTTGGAAGATCAACTAGATGCCAAGAGCAAATCGGCTCCAGTGACTGACAAGTTGAAGAACATGTTGCCCGACGCAGAAAAGGTGAAGAATTTTCTAAACCCATCAAGCCACACTGGTAGTGTCACGCCTTCAGACGAGGGATCCTTTATTCTTAGCGCAGAAGACTCGACCGTCCAAGGCACTACACCTGGAACATCAACTATTGTTGTCCCCGATCTCAGCACATCTGGAGAAGAGGGTGATGCGCTGGATAAAGATGACCTAAATATTGACCGTGGCGAGGAACATGTCGTCGAAATTCGAGAGTGTCCAATCTGCCACCAGCCTCGTCTCAACGCGGAAAGATGCTGACATCATTACCCACATTGCTACATGCGCCAGCCAAGACTGGCGCCAGGTCAATTCACTCATGATGGGCGGGTTTGTCACGGCAAGCCAAGCGCAAAGAAAGTGGTATTCTAAAGTCATCACCAAGATTTCTTATGGTGGTTATAAACTTGGCGCCAACTCGGCAAACATTCTGGTACAGGACCGCCTAACGGGACAGATTAACGAGGAAAGATGAGCGTTTATGTACGACTGGGAATCCGATTACTATACAAGGGATTGAAGTCCAAGGATATGGAGAACAAGCGAAGTGAGTATTCATGCTGATGAGACAGAAACCGTCGCTAATAGCGCTTTAGTCCGCAAACTTCTGAAGAGTCTAAGTATCAAACAAGGCAAAAAATACGACGACCCTGCTTCGAAGGCCCAGATTCCAGGTTTCGTCCAATTCCACCAGTTAGACATGTCCGAGGTCTTACTCCCCGCCGAGGAATTTAAGAACTTCAATGAATTCTTTTATCGTGCACTTAAGCCAAACGCCCGACCTTGCTCAGCTCCAGACAATCCTCACATTATCGTGTCGCCGGCCGACTGCCGGTCTGTTGTCTTCAATAGTATTGATTCTGCAACCAACATCTGGATCAAGGGTCGCGAATTCTCCATAAAGCGACTACTCGGCGACGCATACCCGGAAGACGCTAAGCGCTACGAGAATGGTGCATTAGGTATCTTCCGTCTGGCTCCCCAAGACTACCACCGGTTCCACATTCCTGTAGATGGAATTCTCCGCAAGCCTAAACTCATTGCTGGCGAGTATTATACCGTTAACCCTATGGCAATCCGGTCCGCGCTCGATGTGTACGGCGAGAATGTTCGTGTCCTTTGTCCTATCGACACCGAACTATTCGGACGGGTTATGGTTATTTGCGTCGGTGCCATGATGGTTGGTAGCACGGTAATTACCCGAAACGACGGGGAAGAGGTGAAACGAGCGGAAGAGCTTGGGTATTTCAAGTTTGGTGGCAGCACAATTGTGACACTATTTGAACCCGTACGATGCTGTTTGATAACGACCTTGTGGACAACTCAAACAGCGCTCTAGAAACACTGGTATGATACTTACCCCTCTTAAGCAATGCAAGACTAAATATTGACATACATGCAGATTCGAGCCGGCATGTCGGTTGGGCATTCCCCACAGTACCTCAGTTTACACCAGATATCCCAAGGATGAGAAAGACGTTACGGAGCGGGAAGGCGGAAGCCCATCGCCGTATCCGTGGTGGTGGTGACAGCCCAGATGAAGTACCTTTGCCATAGGAAGACACTCCGTAACAGCTAAGACGGGAAAGACATTGCATTCGGACGGCGTTATACCATAAAAGCGACGGCTTTTTTCCGAAGATTGGATTCCATTGGGTGGATAGACGAGACATTGAGCATGGGATGGGGGGAACTTGCAGCATCTGTCAATCAAAAGTGGGCATATAGCAACGAAGAGGGGAAAAGGGGGATGAAAGGCGAGGGGCAATGCAGTTGTTAGCGTTCGTCACACGTTTAACCAGGGGAGTAAGCGCAAGTAGACTATTATTGTACATGCAGTCTACATGCAGTCAGATACAGCTATGTAGTTATAGCCGGTTACGGGGTGATGGTTCGATATCTAATAGTAGGATAACCACAGCCCCGTCGTTGTCCCATTCATAGGCATCAAACCCCCAACGTCAACAGTGGCTTATAAGTCAAGGCGTGTATCACGATACGATGTTTTTTACCGGGTACTATACAAGGTGTCCTCTTGGAATGCTTGGAATGGTATCATCAGCCCTAGTTTGGATATAAGAGGGGGTTCGTAACTAATTAGGTAAATAGTTAAGACCAATGGGTACAAATAACACACCGATATTTCCATTTTTGTAGATGCGGTCAAGAAGTCGGTATGCAATGAAAAGCTTCCACGTGCATAGAAGGCGGGATGGATTGCGGGGCGGGAATTGGGATGAAAGATGTCATTTGCTGTTAGTTGCGGTAATTTGGTTCCACGAGCAATAAACCCTGTCGGTACGGAAGTAGATACCTGCGTGCCGGATAACGGTCATGTACGGTACATAAAGATGTACCTAACGGCTAACCTGGGTATGTACATGTACCCTATTAGGGTCACTTAAAGTTTTGTTTACTTTAGACCCCGCATAGCAACGAGATACCATTTTCAAAGAAAAACATTACAAACTTAAGGAATGCCGCGGTATTAACAAATAAATCCACAGAAGTAGACCCTTAGAGTTATTTTGTACACTAGCTGGGCTCCATTCGCGAGTGGCCCGGCTTTTACGCATACGACAAGATTATTTTTTCTTTGCGACTTCTGCTTCTGCTTCTGCTTCAATTGTGTAAAAGGGGAAGTAGGCGAACTGGAGTATTGCTTGATTGATTGAAATTTGAAATTCAATATTGTCAAATTTATACAAACATTAAAATATCAATATCAATCTGCAACAACCCGCATACCACCAATGCAGACAACTCCGAAAGCGAATACCGCATCCTTCGTGGCTTACACCTATTCTTAGTCCGATATTGGACGGCAACGGTAGATCCTGAACGGGATCAAATCAAAGGGGGAGAAAAGAATTAAGAAGGAGGGAGAAAAAGAGAGACAGGACAAGACAAGATGGTCGACCCAGATAACCTTCGCACGGCATCGCTGTATATCAATAATCAGCTTCTATCGCGCGGTCTTCTTCGTGATGGCCACAATATCAACTTCGCAGATCCGGAGTTCGGTGATGGAGGAGTGCAAGGCACGATGAGCAAGGTCATGAGCGTTATCAATGACCTCATCCTAAGGCGCGACGTATGTATATCCTCTCATACTATATTGTCCTAGTCTTCAATGACAACAAAGGGATAGATAACATGCTAACATTCTTTTTTTACGACAGCGCGATGCTGAGAGCCGAGAGTCATTATCCACAACCCTTCGGACCCTACGGGCTGACTCGCAGCGGCAAACGACCGAACTCATACGACAAACGGAAAAATTATCTGACGCTCAACGAAAGCTTGATTCTGCAGAGGCTACAGAGCGTGCCCTCCGTACCCAGCTCAAGATTACGGATCAGAACATACACCGCCTAAAAGACGAAGCCATCAAGATGAAGACTATTGTGGCGCAGGCGCGCGCTGCATGTGCTAATGAAATCCGTAAGCGGGACCGCCAGATTGATGGCCTGAAGAAGGCCGTCGCAGATGCTGGTAGAGTAAGAGGCGGCGGTAAGAGCAGGGATGTCCTATGCATCACCGTGATAGGAGAAGTCGGCGGCGAGGAGCGTGGAGTGCCTGCTGGTGCAACAGAGGCTGAAGGTTATAGCTTACGCCTAGAGACCAATGAATTCCTCACAGAATTAGCAAGAGGCCTCAGCGAGGAAAACGAGGGTCTACTCGCCCTAGTCAGACGTGTAGTTGACAGGCTGCGCGAGATGAGTGGGCTAGAACGTGGTTCAGAAAATCTGAATGGAACCACATTTGACTACCGCTCAGACAATAATAATGAGGATGTGCTGGTAATGGCATCTCAAAAGAGCGCCGATGAGCTCGCATCAGAGTTGGAAGAGATCATGGAGCATCTTAGGACGATATTAACGAACCCTTCCTTCGTGCCCATCGAAGAGGTTGAAATACGCGAGGAAGCTATCACTCGCCTACGCGCCGGCCTAGAAACAATGGAGTCCCGCTGGAAGGACGCTGTCCATATGATTGACGGCTGGCGGAAACGAATGGTGTCCAGCGGCAAATCAGTCGACATGGAAGACCTGCAGATGAGCCTCCGACTTAGTCCCGTTAGGGTCAGGGACGTCGCGGAGACAGCAGATATCGTACCTATGAGACTCTCCTGTGTTCAGGAGGAAGAGGAGGAGGAAGAGGAGGAACGGGAGGAAGAGGAACAAGATGAAGAGGAAGAGGAAGAGTATGGTGAAGAAGACAGTCTCGAAGCACAGGAAGAAACACAAGAGGACCCACGGCAGCTAAGGTCTCCAAGCCCGATCGAGTCGCTACACCTAATCCCGACACAAGGATGCCAAGTCGCAGAGAATGAAGAAAACGATTCCGGGTCGGATTCTAGCAGCATCTTCCAGGATGATATAGACATAGACGAACTGGACGCCGAGGAACCAAATGTCCAAGTTCTTCAGGAATCTACATATGCGAACTCGATGGATTCGCCTCCTCTCCCTATGCCACCTCAACTCAGCCCCCTCAAAGACTCATACTCGGCAGGAAATAAAGGATTCTCCGAACGTGATTTCGCGTATCGCAAGCATGCAGATTTCACAACTATTATAGAAGAAAACACATGGGAATTGGCAGAAGAAGAGGAGGAGGAGGAGGAACAAGGGCCACCTCCGCCGCCACATGTCATCAAACCCCAGTCTCCCAGGTCCCCTAAGTCTCCGCATCAGCAGAAGAAGTCAGTATCATACAAGAACTCCCCGCCATGGCAAGACCAATCTCGACCTAGCTCAACCGCCTCATATGAGAGCCCCCTATTCGGTAAATCTGGGGAGAGACCGTCACAGTCTGATCCTTCCCGCAAACTATTCTCAAAGCCCACCCCAAATCTAGGGAAGCAATTATACACCAAATCTCAGCCAGAGCCGGGTAGCACAAACTTTCAGGCTTCTAATAAATCATCGAAGAGGCCAACTTCATCGCCAGATCCATTAGCAGCAGATATAAAACGAACTAACTCAGATCCTACCAACCCGCCGTCGCGTCAGCAGCCCTCGTCGAAATCCATTCGTCAAGTCCCTGCTACGACACAGTCGCAACCCATATCCTCGTCTTCTTCCGCCTCTTCCTTAAAATCCGCAGCCAACATAACAGAGCGACCGCAGCAGCCCACTATTGCACGTCCACGTTCACCAGTTCGTAGTAATCAAGCTACCAATACTACTACGAATACCTCCTCACGCCTTCCTCGACCTAATAGCACCAATCCGCCTACGCAACAGAGCCCCCTAACTATGGCCACTATCGCCGCGAAGCTAGCGGCCTCAGAACGCGAGGCCGATGCTGCTCGTGTTAGGGCTAAGCTAAGGGCCGTCCGGTCTGGAGGTCAGAGACGGAACCCAGCTCTCCGGGCTCCTACTACAGTCGCTCCCGGGTCGCCTCCCCGGGACGCAAAAGTCAACAAAGTTGAAGTTAAGCAAGAGGAAAACGACCTCGCCTCAGTAGACCCCGTCAAGAAGGATAAGGACTTATCTCAACCTCGTTCCCGAGGTGGGACACCGGCACGAAGACTGAACCCCACAGCTGAAGTCGACGAAGTTGACGAGCTATCGGGATCAGTTAGAACCCGAGAGAAGGACCAGCACAATGGTAGCAGCCCACTCAAATCTACTAGTGGTAGCCCTCTCAAACTTGTAAAGCGAAGACGCGACCGAAACGAACGCCATACGAGTAAAGTCGCGTCTCGTCGACGAAGCACGCTTAGTCCCTGGGAGTTGGATGCCCTCATTCAGGGGTCAGGTGCCGAGGTGGACGTAACTAAATAAGAACGACTACACGATATCTACCCCGACCTACTTTATAACGACCTATATTTATCAAAGTATGATGACATAGGTGGCATGGAGCCTGCTGCAAAGCCCAATAATGGGCTCGCGGTCTTATTTTATTGAAGCAGAAAATGATTACGAATGTTATGGTTATTATGCATTATGCAACATTATGCAAAGGGAAAACAAAAAAAAAGGGAAAACAAGAAAGAAGTAACAATAAATGAATTAAATAGTATGTCTAGTGGACATAATAATTTAAGATCCGGAAGCTCAAAGCGAAAGGAAAAATTGGTGTTGGGGAAGGAAAGGGAGGTTGGATATTCGGGGTGCCGAGGCGGAATATCATCATGTCACGAAGATCACGCACGAAACAATTTTTTTGAAGCAAAGCTCCATCTGGCAGTCTCCATGGGCGGGAGGATTGGGCGAGACTACTACTACATATTATGCCGTGGATGCGATGCTATGACTTACTACAGAACTGACGGCGGGTAAAGCTGATCGTTCGCTTACTACAGTATTTACTTTGTCTTATACCAATGAATGAAAGTATGATTATTTAGCTATTTTACAAGTTTTGAGATGACAGTGATGATGATGATGATATGTTGGATGTATTGCCTGTAGAAGAGTTGGAGAATATTCTCTGGTTTAACTGACTATCTGTATTCAGAATACCATATTTATACTGAAGTTATCAGTTGTGTTCGCTTAGATCTTGGATCTTAGAAAACGCTATTCTATTTAACTAGCATTTTACTGAAAATCAAGTCTTACATTTCATTCATAAACGTGAAGTGTCACCCAGTACCTCATCCCCTAGTTCAACTATAAACAGCAAGTCCCTTTGCAGCCCTAAAGGTCGAGCTCAAGCAAAACAAGCCTCGTTCGATGAACTTAGTTAACAGTCATCATCTGGAAAGTGAGTGTGTGTCCGCCGTTATCTTTTGTCTTTTGCCTAGTTCAGACATCAGATCCTCGGAAGAGAGTAGCGACCGTTTTCTTCCTTGCTCGGACACCTTCTCGAGGTCTCTACTGATATCCTTCAACCGCTCATTCATAGCCCAGTTGCGGATATTGCTCCATAGCATCTGACACGCCCTATGCTGGTCGTACTCATACAAGGCAAAGCTGCGGAACTTCTTCATGATGCATTTGTCGCCGTCCTTCCACATGATGAAGAACTCTGCCAGCCCGACGGGCAAGACGATAACTGCGAAGATGGCTAGGTTCCCTTGGAGTAGTTTGCTGTTCAGATGGAGACATGTTGCTGCTGCGCCGAGACACCGGTTTTCTTTGCCGTGTGTGCTCGCGTCGGCACTTACTTCTACTTCTACGATCATATAGGGGAAGTTTACCTTGAAATCGACGGACGGATTCGTTGCGAGCAACGATACAGTTGAATTGGTGAGTGATGTGGGGATATCGGACGAACCGTATCCAAAGGTGAAGCTGGGTTGCGGAGTGATCACGCCATTGGGAACAAAGCGGTCGCGGAACTTTGTGTTCATCGACACTGTCGGGATATCACCATCAGAGCTTGGTCCAAATACGTCGCGACCCAGTAATTTAACGGTGTCCATCATCTTCTCCTCAATACTTCCCATTGCTAGCTTGACGTAGCGGAGCCGCATTGTCATATCTTCTTCTGTCATAGTGTTCTCGGACGGTTGTTGTAGTTTAGTGAGAAGTTCGTTAACCCAAGACGGTAGTTCCCACACTCTCTCCTTGTAATATAATTCCAACACTCTCTCCTGATAATGAATCCCGGCCTTTTCCATGCGTGATCGATAGCTAAATGAGTCTATGTCGTTCACCTTGTGTTCCGGCTTAGATTTATCTAACGAGTAACATTGATCGGTAGAATCAGAACATTGCTGAGATAAAGAAGGAACTTTTACAATTTTTTGTTTCTCGGAGAGATAATGAAGCATTTGCTCCCGAGGACTTGGATGATCCATGATGAGAGAAATATACACAATAAGCCAGACACAAGTGCAGACAAGAGTAGCGAGGTCTACAAAAAACAGAAGAAGAAGAGGGGAAAGGGATAAGGCCGTTTGTTATCGAAGCAGGAATTGTTGTAAAGCCTGTTGCCTAGCAGAACGCAATAAAACCGCGTCACACAGAGCACGGCAACCCGCTGCTTCGACGCATCGATCCCTTGCATTTCTATACAGTACGCAAACCTTCGTTAAAGAGAGAATAGCTCGTACGGTATAGGATTAACCAATTCCGTTTTCCTGTTTATGTATTTAGAAGCCTATTGAGGGCGTTTTTCTCATACGTTAGTTAACAACGTTGAGTTTTACGTACTGTATAGAATCGTAAGGAAGTGTCCGTTTATTCCTAATTAAAGATATATTAACCTACCAGGGGCTCTGATTGTTCGATTATGCTTGGTAGCCGGGTAGAAGATTGAAGTGCTATCGTTCTATTAATATTAATATTAACGCGCAAGACTATAACTGCAAATCGTAACTGGTCATACATGAATAGACTCTTCGCAAGAAAAGGGAATCTGAAGCATGCTATTAAACAGAGCTGAAATAATGCAAAGAGGCTATCCTAACCTATGACAATACTGTGGGTATTCCGTGGTGTATTCTATGTTGACATCGTTAGAGGTATTGCTTTTCTATGTAAGTGTTTATTCGTGATTCTACCGAATAGATCACGCATGCTCTATATTTCCCTTTTCATACCCACAACTAAAGTAGACTGTATTTCTACAAAATGTAGAACCTAAAACTACGATAGCTCGGTATTTGAAAATTGCAAGTGATCGTTAAAGAAACGTTGTCGATCAGGGTGCATCGATGGCAGGTGAGGAGGCGGCCTACTGATAACCTGAGCATTATAGTGAGTAGCAGCCCACTCCTGAAGGTCCGCCTTCGACTGTTTCGCTCGATGGTATATTATCTTGACCCCGCGTTGGATGAACTTTGCGAGTAAAGCATCTGAAAATTGCTCATTAGAGATATCAATACTGCGCAGATTAGGAAAGCGGCTGACAAGCGTGAGTAGCCCCTCATCGCTCTGCTTGTACTGGCAAAGATTTGCCACAGTCAGCCCTGTAATGCTGAGGTATGTGAGACTTTCACTTTTAAGCCAGTCCGGGATTACAATTTTGAAGAGGCTCCCGAATAGTACATGTATGGGGAATGGTCGGATGTCAAGCTCTCGCAAAGTACCGGATTCTATGCTAGGTCGAACAATGGTTTCGAATTCAGAAGTATTGAGTGGGGTGTGCAGTAGTATCGACAATTTCTCAAGTCGACGAAGCTGGGGAAGGACTATAGGTCCAACATGGATAGTTAGAAACCATGGGGCTTGAGGGTTGCTTGTGACCATAGGAGGGTAACACGTACTGAAGCGTGACTGAGCAGACCGGCCCTCAAGATGCAGCTCACGCATATCTTCGTTGTAGCCACCTTCCACGTCATCTTCGCCAACGACAGTGTATAAGCGGGCACGGTTCCCAACAAATATGTTTTGCAGTTTTGGCCATTTGGTCATTAGCATCTTAGACGAGTACGTGAGATCGTCGATCCAGGCTTCTTCCACGTTAGGAGCCAACTCCATGATGCCACGCTACATAACGTTAGAATCGTCAAGGAATCTTCACAACACAACGAACTTACCAAGTCGGGGACAGGGCCTGCACGTAATTCATAATTCGGATATGCGAGTCGAACAACTTTCAGCTTTTCAAGTTTTACCCAACCAGGATACCATGGCACCTGATCAGATGCCAATCTGGCACAGTGCGGGAGCTCGAAGATTGAGAGCTCTTCTAGCGAGTTCCCGCATGCAGTTATCAGTTGCTCTAAAACTTGAGGCCGCGGCCGTACTCCGTAACCCAAGGAGAGGTTGGTGAGCTGTGGTAGCCGTAGTTTTGAGGGCAATGATTCCAATTCAAAAGAGCCTCGCGGCTCTCGGAGTTTAAGCACCTTGAGTTGCTGAGAGATTTCTATAACCTGCGAGAACTTACACCACTGCAAGAAGTGGGATAGGCCATCGATAGACAACTCTCTGAGAGCATTCTTGCCGTATTTGTTATACGCTTTGAAGGCAGGTAGCATTCTTCGAATGCCAGGATGACTTCTTTGGGTAAGCTTGTATGTCTGGACATGCCACAAGTCTCTAAGAACGGTTGATTTAGTCAAGATATTGTTCCAAGCCTTAGAAACTCTCAAACGCGACTATTGATCGTGTCAGCAAGAAGAAAATAACAGATTGCCGGGTCGGCTTACCATAAGGTCTTGAAGTCAAGAAACTCGAATGTCATACGAACAAGTTCGATAGGGAACTTCGTGACGGGATCAAACGCGGCTAAAGTAGCTACCCTATCTCTCTGAACTCGCAACTTCTATTCAATAGTTAGGAGAGTCCAGAGGTAACTCGGCACATATACGCACAGGCAATAAAGAATGATTGGGGTTCTTTCTTTCCACAAGTTCAATACCCTGTCTATACATGTGGTACGCAAGGGTTTGCTTGCTTTTCAGGCGAAGAATCTTACCGAGACGCAGATAGACCTAAGATAGGTTAATAAACTTGCCGATTTCATCAGAAAACCAGCATACCTTGGGCTCCCTCGGAGCGAGGTTAACCATACCCACGGCAAGGTTAAGACACTTGTCTAATTTTAACAACATCTCGTATGTAGCAATAAGCGAGTCGAGAGCGCGAATGTGAACTTGCTTGTCACAGCGTCTAGACCGCGGGGTCAAGGTTGAGAGGACTTCCTTCAATTGGTTGTTTTCAATGCCCGTCAAGATGTCTTCGTTCAAGTCTAATACCATCCCACCATGGATTTGACAGCTGCAAGAGTTTATGGCCTAATAAGGTAAGCGTGTGTAGGCATTTGGGTAGATAAATAAGATAAAACAAACCTTCTTAAATAATTTCGCTGCAGCTTCGTAGTCCTCCTGCGCATACAATTCCAACCCCTTCTTAAGGGCGGAGGAACCCGCTGCCTCTCGGGCTGGTGCGGAACCCTCAGAAGTTGCCATTTTAAAAGGAGGTTGAAGTTTATCAAAATACGTCACGGAAATGGGTTTCGTCGATACAGAACGAAATACCAATTAAAAGTGCAAGTGGAATCGGTGCATCGTCAAATCTAAAGTTTTATTACGTAAAAGCCGCCAATTACGTAGCGCGTTTGCATTAGGCACCAAACAAGGAACATACGTGAAAGTAAAAGATTGTTTGTGTTTAAGGGAAATGTTGTGATTTAAAACGATGTCGATGGAAAATACTGAAGTCAATAGACGCGGTTTAGATAAGTGAAGCAGTCACGCCGGAGACGCGTTAAGTGCAGTTGCATTAGTGGGGAATACGTCAGCGTAAATTTGAATAAGGTTTGGTGGTTTGGCGGGGTAGCGGGGTTACTATTAACATACTACTATGAACCTCACCCACATGTAACCTCCTATTAAAGATACATTGCATATAATGTTCATGCCCTAAATACAGCATGGTGCTAGAAATACTTTATAAATCTTTATATTTAATAGCAATGCTAATATAATACATGTCTACCTATATATTAGGGTCAAGATTAAATATAGGATAACTAACATGTCTTATATAACTTCTAATATAACTAGATGGAATTTTGGTTTTATCCCTTAGTTCCAATTTTACATGTATCAAGGCCTTAAAAGTAATAGGAAAATTGATTACGACGTACCCATACAGCCCAGGTAAAAGATTGCTAAAAGTCAGTAAACGAAGTCATACCATATGACAGACCAAGATGCGCAAAGAAAGTCATTTCCCCTCCAAAATCCTGTTTCGTATAAAAACACCGCAATCTTGATCTATGACACACAAAATCGCTCATTACTATATTCTATTTCAGTGATCATGATGTTAAACTTAGCCACCTATATATACTATCCAGGTATATACCACAGCTCTTTTATCAGTGGGGCATGGGAATCCATCATGAAACTTTTCCTAATAAGAAAGAAGATATATCGATCCTATATCATCATACCCCCCCGGCCGCGAGATGTGGCACAAACCGTTGCGGGGGCCTGAAAGCGGGAACTCGTGACCTTTTCGACCGCAATCCATCTGATTGTAACAACCTGAAATTAGATAGGCAGATTACCATGTCCCTTTGCCAATTTAACTCTATTAACCATAACTCGGAGCCGCAGCTTCGTGACACATGATAACACGCAACGAGGCCGACTAGACCATTTTTGAGCGCTTCCTCTTACACATCCAATGTTACTATCGATATATATATAGGCATATATATAACTAGTATAGGTAAATAGATACACTATACGAACTCGTAACGTACTCACCATACGACCCCATCCCGCCCAGACGGGAACTCCCCTGTCTCCGTCCGTTATCGTCCCCATACCTTCCCTCTACACTAGTATTAGAGGTATGTATACTCAATACGTATAACAGGAGGAGGCGCTGCTATCGCCGAAGGAGCCGTCGAGGCCAAGCCCAACCAGACCGCCCGCTCGCCCGCCACGGGGCTTTTTCTACGTCCATTCGCCGACCAAGCCAGCCCTCTCCGCACCATCCTTCCCAAGATCCCATCCCGGAGATTTAGGTAATTCGCCTGGCGTCGTCGAGGCGCAGGGACCCCTCATTTTCCCGATAACCGTACCCCGGTTCGCAAAGTTCCGTCTTATGTAGGTAGATAGGTAGGCTCGACAAGGACGGTTAACGAAAAATTGAAAAAGAAAAAAGGAAAAAAAAAAAAGAAAATTTGGTTGGCAGGCCCCACGGCAGGCCCAGGTTAGTAAAGACTTAAATCTATCCCAAACCCCCAACCCTCCCTTCCTTCACCCCACTTTATCGCGACCTCTGTAGATCGGTCGGAACACATTCCCTTCGGCTCGCTTATTTTCCCCTTTGTCGTTTTTAGCTATATATTATACCAGGCGATCCGGCGGTCTGCCGGTCCTGCCAAGTCTTGCACTCTGCTCTATTCTGCCCTACCTGTCTGGTGTCTCCTCCCCATTTCCGGCCACTCTGGAGAACACCGTGAGGCGGACCATACGGGCTGTGACGAGCGAACGATGTGACGAGATCCCAATTTCCCATGGGGCAGATGAACGTATCCTAATTCAGACCTCCGCAATCTGCGCTGTCGCTGATGCTGGCTGGCTGGGCAGGGCGAGGATCATAACTTACCGGGAAACGCCCCATCAGACTTCGTATTGGCAAGAGAGCTCTGCCCTTGCAGGATCGTTCGGCCTCCGATTTCCATATTCGGTTCGGGGATCCTTACTCATAGTTTGTCTTTTATACATAGCTCGTTTGTACCTGTCTAGTTCGTAAGATTCTTTTTTGGTAATTCGCCATTCGGCCGATTCGGCCGTTAAACGTCATGGCTGTACGTAAACTGGAGGTGTAACGTGTATGTATTATATGTATGTGTATACACATGTATAAGTCGTGCAGATAGGTAAGTTTGTATGTACATGTATGTTGCATATAATACATGCAGTTAGATATTTTATTTGCCATTTAATCAGCTCAGCTTATTATCCCGATCTTTCAAATCTAAACGCCTCCCCCGTCTACCGATGATAAATTATAGATAATCCGGTAAAGTTACAATAGCCGAGCTCCGCCCCGCGCGAGTTAGATAACGGTAGCGAGTGGCAAGTGCAAGTAATACATTAGGTACATACATAGGTAAATATGTGTAATGTTCCCTACTCGCGTCTACTCGCGTTTATGGCGTCAAATGCGTCAGCAGCGTCTAACAACGGCCCCTAGAAGCCACGTGGAATAGCTGCGGTAGAACGGGCAGAAACTACCTAATTAGTATGCCCAGACAACTGAGGCGCACGGCACCTGAAGCACTTTGCTGTTGCAGGAAACATATCGCATGGTGGTCGTAAATGACTGGTGCGGCACTTGGATTACATATGCAGTTCGCATTATGCAATTGACCTGCAATCGTCCCTACATACATCACCTATACATCACCCGTAGTGCACGACTAGGAGCTGCTTGCATAGGCGGGTCCCGGCGGCGTACGTGTCTACGTTACGTATGTGGTTCAATTCATACCGCACTTATATCAGCCCACCCACCATATGTCCAAGTTAAATCTAAGCAGATCGAGGCACGGTAAGTTGATTATCTAAGAAATGTCAAGGGGTGGCCAGTTTCGGGTTACCAAAAATGGAAAAAGGTGAGGGAGGAGACTGATAAGAAGATTTGGCTTTTTCTGGAATGATGAAACTTTTCCAGTCAAAAGACTTTGTGTGTTTGTACTTCGATATGTCACAAGGCTTGGCATGTAACTTTAGACTTTACCTATTTTTAGCTGCATATCTCTCAAGGTAGGGAACCAATAGCAATAGAATTTCTTTTTCTAAACCCCGGCACCACAATTCTATCGGGCCGCTAGCCCCACCAAAGCTGATGGATGGCGGGACTAATAGAATTCTTAGAGGTAAGTTATAAGAGGCAGCTTATAAAAGGCAGCTTATTCTTATCCAAGGGTTTCTACGAAAGAGGCTAGGACATCATCTGCAACCTGATGATGATGATGATGATGATTAGTTTTCTTTTTTTAATGAGGGTACAACAATTCCATATAATTCAGGTGAGTAGGTAGGTACCGTTAAGTTAAGTACTCAATGTATTGATACTCAATAGTTTTGTACCACCAAGTACTGTTTGCATGCCATCCATCTATTGGAATACCCACCGGAACCTATCAAAGGACGAACCTCTAATATTTCTCCAACCAGCCGGCTAGGTGGGTTGGGTTGGGTTGTAAGCGCGTTGCAGTTCCCGTTCCCCGGGTCTAACTCGTACATATTGTTTGACAGAGATACGAGAACATGACTGGTTCGGCAATGATGGAGATGCTCACGCAGGCACATTTCTATTTGTCTGGCTAGTGCAATATGTGGTGTGCCACTCCGAACCTATCAGCGTAATTTTTGGTGCATCCGGTTCGACGCACGTTGTGTTCCCCTGGACATTATAGCGTTGCTATGTATGGAGCGCAGGTACCCACGATCTAGTTTAAGATGTCTAGATGGGTGGCCTCATAAACCTGCGAGGCTGGCGAGGCTACAATTTTCAGCCGACTTGGGGGCGAAATTTATAACTACCTACCTAACCTACCTACCTACGTATCAAGATATTATTACCTACAAGGAATTGTAAAAATTGTCTCATCCATTGTTCCTACTAGGCTTCCTAAGGTCACGAGATTTTACTACAATCGTCTTTAATTTATTTCAGACTAGAAATTTAAAAGCGTTTAGCAATTGACCCCTCGTTTATAATTAACTCTATCCTTCATCTTAATAAATCTAAGTCGCAATCTACTATGTAGTAAAATATTATTGTAATAGATACATGATTATTCAACATGATTATTCAACTATTTAAACCCCTCCAAAAGAAAAATATGTGCTTATTTTGACGCCATCTTCTCCGGCTATACGATTATTCCCGCCATTATAAATTCCCGTTTAGTAGTTAGTAGTTAGAACTTGGCGCAGATCAGTTCGACTCATAACTAAATATTAAATATTTGTAGTGGCATGTTTATAAACCTCTTTTATGTGGATTAGTCACATTGATTCGGACGGAATCGTGGCTTAGAAATCAATAGGACTCGGCTAGATTATTCAGCTTTAAGGATGACATATGCACTGATGCAATGATGCACTGATGCACTGATGCACGCATAAACAATTATGTTATCACCAGTCACAAAACATGGATAATTCTAGGTTAGGATAGTTCCTCAGCTAACTAACGTTTATTGAGCCGTCTCCTGCCGAAATCGCATTGCCTAATCGGTGTATCATCCCCAGGATTGCCCATTGATCCCCCTCTATTCTCGCTGAGAGTTCTAATCTAGATGGTATAAAGTGCGTCTTCGTAACCGGACAAAGCGCCGAGTGCCGTTGTCTATTGGAATATGCGGGATCGAACAACGGGGAAACTAAATCGGTTATCGGCTGTTCCGTGCAGACCACGAGAACCGATCAGTGCC